TCATTACTCTTACGTTTTTATATATCTCATTTGATTATTGATTTAATTTGTATTTGATTTCGTTAAATATGTTATTCATTATAATAATAAGTTTAATAAAAGAAGCAACGTTTAAGTTTTCAAAGTCTTTAATTCGTAAAAACAGTGTAAGACAATAATTCTTCATCACGGCTTACGCCTTTTTAACTATATCTAAAAACACCCGATGTCTTCTACATCATTTTATAGATCTAAACGTAATATAATTATTTTGTTGCCATAGAAAATTCCCTAAGGTTACAGCGTTATGCAGATCAGTAAAAAATAATTAGTTTGTTGTAAGACACAAAAACATGGACAACAGTTGAGTGAATATCTTTGTAGCCAACATATAACGAGAAAAAAAATGCGTGGTCCTACGATTAATTATTTATAAAATAAAATACTAATTTCAAAAAAGTTTTTTGGCTCTGGTTAACATTTTATATTTTGCGACTTACAGCAAACACGTTTTCCTACGTCGATAATGTTTGCTTTATAACTTAAAAATACGTCCACGATGGATAATATTATGTTCAAGCAATCAGTTTTAATTCGTATAACCTTACCTCCAGAGAACATATTGTCGTATTAGTCACGACTTAGGCAACTAATATTTACCTATTAGGTACTAAATGATATGTCATAGCTACTCATGATGTACTAGGCTTACCCGCGGCGTTGCTCGCGTAGTTATTTTTAAAATGCCTAAGAAATAAGACACCGATAAAGAAAGGGAATATCGAAAATCTAGTGTAGTCAATTGTAATCTAAGTCTCTTTTCACTTTAATAAACTAAAAGACGCCACATACCTCTCTCTCTATAGGTATTCCTTCCATTCCAAATTTCCAGACGAACTCCAACATGCCTCAATAGAATATAAATTGATTACAAACATGTTAGACCCGGTAGAAATCGAACCAAAAAACCCGTCGTAACATTTTTAACAAACACAATTTTTATTTATTTGTTTGTTGCTATAGTGGAAAAGACAAAATAATTATTTGCTTTTTTAGGTAACCTTTTACTGGAATTAAGTAGAATAGATAAATAGAAGCGGAAGGAAGGATGTAGGGAGACCTTGTCTCACTTCCGACGTCGAGAGATAGGGTTCATAGTGTGGCCTTCTTTACAAACTAATCGGTATTAATTATTTATGTATTTCAAATCCAGAGCAATGAATATTGCATTACCATTAAATACGGTGACCGTGTGTTTTCTTGCACTGAAACATATTTTTATTAAAATGACGGTCAAAAAGTTCGAGATATAATTCTTAACTATGATGACCAGGCAAACTTTATCTTACCACGTTAATTATTACGAAGAAATGTGATTCCGATAAAGATGTTTCTTGTGAGTTAACCTTAAAATTTAATGAAATTCTCAAAGATGAACCTATACTGCCAGGGACATTGAATAATGCGTATATACATATTTTTGGGAAAACCTTCAAATATATTGTAAAGAGGTATATTTTCCCCCCGTTATTCAACATATCCTCCTATGACGTAGCGTGGTGTGTTATATATATGTATTATTTGACTGACAGAAATTCTGTTACGTTACTAGAATTTATCCATACTAATATTATAAAGCTGAAGAGTATATTTGTTCATTTGAATGCGCTAATCTCAGGAAGTAGTGGTTCGAATTGAAAAAATCCTAATATATTGGTTAGAGCATATATGGAGAAAAGCTATAGACTAAAAATATCAACAAACAAGGAGTGAAGAAACAGTGCGAAATGGACGGGGATAATTATTAGGTATCTTTGAGAGTTTCAACGATTCAAGATACCACAAAAATATGTATGAAAGAATGATGCCTCTTCAGATGATTCTTTATAGATTCTCTATCTATCTTTTTAGATTTACTTGCAAGAACGACGGGACGCGACCGACTTCGGGATAAAAGTTTTAACTGATAAAGATAAGGAGGAGGTTTGCAAAAAAAAATATGCCCAAATAACAATTTCACGCGGACAAAGTCGCTCAAAAGCTTACGCATGTCGTTAATATTTTGCGCCTTCTCAATAATTTCAAACTGTCAATGTCAAGTTGTAATGACGTTATTCATTTTATTTCATTTTTATTAGTTCGATTTATTTCAGCATATCCGAAGCAATGCGCGTTAGTTATACCTATCCTAACTATAATACTGGGTATGAAATACTAATGCTAAGTTGTTTAACCTAAATGCAAATATTTTTCATTTAGGTTAAACTATTTTGCAAGCCCGCTTTCCGAGAACGTCATAAAAAATACAATAAAGGAATTAATTCAACACGCGATGGGTATTTCGTGTGAGAAATTTTTGTTGTTTTAAATCAATGAACCATAACTAATCACTTCGTAATTGTGATTTCAGATGTACTTTGCTATATATACATATCTATATTTATATTTAGGAATTGGTACACAGAATCATTCACTTTCTAATAATCTTAACTTGGATTTACTTAACCAACATTTTACTAGTCCCTCATTCACATTTCATACCAACGATAAGATTGGTATTTTAAGCTCTCTTTCATCTGTGCCAATCCCTACTGGTCCACCGTTCAGCTTCTCTCCGTTCACTGATTGTGACGTTAAAAAGAACATAATTTCCATCACTTCTAAAACTGTCGGTAGTGCATGCATTAGTCGTAACATGATCGTTCCTATTATTGATATCCTTGCTCCCGTAATTAGGCATATACTAAACTTTTCCTTAACATCGGGTGTGTTTCCCAATACCTGGAAAGATGCCTATGTTATACCGTTTCCTTAAAAAATCTCGTCCTCTAACATTCTCGGACTAGCGCCCCATTTCAATTCTCCTCATTCTTTCCAAGGTCCTTGAACGCTTAGTCCACCATCAATTTTGCATGCATCTTAACCAACATAACTTTCTTAATCCATTCCAATGCGGCTTTCGTCCTGTCATAGTACGACTACTGCACTTGTTAAAATCACGGATGACATCCGCGCAGTATGGATGACTAGCAGGTGACCATCTTTACTCTTCTCGATTTCAGCAATGAGTTTTGTACTGTTGATTTTGACATACTACTCAGCTTACTCCGTTCTATCAACGTATCTCCAACTGTGATCGGATGGTTTCATAGTTATTTGAAGGGACGCCGCCAGAGGATTGACATACAGGAAAAGTCTTCCTCATGGCGTGATCTTACTGCTGGCGTATCCTAAGGTGGCGTGCTATCACCTCTTTTTATCTCTATTTTTATTAACTTTTAACATAGAAGAAATATTACTAGTGATAGAGTAATATTTCTTCTCTGTATCACATTTATGCAGACGATCTTCAGATATACAGACATACCAGTCTCGAGGAACTTCCTCTAGCGATTCAGTCTACTAATCACGACCTAAATATCATTACTGACTGGTGCACCCGCTTTGGTCTCGAAATTAACCCAACTAAGACCCAAAGTATCATCATTGGTAGTAGTAAGCTTATTGGCCGGGTTGACAGGCAAAGTATTTCACCGGTGGTGGTGTACTATCTTTCCTTTCACTTCTTCTGTCAAATGTTTGGTTCTAATTCTTGACGAAAATCTGTCCAAATTTTGCTTGCTCAGTTTCATAAATCAATCATCATCAAATATTACATGTGCTACAAGTGCTCCGTAATTGCTTAAAATTTGAAAAATGTACTCTAATAAAATATATAACAAATATAAAATGTAAAAAACATTATTGTTCTCCTTCCCTTCCCTATATTACTCGATGATATGGTATGACCATCCACAAAAAATGTTAAATATTGATTTTTATTTTTTCCACTGAAAATCGACTAAAGAAAAAATGTTGTGTTACAAATGGTAACCCTAGAATACCTAAATAGAATAAAATCTAGAACATTCTTAATGAATTTATGATAGGGGAATACCCAACCTATATGAAAGTAATGTGGCAGTGACAATTGACATCTACTTCGCTGTAAACGTCACATCTAGCCAATCACAGAAGCACAAACGATATTAATTGTAGATTGTCGTACACATAATAAGACTATTTTGTCAACAATTATTAAACATTAATAATTATAAAGAACTATTGCGATAAGTGGAAACACTTAAATAATTAATTATAGTGTGTGACGTACATCATTAGTTGCGATAAAAGGTAAGAAAAATATGATTTCACAGGTTCAACATTTATGTTGCACCATGATTGATTAAAATTGCCATCAAATTCTGTTTTAGCGACAAATAAACCCAATTCGATACCATTTTATGGGACATAAAACTCGATTAGCTATATATAAATGAAATTTAAGTGCAATTAAACCAAAATTCGTGTGATCAATTCAATGGTGGATTAAAATTAAAAACCAAATAAATAGACATCTACAAAGTAAACAGCAATGATAAAGTTTCTCTTACATAGAAAAAAAATTACAGTTTGGTATTGCCAAACTTCCCTTAAAACCCAAACAGGTAGCAGCCATCCTCCACCACAGCCATTATATGATTCAAGAAAATGTTCATATTTGATTATATTACAAATAACGTTATTTAAGAAGAATATGCATAAAAAAGTAGCAAGCAAGATTAGAAGCAAACATGGAAATAGGTTTTAATTACAAGGAATAAAGATTGTATGTGTGAAATGTGATTGGCCTCTTGAGTTCATTTAAAACTTTACAGTGAACTTGTGTAATTTTTAACATGGTTACTAGCTAACATTTTCACATCTATTCCATTTTACAGACTTCGAGACAAAGACCAACATGTTTCAGATTTTTTTTAATTGATTAGAACCATGTTGAACCTGGTAGGGATTGGAACTACAATCCATTGATTTATTACCATGTGTTTATTCCAATTACTTTGAAAATCTACAATCAATACTTATTATTAGACTTACAAACATTTATTCATTCATTTGTTCAGACAAAGTAAAACTATTTTATCTTGTACTGGCTGAGAATGTATGTTATAATCTTGTTTCAGATACTTTGAAACCTAAAAATGGGAAAGGGTATGTATATACATATATTTTACTTTTATTGCTTTCTGTTTTACATATTTATGATATACTAGAAGCTCTTTAAAAAGAAAACTTTAGAAATACAAAAAAATAATTAAATCCTTGTATTATATTATAAGTAGGTATATTATTGCAGAGTAATTATTTGGTTCCTTATCTGTAGGCAAGAAAAAGGGGAAAAAGGGGGTTGAAGATGTTCCAATTGGAGCTCTAACTTTAGAAGAGCAACCCTCATCTTCAAGCTCCGGAACAGTTCAGCAGCCAAAGAAAGAAACTTCAGTCCCACCAGATATTGAAAAAGAAGATGATATGGATGGTGGGTTGGACTTAGGAGGACCAAGAAGAAGGAGGAAGAAGAAGAAGGAGGCAACCTCATCACAACAGGGAACACCAAGGGTTATTGAAACTCAGCCTGTAACTCCTAGTACTGCTGCAGCACCTGCACCACAAACCTGGAGGCAGCCTCAGGCATCACCTGCTGCTCCTGTGCCGAGTCGTGTGGTTGAAAATCCACCACCTGCACCTCCTGCTGCTGTGCCTCAACAAACTGATAGTGCAAAATCTTGGGGTAAAGATGCCACAACAGAACAACCATCATTTTGGGGAAGAAGTGACCCACCATTGCGTGGTCACGGTAGAGGTGCTCCATCACATGGTGGCCAAGGGAGGGGCAGAGGTGGTCCAGGGTATGGAGACCACCCAGGCATGCAAGCACCAGAACCTGGCAAGTTTGCTTCACAACCTATGCCCTCCCAAGCGCCAGTGCCAGATGTCACAACAGAACAGCCATCATTTTGGGGAAGAAGTGACCCACCATTGCGTGGTCACGGTAGAGGTAGAGGTGCTCCATCACATGGTGGCCAAGGGAGGGGCAGAGGTGGTCCAGGGTATGGAGACCACCCAGGCATGCGTGCACCAGAACCTGGCATGTTTGCTTCACAACCTATGCCCTCCCAAGCACCAGTGCCAGATGCCACAACAGAACAGCCATCATTTTGGGGAAGAAAGGACCCACCACTGGGTGCAGGTAGAAGTGCTCCACCACAAGGTGACACACAAGGCAGAGGTGGAAACCGAGATCAACGACCAGCACCTACACCACAACCTACCATGGTTGCTTCACAAGCTACATCTTCCCAAGTATCAATGTCCTCAGTTCCTCCAAGTAGGGTTCCTCAGGGTACAGGCAAAGCTGTGGGATCAGTGGTGTGTCGCTTTCAAATACCTAAAAAGACTAGAACTAATGCACCAATTCCAGCAAGTGCTACGAGGGTCTTGACAAACTATTTACCAATGAATATTAAGCCTCTGAAAATAGTAAGTAGAGTATTAACTTATTTCGAGTTTAATATTTATATTTAATAAATAGTTATAGAGCCTCATATTCGCCTATGTATTTGAAACGATAATGATAATAATATCTCTATCATTCGTAAATATTAGAACAATGCAACAATTCAGTTCTCCTCGGAGAAATTATTCATTATACAATAACATTGGCTCTTAATGTTTTCAGCACCGTTACGATGTCGCAATAAAACCGGATAGGCCGAAGAAGTTTATGTCAAAGGTGTTCCAGGCGATGAAAGCTAAATACTACCCTAAACACATAATTGCATTTGACCAAATGAAAAACTGTTATGCGGTGCAGGCTCTTATCAAAAATGATGAACGCTTTTGTACTGAGGTGGGTTACATTTTCATTTATACATCTTTAAGGATACCTAGAGGGTAAAAACTATCACTTGACCTAACACACTAATACGTTCTTCTTGGCTTTCATAAGTCTATATAATTAGTGTCCAACTGTAGTATGTTTTGTCAGTGGTATGGAACAACTTGGACCCACATTTGCCTTTTTTATTTTTTCTGGCTGGCTTATAAAATCAGCAACAAAAACCAAAGCTTTGTAACCTTACTTAAATTTTTTGGTGGAAAGATATTAGTAGATTTTTTCGATTTCCTTTAAAGACCACGCAAAATGGTGTGCTTAAACATAATATAAATAAATTCAAATTGTCTCCCCATGACCTCGGCTGCTGCAAAACATCTGAAACGTCGGGCCGTATTAAAATAACTTTCTAATAAGTTTAACTAATATATATCGCGTTGTAAACCGTTAGTGTTTTATTTAAATTAAAATAATTCAAGTAAAAACTTTACATAAATAGTAGCGACCGCCCTTATTTTTTATAGTTATATAACTTTGATAATTGTTTGTATAATTTTTACAGGTCGATATAAAAGATGATAATGGAAAAACCTGTACATATGAAATTGCATTGAAGTTAACTGGAATGGTAGACTTGAGTGTATTATTCAAGTAAGTTTTTATTAGTATGTTAATTTTAAGCTTATTAATTTAATTTAAACTAATTAAGTTAATTTTAAGGTAATTATAGCTTTTTTTATTATTTATCTTTGATTACAATAGTTAAGCATTATGACAATAGAATTATTATGTATTTTTAAAAGTTAAAGTAACCTGATTTGTTTTAAGGAAATAAAACAAGGTGTTTTGTATATGTGATATTCTAGTAAAATTGTATCGGGTTATTATTGGTAGTTAAAGATAGATGTTAGTTTATAATGTTCTGAAGTTTAATTTGTGCAATCATTTTCAGTTACATGCGTAGTGGCACAGCATTGTCACCTCCAACCGAAGCCATACATTGCATTGATGTCGTCCTGCGACAAGGAGCCTTGGAAAACTATGTGAAGGTAATAATATTTGCTCTTATTAATGATGGTGGAGTACAAGCATGAATGGCGTTCACACAGTGAAAGGTGAAATACCACAGTCATTTAAGATCTAAACAAGATACGCTGTTGGCTTTTTTTTGTTATATGTAAAATATAACCTTTTTCATCAGGGAATTTCGATATTACTATTTTGTGTTCAGATTGTTGCCAGAGATAACTCAATCCTAATATAAAACTACAAAAAAAGGAAAAACAGAAATCCATGCTAATTTAATGTATAACGTAATCAATAAGGCGACAAAGTTGTAAATGTTGAAGAAATACAAAACAACAAAACGGTAAATACAAATTCAAAAATGAAATTAAGATAGTTAATCGCTTCAGTAGGCGCTTCTCTACTCTAGGTGGTGCCTAGCATGTACCCCATTTCCCAAGCACTCTTCCAAGTTTCCATTTGTTTGTTTTTCTTCTTCCTCTTTTTTTAAATTAAGCTAATATTTAAGTTATTTATTCGGTCTTTTGAAATAAGTGATTTGAGTTTGTAAATGTTAATATATTCAGGGAGTGCCTGTTAGAGATTATAACTATGGTTTAAAACTGGCATTGGTTTAAGGCATTTTTAAATTCTCTAAAACTTATTTAGGCCAGTCGCCAGTACTTCATGCGTCCCAGGAATCCCATAGACCTCGGAGATGGCCTGGAAATGTGGACTGGTTTATTCCAATCTGCGATATTCACATCTAGGCCATTCATTAACATCGATGGTATGTAACTGTTCATAAGTAACAACTTAATATGATAAAATAAAACATTTTGTTAATCGTTAAATGGAGGATAAAGAAAATTTATAAGCATATTTGTCTGCTACAACTATAGCAAATAAAAATGCAACGTTCTCTTGTTTTGTTTGTAGGTAGCGTACACATTTGAATAGAACACTTATTATTTTTTATTTATTCGAACCACGACCCAACAATACGTCGCTCCTGAAAATAGCATAACAGAATTGACGACATTGAAGACACCCACCAACTTCCCCAGTTGCCTCAAAGCCTCGGAGACGTCGGGTCATAGTTAAATTAAGTGTTTAATGACTTATTGTGCCATGTTCTAGCACATACTAAGACATGGAGATTAGTCCTAGACACTAGTTCAAACTCACCTAGTTTCTCCAGTTTGGTTTGACAGGTTCTTATGGCTACCGTCGCTACGATAATTATAGCTGAAACCGACGGCGTGCTTTCCAGGGCAATGATCTTCTGTATTTAGTATAATATTTTGACTTCTGTTTTATCATCACAGTGGCACACAAGGGTTTCCCGAAGAGTCAGCCGTTGATCGACACATATAGCAGGGATTTCCGCTTGGACCTTAACAGCCCCATTGAGAGGCAGAGGAAAATGGAGTGTGAACTATTCGTTAAATACCTACGTGGTTTACGGGTAATTTGAATTTACTTTAATTTGCTTTTACACTTTAAAGGCTTCTAGATTTAGTTAAAATGAAACTATAGTTAAATCAGTCATATATAGGACAAAGGTTGAGTTAATAGAGGTGATCATGTTTCATTATGATTGATAGATTAATATTCGATGACACGCGCGGCGCGTGAACTGGCATCCACAGGGATCCGTCACTGTGTCTTTCTGTACTAAAACTTTATAGATACTCGATTCCATTCAACATTCGAAGAGATCAAAATATATTAATATTATAAAGCTGAAATTTGTTTGATAGTCTGTTTGTTTCAACAAGGTAATCTCACTTACTACTAGTTTGAATTAAAAAATTACTTTGTTGAACCATTTATCGAGGAAGGCGAGGAAGCTATGAAACATCAGGCTGCGACCAATAGGAAAATGTGAAAAAAAGGGGGAAATTTAATATTCATCTTTGACGGTTTCCGTTCCGTGCGAAAACGGTTTAAGATACCCGAATTATAAGTTTAAAAGGGTTATAGTTTACGCGAGTAGTACACATTTAAATAAAACACTTTAACGGTTAAAACTTTCACTTTGACGTCAGAGACATCTTCCATCTTTAGTTTCCCCGTGACGACGGCTGCTGCAAAGCATCCGAAACGTCGGGTCGAAGTTAAAAATCATTTTCAAATAAGTTTAACTAATATATCGCGTTTTAAACCGTTAAAGTGTTTTATTTAAAAGGGTTACTTCTTTAAATTGCTGGTTGCGTTTTGTGGTTATAAACTTTTGTGGTCAAAATACTTCATAGGGAAAAAGAACGTTTGCCAGGTCAGGTAGTATAGTAATGTCATTCAAATGGCGTTAGCAGGTTTTGCTTCGACCACGTGTGGCCACGGTTGTTGCTAGAGATCAGAAACTGTTTTATTTATTTGCATTGTATTGTCATTTTTCAGGTGGTTGCCACAATTGGTGACTCACGAACGGGATTCAAGAAACGCGAGTTCATTTGCAACGACATAAAGCCACCAGCCAACGCCCTCACGTTCACCATCACTGAAGAGTCCGGTCGGAGCAGGACTATCTCTGTCGAGCAGTACTTTACTAGCAAGGGATATAGGTACAGTATAACTTACTACTCCTCTTCTTACTACTACACTCTACTAGTATTAATTAATGTCCAGTCTCCTAATGTTATTTTGATGTCTCAAATAGTTATTCCGGGGAATCCCGGAAAAACTGTCGGACCCACCAAGAACACTATATTTAAAAAGTGGGATAAGTATGATAACACACCATATGCAGTACATATATAAAAAAAAATTGTTATCTAGAAAGGAATAGAATTCTGCTAAAAAAATACTTAGTTGAAATATAAGAAATTCATCTACCCTCTCTTGCAGACTCCGATACCCAAATCTGAATTGCGTCTGGGTTGGACCGAGGGACAAGGAAATTTATTATCCCATGGAGTTACTTCACGTCGCGTATGGCCAGGTAAGTTGTTAGAAGAAAGAAATAAATTTATTGACTACTAAGGCACACAAAAAAATATATTAGACTTATTACTAAAACATAAAAAACAAAACATAATTTAATTTTAACAGTATAACTTAATATTAAAAGCATAAAATAATGTGTGCTGCTAGTAGAATAGGATCTTACTCAGTTCATATCAGGCCCTTTGTTGACCTGATACTGATTTTCAGTAAGTCCTTAGAGTGTGGACTCAAGTGAAAATAGACAAAAAAAAAATTACAAAATTTTTTTTTCTAATAAAAAAACAGTAAACTTTACAAAAAAAAGTAAGACAAGTCAAGCTGTATAAAAGAAAAAAATAATTGTTCCATTAGTACTACATAATATAATGGGTAAATATCATAGGTTTCCACTGACAGCGCTACCAATGTCAGTTTTTTGTAACGTTTCTTAAAGGTGGTAAGTGCTATTTTAGTCCTCAAGGGGGGTATTAGATGACATATTTACTTTACCCCCCTGTATAATTAGTAAATGCATAATTATAATAGATGCAAAGTTTTGCATGAAACTTTTTTTATAATGTATAAATAAATTGTTTTGATATATTGGTTAATTTTCTCTTTAACAGGCACTAAACAGACAATTGAACGAAAGGCAGTTGTCCAAAATGGTTCGAGAAGCCGCTACTCCTCCCAGCGACCGAAAGAGGAAGATCGAAGAAGTCATTCGAGATGTAAGTGTAGCATTATTGTTTAAGTATGTTTATCGATACAAATTCTATACCAAACCAGAGATAGGGGGGGGGGGGGCCGGGGGAGGGGGGGGGAAAAAAAAAAAAAAAAAAAAAAAAAAAAAAAAAGAAAAAAAAAAGGGGGGGAAAAAAAAAAAAAAAAAAAAAAAAAAAAAAAAAAAAAAAAAAAAAAAAAAAAAAAGAGAAAAGGGGAAAGGGGGGAGGAGGAGGGGGGAGGAGGGGGAAAAAAAAAAAAAAAAAGGGGGGGGGGGGGGGGGGGGGGGGGGGGAGGAAGGAAAAAAAAAAAAAAAAAAAAGAAGAAAAAAAAAAAAAAAAAAAAAAAAAAAAAAAAAAAAAAAAAGGGGGGGGGGGGGGGGGGGGGGGGAGGGGGGGGGGGGGGGGGGGGGGGGGGGGGGAGAAAGGGGGGGGGGGGGGGGGGAAGGGGAAAAAAAAAAAACCCCCAAAAAAAAAAAAAAAGGGGGGGGGGGGGGGGGGGGGCCCCCCCCCCCCCCCCGGAAAAAAAAAAAAAAAAAAAAAAAAAAAAAAAAAATTTTTTAAAAAAAAAAAAAAGGGGGGATTTTTTCAAAAAAAGGGGGGGGGGGGAAACCCCGGGGGGGGGGGGGGGCCCCCAAAAAAAAAAAAAAAAAAAAAAAATTTTTAAATTCCCGGGGGGGCCCCCCGGGGGATTGGGCGGGGGGGGGGTGTAAAAGCCAAAAAAGGCTCGAAAAATGCTCTGACCAAAAAAAAAATATTCAACCGGTAGTTCGTGAGATAGCGCGTTATATTAGTATGTATATGCGTTATATAGTAGAGCTTTTATGTTTAAGCGTTCCTAAGCAACACGTTAAACAATAGATTTTATTAATTTTTAATTTAACTTTCAGATGAAATATTCCAGCAACGAATATTTCAAAGAGTTTGGTTTGGAGATCACTAATAGATTCTATGAGGTCGACGCGAAAGTTTTGAACGCTCCAATCTTGAATGTTGGCGAAGGGACTGTGAGGCCCAGGTAAGATATAAATAATATAATCATGTAAGACCTAGCCAGCATACTAGACCAAAGGAACATGTCACATATTTGCTTTAATGACGGTCTCAACTTAGCATTATTGCACATTCTGTAAGTTAAAGTTTCCTTTTGCAGCTAGGAAGTCTTCATAACTATCTATGAATTTTACTCTTACTGTGTCCACTTTGACTACCATCCTCTAATTTTTGACTCATATTGCTGTCCTGAAATAGAGCTGGAGCATGGATGGCCAAGAGGCTCCTGCAAGCAAGCGCCCTTCAATCTTGGGGATTCCTGGTGGTGGAAACTGACCCCAACCGTCTTAGATGCGAGGACATCATTCAAAAGGTATCAGCACCTATTGTTTTATTATGACATTTCACTATACCGTTATAATTCTTTTAAATACTTTAACGGTATAAAACACGATATATATTAGTTAAACTTATACTTCACCATCGGTTCCGCCGTAGTTGTATTTGGCGAAACTATCCAAGTGCTTGCAGAATTGACTAACGGTGTCTTTGGATAACCGGTATGCTGTTATTTGGATCTCATATTAAAGACTGGATTTCAAAACCAGCATAGCAGAAAACGCGAAGACAAGACGAAACAGATGGCGCTAGCATAGAAGTTCTTACTTTGACATAGAGACACCCTCCATCTTTAGTCTCCCCAGCCCGTAGTTAAAATAATTTCCAAATAAGTTTAACTAATATATATCGCGTATTTAAATTGTTCAAGTGTTTAATTTAAATGTGTACTACTCGCAAAAGTATAGACTTGTCCCGACTTGAACCGGCATCGACAGCGTTCCTTGCTGTTGCTCTACCAATTAAGCTACCAAGTCCTAATACATACATAATATTACCACTACTACTACATGATATTTTTTTAGATACAAGCCGTCGGTCGACAAATGGGGATGGCCGTACAGAGTCCAGCGATGACCAACTTTAACGTGAAAGCAACCGAACTACTCAGCATTTTTAGACGAGCGGTCGACTGTCGAATCAACTTCCTCTTTGTCATCGTCAGTACATGGAGTAAGAATCTTTATCAAAAGGTAATTTTCGAAACATTCTCATTTACCTAGTTAACATTTGTAGTTTTAATATAACTAAAATGTATTAACACCTATTGTGTCCCTCTTTGTTAGTATCTGTCTCGCTCTTACATGATGTCGCACCAAAAATAGAGTTTGAAGATTCCTAAACAGACGCTGGTTCGTTTTTCGTGCATTCGTGTTTTGTTTCATCTGTAAGTGGTACAGTGCTTTATACTGTACTAGCTGTGCCTGTGACTTCATTCGCGTGGAATAGTGACTTGGGCTAGAATTTTTAATTATCTAGGCTGTTTATTAATTTATGTAAGTGCTACGTTGCCGCAACACTCTCACCTCACATCACTCCTACTCTAACTCCCACTCCCACTCCGACTCCGACTCCTATTCACAAAAAGCCAAAGAAGAAAGTTTCATTGTTCTAGCTTCAAAAACTACAAATTTACCTATTTCATAAAATCCCGCCTTCTTAAATTGTAGTGTTCTATCATTATGATTTTTTCACAGGTTAAGAAGTTAGCTGAATTGGAAGTTGGTATATTGACCCAATGTATAAGGGACCAGACCGCTGAGAGACGTATGAACGAGCAGACCATACGTAATATATTACTCAAGGTAACCTTAGTAATATCATAAGTTCATAAATTTCTTGTTTAATGTACACGTATAGTGTATTTTTTCTAACTTGGCATTTTTGGTAAACAAATACGCAATTTACATGAAATCGCGATTTTCTCAAAAGATTTACTTTAAAAAAACTTTCTAGAATACATATTAAACTAAGGAAATACTTCAAATTCAATTAGTAAAAACCACAATTTCATGCTAAAACTAATCCTAAACATGAATTAACTTTAATGCACACATTGAAATTTCTTTCGTTTAGAATTTGATGTGATGTAACAAGTCAACGACAATAATTTGTATAAGTCTCACTCATGCACGATCGCTCAAAAGCGTTAGCGTTGAGTTGAATCATAGTGACATAAAAATTTAAAGGAAAAAGGTCGCCATTAAAATGGTTTTCAATATTGAGAACGTCTGGCCACACTTCATTCTATCAAAGGCCATCGCTAGGTTAGGTACGGGTTTGGAATCGGCCATATTTGTCGTGGTGTTTTATTTATTTACTTATTAAATAAAAAAAATCTACCTTTACAGGTTACACCTCATACGATAGAAAAAAAAATACAAATACTTTAAAATATTAATAATTACATATTATATATGAATTGCCAAGTTAAGAAAAATACACTATGCGTCGTAGCTGTAATGGACTATATCTTTTATGTAAATTTACAGGTGAATTCCAAATTGATGGGCGTGAACCAGACGTTGGGCAATACATCAGAGCCGCCGTGTCTGAGAAATGGAGACGTTATGGTCGTCGGAGCTGACGTGACTCATCCATCGCCCGAACAAGTATGTATGAAAAATAAGCAGTTTAAAACGGGAAATGTATTAGTTATCTTATTTACAGTTTATTTTATTTGTGATCCGACGTTTCGTATCTATGCTTTGCCACGGCCGTGGTCACGGGTCCACATAGACCGTAGTCATAAGTTAAATAAAATTTTCATAACATTACATTTTAAAACCATTAAGTGTTTTATTTAATTGTATACTACTCAAGTAAGCTACATATGGTAAAGAGTTTTCCTTCGTGAGCGAACAAAGAATTGAAGAGAATTTTAAATATTAGATTACTATTATAAGGTGACTAGTTAAACTCTAGTTTTCATAAACTATAGACTATAGAAAATAAAACAATCTCTATATCTATTTCCTTCTTTTCAGACGGACATTCCTAGCATCGCCGCAGTGACAGCGTCATTTGACACTAAATGCTTCCAGTACAATATTCAGTTGAGCATTCAGACACCTAAGGTTGGTACTACTTTGCCGATAAGAAAGAAACATAATGAGAAATAAATACTACACAAAAACATATAAAAATTATTACTTAAATAAAAACTAAGATTTTCTTTTAAATTTTGCGCTACTTAACTGTCTAGTAGTTCTATTTTCTTAGTAAATTATTTTCTATTGGGGATAGATGATAGAAGGTCGGGTGATCAGTCCACGCCGTTTCTGACTATTTCACCCATTCCCCCTCTGCGGGGAAGTCTTTCTTAAGGCTTAGTGTTGGTAATATTTGCGCAATAAAATGTTTCTATTGTTAAGAAATGTTTGAATCTAAAACGCCCGACTGACATAAACAACACTTATGTGCATTTATGTACATTTTTGTGGAAAGTAACCGGCCTTTGATATTTATACTAGAAATAAGCTTTAGTATAAATAATTATACTATCTAGTCAAACAGTGCGAATATGCAAACGCTTAATTCCTAGTATCAAGTTACAAAACTAAGGACATCAATTTCAATTCTATTATTATAATTCAATTCTAAATAAATGTCGGGCCACATACTCTGTTGTTAATAAAATAAAATATACTTTTTCTCTTAAAAAATTAAAAAATGTTTGTTCGTCGTGATTCTACAGTGCAAAAGAGAAAAACTCAAGTCAACCCAAGAAACTCAGTCAATACATTTTTGTAAACTTATTAACAGGAGTAATTCATATTACTGCCAGGCGGTCTTGTCATTAAAGAAATCGTTCAGACAATAATACGCCTTTTGAGACAATCTAAGTTTTATAACTTTCTTAAATTTATTTATCGATAAATTTGAAATCTCAACTGGCAATGTAATATACATACGAAATATTATTCTATTGTTATTTTCTGACACACAGAAAGAAATGATTGTGGAGTTCGAAGAGATGATGGTAGAGCATTTGCTGGTCTACAAGAAACATCAAAGGTCTCTACCGCGCAAGATTTTCATATTTCGAGACGGCGTCTCTGAAGGGCAGTTTGCTCAGGTAAGCAGAATAAAATAATAACCAACTCGTCGCAATATTATTAGTAGAAGGATACTGCGATAGACAGGGTGGCGTCAAATTTCCAGATCTTTCTCGTTCCTTTGTAGTAGTTAAGTAAAATAGCAGCCTTTTAATTCAAGTAAAACACTTGTAACGCTTTCAACGTGAAATATACTAATAAAACGAATATTTTATTTAAGAAAACTAGTAATACCTTAATACGCAAGTGTTAAAGTTGAAATTACATTGCATGTCAATAGGTTGAAATAAATCGACGATGACGTGTAGGACACGGTAGTTAAATTGGTTAGAGCATTTAAATAAAACACTTTAACGGTTTAAAACGCGATGTTAATAGTTAAACTTATTTAAAAAGGTTATGGATGCCTGTTCAAGTCCTACTCGTGTCGTAAATTTTTTCAATTTATAATCGTTTTTTAATTGGTTTTTACTAGTTAAAATAATAACATTATAGGATTCATATTGTAACTCATTTACTTACTCAACGTTTTCAAAACTAAAACAGGTGATGAACAGTGAGCTTGTCGCGGTTTACAAAGCCTATGAACGTGTCGCCGGTCCCAATAAGAAGCCTGAAGTTCTGTTCCTTTTGGTGCAAAAGAGACATCACACCAGGTAAATACGACGCACCTCTCTGTCCACCTAGAGGGAGGCCTATGTCGTAAAACAAACGAATTCGTTGATTTATAAATAATGTTAATATTAAAAGACTTAGCTAGGTAGATATAGTTAATCGTATTTGGCATAGTTTAAGATATATAATTTAGGATTTTAAAATGAAGCCTATAAAAATTCTTGCATATCTTACTGTTTACATTGGTTTGTAAATAAAGGTCATTTTATACCTCCACCTATAGTGTCCGTGGTGTCCGTATTTCATAGTCTCGAAAAATTAATGAAGGAAAAAATACTTTATCGTCTTTTAGATTCTTCTTAGGCGAGAACAATGCGCAGAATGTCCTGCCTGGCACAGTCGTCGACAAAGACGTTGTACACAATAGCGAAATGGACTTCTATCTGGTAAAAAACATCCATTCTTAAAATAAAACACAGCTGTAATGACAAACAAATGTATGTACACACACACCATCATTGAAAATATGAACATGCATAACTGGCGTTCAAATAATATAAATTTTATTTTATTAGCCTAATATTATTAGCCGCATTTCTTCGTCTTCTTCAGACATAAGAAACTGTATATAATATTTTGTATCCAAAATAAATTGTCTGACTTATATCACCTAGTAACCAAACCTCACTCTAATCTAAAATATCTAAAAAAGTGGGAAAATTGTTCTAATATATTAATTACATTTTAGGTGTCCCATCAAGCTATAAAAGGAACAGCCCGACCGACCCGATATTACGGCGTATGCAACGATGGCAACATTCCAATAGAGGAAGTGGAACAACTGACATTTTATCTATGTCATCTTTACGCACGCTGCACCAGATCTGTGTCGTATCCCACGCCTACATATTACGCCCATCTTGCTTGCACGCGGGCCAAACATCTCACCTTGTAAGTATTACAAGCATAAATACTCCCCTACTACTTACACTAGGCAGCAAGCTTTCACAACGTAATCTCCCCATCTATACAAAACTTTACCAAGAAGAAGAAGAGTTTTTTTTTTGTTTGTATGACCGCGTTCATGTCAGGAAATTCTAATCGAAAAATTGTATAAGGTTCAAGTCACCCATAAAATATGTATGAAAATAAAACACTTCGGAAACGTCGGGCCGAAGTTAAAAATCATTTTCAAATAAGTTTAACTAAAAAAAAATAATGATTCCTTTTTTAAAAAAAAAAAATAATGATTCCTCTTTAAATGATCGAAAAAATGTCCGCGACGCTATAATATGTCTATCTATTAAGATTTAATGGCAATAACGACGGTCGTGAGTAACAGGTAAAATTTATAAAGATGAGGAGATATGCTAAACCAACTTTTGATGCCCTAAAGGATTCATTAATAGTAAGGAACATCGTATTCGGTTACCGACTGCATATTTTTAAACTTTTCTTGTTCACAGTGGTGACCGCTTCAACAACAGGGATTTGGAGCTTAGACCTCAACGTCTTCAAGTTTTGAATCGAATGTTAGACAATAGCCGTATGTTCTTCGTGTAAAATTGAGTTTATTAAAAACAAAAAAAAAATCGAAAAATATCTACCAAAAAAATGTAACACTTCAAAATATATTTTATTGTTTGTGTGTAAGCAAAATATGTGTGAAAAAAAGGAATTTATACAAGGTTATGCCTACTTCATGCGAAACCTGAAAGTAGTGCACACGTTATATTTTTTGTCAAAATTGTATGAAATTTTTGAAATCTTGGATTATGGACGATAAATTTCGTCACGTGTTTCAGCTTTAGTATCTACAAAGAATAACCTTGTATAAGTAATTGTCAGAAGTTGATAGACACCTAACTCTTTGAATTTTCTATTTAAAATAATCAAAATTATTAAATGTTATTTTGTTTGAGATCTCATGTTTTTGTGTTTTTTTATACAAATCATTTTATTTGTATAGTAGGCATCTGATATATTTTTTATTTTGCCTTCAGTTTTAAATGTTTTCATTATAGCGTAAAACATTTTGTAGTAAAAGTACCCTTATTGGCAATTCAAATTCCAGATAATGTGTAAAATCGTTTTAACAAATAAATGGTCTGTGTAATCTGCGTTTTTTTTTATTTTATTGGCGTTATATTACACTATAACAGCAGGTTGGACCAAGTCTGTTGCCAATCCTTACTAATATTATAAATGCGAAAGTAACTCTATCATCTGTCTGTCTGTTACTCTTTCATGCCAAAACTACTGAACGGATTTGACTGAAATTTGGTACACAGATGGTTTAGACCCTGAGAAAGGACATAGGATAGGTTTTTATGGCGAAAAGGTGGTTAAAAGGGGCTAAAAGTTTGTATGGAAATTCGTGGTTTTTGAAGCTAGAACAAAAAACTTTCTCCTTTGGCTTTTTGGGATTAGGAGTGGGAGTTTGAGTAGGAGTAATGTGAGGTGAGAGTGTTGCGGCAAAGTAGCATTTACAACTTAGATTGGCTGCGATAAATGCGCAATTACATAAATTAATAAACAGCCTAAATAATTTTTAAAAAACCCAAGTCACTATTCCACGCGAACGAAGTCGTGGGCACAGCTAGTATTTATATAAATTCTACTGTGTTCTCAGTAGGTTTACACAAGATTTCTCCGTTTTATTTTTGCGCTCTCACTTAGAAAAATAGAAATAAACGCTAGATGGCAGTACTTACAATTATGCCATTATTTTAACTATGTTTAACATAATATGTAAATATAAAATTTAAATGAAACCCAAATATTTACTAATGAAGATATAATATGATGTGTATATAAAAATATAATATTGGTTTTACTTACAACTAAACCTATATTAAAATAATGGTTTTCACAACTGCAATTGGTAAAAATTGGTTTTTCACTTAATTTTTTTTTTGATCTTAAAGATGTATAGTATTTTATAGTTGTTATGATATTAATATTTTAAATAAGTAAAATCTTAATAAATTATCTGTTGTAAATAACCTACTAATAAAACTAACAATAATAATTATAATATGTGCTCCAATTAAGCTACATCTGTGGTATCTAATGTCTAGTGTATACTACTCTGTGGTTGTAATTTGTAAATTACCATTTATCACAAATCACAATTTTTCTATGTTTTCAATGGAAATTGGAAACTATTTTTTTCCACAAAAACTGCAAAATTACACCAATATTTATTTTACGTATTCAATAAAAACTTCCAAACAAGAAATATATTAGGTAATAGATACGAATGCTTGCTTGTGGAAAATGATATTTGCGTTGTTTACAACCGCATTGTTTTGTGTGAATTCTATTCATGCTAAATATGGCCTATTACAATGCCGGCAGTGAATTATGTTCGGGTAATTTTAAAGAATTGCTGAGTGAAAACTATATTGTTGACGATTTGTCTGTAATTCCTTTAGAAAAAGATACTTTTGGTAAGTTATTTGCCAGAATCATTTCTTAAAAAATACTGAATTGTCCAGATTTGCTGCCACAAATTATTCAGGTTTAAATTGTTGCAATTTTAATTTGTGGTACGTACAGTATAGAGTGCGCGCATAATCATTTAGAAAAGCATTGGTTAACATTCAAATCAGAGACCTGACACTTAGGTGGACCTGACTTAATATTCTGTTTTAAGCGATATGTGAATTGTGCGGTCGCGTCGGGAGAAGAGGTCAGTTTTACCCAAGAAACAACAAGTTCTGTTCATTAAGATGTCATGCGAGCAGCACTAGAAAACGACATTGCAATTGGCGTTTCAAGTTAATGGAAGGTGCAGAACATATGGCAGGCATGATTCCTCTCGAACCATTGCCACAGTTGCAACATTGGCAAGCTACATACAGTGACTTGCAGGTACTAGACCTCTAATCTTCTATAACTAAGTAATGCGGGCTGACCCCTATTCTATCGTTAAAAGTTCATGAGCATTTCTTAACAGGCTTATTTTCATTGGCTTAGTGTCATGATTCGAATTAATACATAAAGAACAATTACTAATTCCTATCCAGAAGCTTTGCAAAGAGGTTTGAGTTAAAAGACCAACTGACAAAAAATTATAACACAGGTGGGAAATTGGGACTTGTGCTGCTGATCTAATGAATCGGGCTAATTTATCTCTGTATCCCTGCTGTATGCTGGCTTAAGTGATATTTGTATCATCAAATTATTTTAATCTAAATAGTTTTTTAATCTAGATAATGTCATCATAAAAGTAATAATGTTTTCAAACCCCAACATATAATAATAGTTCTAATAAGTGTGGTGTTATTAAAGGCTGGGCCGATAAAGCAGTCTGCAGCTGCTCTAGCTAATAGCTATGAATGGAAGGATGAATTATTTGGCTGTGAATTTCTCGCTGCCCCCGTCAGTTTATTCAAACATGCCCCGCTTCATGAAATGTGGGATAATACATTTGAGGGCATGAAAGTTGAAGTGAAGAATATGGATATAGAGAATTACTCTGAGAAATTAAATGACTTCTTTTGGGTTGCAACTGTATTAAAGGTATGTTAGATACTCATATAAATCAAATTACTTTTGTTTACAAACCCTTGGATTGTTTTCTTTACTTTTATTTTATAGCTTGATTATGCTTACAAAAGTATATTGTGCCTTTCAAAATTTAATTTTTAATGGTAACAAAATTTCTATAAAGGTCATATAATTATCTTTATGGTTCTGGTATTATCTATGATGTAGGATTCATTATTTCTTAACTAAATGTTTTAAATAGTAATGCTTAGAATTTCAAGTGCTGTATAATTCTTGCATTATTCATTACAATGTACAACTAACATAGAAAAGATTTCAACCATATTGACTTTCTAGTTAAGTTAATGTTGATATTATATAACCAAGTTCTGCAATCATATGTGTAATAAAAAAATCAATACTGTGTCTAGTTTTCCTTTATCTTACTGCAATCCTAAATGAAATCAGTTAGGTGATATTGTATTTATCATTATTTTAAATAGGTACTTCAATTTGTTATGGCAAGTTTTGCATATACTTGACTTGGTATTATATTAATTCAAATTTACTATATTATTCATTCATTTAAATTTAAGGTCAAAGGGTACATGGGTCTACTTAGGTATGAAGGCTTTGGTAGTGATGATTCTAAAGATTTTTGGGTAAACCTATGCTGTTCGGAAGTGCATCCAGTTGGATGGTGTGCCACGAGAGGGAAGCCCCTTATACCACCGAGAAGTATAGAAGATAAATATACAGATTGGAAAAAGTATGTTACTTTGAGAAATGGAGTATTTTCAGATACCATATTTTTTTAGTGTACCTTTTATTCTTATTTACCGCCTCTGCAGCTAAATGGTTAAACGTGTTGCCTAGCATTGCGTTAAGCGCGAGAGGTTATGGTTCGAATCCCGGGGAACAGTAAATTGTTTCGGTCGGGCAGGGCACGTCTGATCAACTACTTACCTGTAAATAAAATTGATCAGTGAATCGGACACAGAAGTGAGTTCGCCCTATGCCCCACGAGAGGCATTTTTTTTAAATTCGTATGTAATCACTATTTCAGGTTTCTCGTCAAACAATTAACTGGTGCTCGTACATTGCCTGCTAATTTTTATACGAAATTGAATGACAGTCTCGTGTCGAGATTTTCGGTTGGTTCTGTTATGGAAGTTGTGGATAAGAACAGAATTTCACAAGTAAAAGTAAGACATATTTCTTTAATCTATCAATTAAAACATCAATCGATTAAAATCTACGATTATCAACAGATATCGTAATAAAAGTAATCAAATTTTCATACTAATTATATGAATGAGTGTACTATGTCACATGCTCGATGCTAAGGAAAGAGCCTTTTGACACAGATTTAGAAACGCAATCTTTATTACTATTTTTAAGAATATACAGTATGTCTGAAAAACCTACCTATTTATATGTTTATTCACAGGTTGCCAGTGTCTGTGAAATAATCGGCAAACGTTTACACGTAAAATACTTCGATAGTTCACCAGAAGACAACGGCTTCTGGTGTCACGAAGACTCACCGCTAATACATCCTGTTGGCTGGGCTTTTAGAGTGGGTCATCCTTTAGACGCACCGCAGAATTACTGCCAGCGAGTGGCATCCGGAAGATTATTTCCCAATGACTCTACTATAGACATGTTTTACAAGTATCCAACAAACGAGCCGCCATTATTCGCTGAAGGAATGAAGTTAGAAGCAATAGACCCACTTAATTTATCTGCAGTATGTGCTGCTACTGTTATGCAGATATTGAACGAAGGATATATGATGATAAGGATTGACTGCTATCCGGCTGATGCCTCTGGCGCAGACTGGTTCTGCTACCACCAACGGTCTCCCTGTATATTTCCAGTCGGTTTCGCACTGGCTAATAACATCCCATTGGTGCCTCCTATAGGGTATGTTATTTTTTAAACTTTTTAATTGTGAACTAATCTTGTACAAACTTTATTATTGTTTTGTCGCGGGTTTTATACATGAAAGAATTGCCAAAGTATAACTTAATAATTTTGCACCTTCATTATATTTTTCTTATTATAAAATCTAAATTTTATAGTAGACGAGGATAGAGAAGCATGGGGTTCGCTTGATAGGAGGCGAAATACGCCATATAACATCTAGACAAGATGTACTGTCGATATATTTGTGCTTGACAGTGCTCACTCGGCCTACTATGAGTGTCCCCATATAGAAAATAATAATTTCTGCTTTGGATGATTAGTAATCCACCAACTGAAATCTAAACGCAATTAAACTTCACTTCTCCTTCCGTAGAAGGTGGTTCGTGACCCGTACAGAATTTCGATATTCCTACCACGCATTTAATAGTCAGCTATATATACTATTTAATGTTTTAAAATTAGATTTACAGCAGAGGAGTTCAGTTGGGAGGAGTATTTAAATACGACTGGCGCCCGCGCAGCGAGTAGGACAGTGTTTGCTGCGCGTGGGCACGTCGTGTCGCACGGTTTTGTCGCAGGCATGAGACTTGAGTGCGCTGATCTTATGGACCCGCGTCTCGTCTGCGTAGCCACTGTCGCCAGAGTTGTTGCGGACCTTCTTAAGGTATTTTATATTCTTATATGAAACTATGTATGGATATGATAGTTCTTTGTGGGTCTTTGGAAAGCTGACCATTTACAAAATAATACAGACTGCTTAGGAAATATATACATTAAAATTATTACCATTAAATTTAAATAGTATTTAGATTGAAAAAGCTTGATGACTCGGGCTCGAGGATTTGAACTGTCGTCCACAGCAGTTCGTGCTGCTACTCTGAGCAATTGTGCTGCTGTCTCATTGAATTTATTCAACCATTGATTACCTCGCGTACTAAGTAATTTTAACTTTAACAATTATTTAGTCAATATTAATTTACTATTCTTTGCTGCTTAAGATTATATTTTTATTTATTAAGATTACTATGATCAAAAAATAATGGCAGTTGGGCAGTTGTTACTTTTCCTCCTCCGGTACATTTACGTATTTTCATTAACATAGGTACACTTTGACGGGTGGGGCGGAGAGTACGATCAGTGGCTGTGGGCTCATAGCACTGATGTTTATCCAGTTGGCTGGTGTCGCGCGGTGGGACACCGGCTCGAAGGACCATTGCAGCCACCGCCACGGGCTACTAGAAAACCACAATCGAAACCGAATAGACGTAGACGAAAACAAGGTACATTTACTACGAGTTTTATACTGACAAGAAATCTGCATATCTATACAAAAAAAAAAAAATTCAACTTATTTTTATTGCTCTTATCTTTCAGTGACAAAAGTAGCACCCCAACCCCCCAACACAACAGAGGAAAGCTCTCAGAACTCCGACATGTGCGATGCTAAGAGCATTTCTGATGCTGCAGACACCAAAAGTCTATCACCACCAACCAGTGTGTCCGAAGTATCTCAGGAAACTCGAACCGAAGAACAGCCAGTGAAAATGGACGTCGACTCTGATGTCAAGGTGGAAAAACAAGAGGCTATTGATGAACTTGCTGCGAAAATGGAAGCTGATGAAGAGGTTGGTGATTTCAAGCTTTATTATATTATTTACAGCTTAACCTAGAGATACTTAAGAGATTATTTTAATATAAACAGCTTTTAAATGTACGTTGGTAAAATCACAAAGCCTAAAACATGACATTACATTATGTCTGTATGATCATGGTTTCAATTAGCGAAAGACCAGTAACACTGGAAGTCTTTGAGGGAGGCTATGTCTAGCAGTGGACACCAAATGGCTGTAATGAGATTTTTTGTGTGATCATAAACTAGTCCTTTCTATTTCAGGTAAAACCTCCAGTCGACTCAATTAAAAAAGAGGAGATGGTTAACAAAATAGAAACATTACCCGTTCCAATTAAGAGTCCCGAGGTTCCAGTTAGTGACGATAAAATCATACCCAGATTGGTCAACACCTCAGTGCCACTCGACATCCTGAATTCAGTCGATCCAGAGAACTGGACAACGGCTGATGTAGCCAAATTCCTCACAGTGAACGACTGTCAGCCGTACTGTGTCAACTTTAGTCAAATTAATGGTCCCATGATGCTGCAACTATCAAAGGATGAGATCATAGAGCTCCTAGAGATGAAAGTCGGTCCGTCTCTCAAAATATTCGACCTCATTCAGCAGCTGAAGTGCAAAATTAAACAGCCCCAGTGCAGACTTATCGGCGGCTTCAAGTAGTTTAAGTACGAAAGTGATAGCTTTAGCATATCTATAATTTATTGAAATATTGTGTAACAATGATCGTTTTATATGCACTATGCTTAGTGGCCTTGATAAACTGAGAGTTCCCGGTTTGATTAAGCAATAATACGCGACGTTTAATCAAGACATCATTATTATAAAGTGCTTTATGATTTGAAGCAAACTCAGTGTGGCTTAAGACTATTTTGCCAGAAAGGTAACTTTTATCACCATTTCCCCTATTTATAATGGCAAATGCAGAGTTTTTCCACATGGCTGTTGTTAACCCATCTAACACCTGAGGATTAAGGCGTTTGATCACACTAATGAGGAAAAAATCATGGTTTATATTTTAGTGTATATCAAATTCAAACGAAAAAATAATACACAATAATTACTATAGTATAGAATTATGAAAGTAAAACCAGTGATATACTTTATTTCGATCTATGTTTTCGCCAAAGACGCAATACATATGTACATTTACATATATTAATACTAATTTTGACTCATCTTGCATTTTATATCGTTTAATCTTGACTATTGAATCAAAATGCCTTTTTAGTGATTATTTAATGGAAATTAGTGTTTGTTTGTGTTTTAGCAATTAAGTGTATACTGAATAAATATTTTTAAAAATTGTAATGTGTAGTTTCCTACTTCCTAGATTCCTACTATGACAGTTTGTGGATGGAGTCTCTTCTATTCTATCCATATCTACCAATATACATCCTTGCTGGATGAAATTTCTTGTAATAGCTGATTTGTAAGTAATCTGAAATTTATAAAACATTTTAGTCTATATCTCAATTTTTGTGGTAGAATTGCAAGAGTTTTAACTCATTAAGACAAATTTTAATAATTTTTCAACCAATCAAACAGGTCTAAGTTTTATATAACTGTGTGAACTCCATGTTTGTCGGTTTCCCTCTATCACAAAAACTAATCTAGGTAGAATATTATCATAAGTGAATATAGGGGAAGTAGAATTACCTCATAGTGTGTGTAGGAACTGTTGGTGCATAGAGAGCACAGGCAAGCAAATCTCCAACTCTCCGAGCATGCCATTTGTGATACTCCGAACACCAGTAAGTTTCACTTGGGCCGGAGTGAGAACCACATTCTGATATAGAAAAAGGTATTTTTATATGGAAGTACCAAAAGTAACTATATTTTTAATAGTGTTAATACAGTATAAGGGAGTAAAGTCACAGAACAATTGACTTGCCTAAATACTTATCTCATTTGCATAAGCTATTGTTGTTATATTGCGAGTTAGTATTATATTACAGAGAAATAGAGGTACCTTTTCCATCATCAGCAATTTTTAATTCAGGCGCTAATTCCTTCGCTGTAGTTACAAAGAATGTTCTCAATATATCAATTCTATGTAATCCCGACATGCTCTTGCTTTTCTGATTGCTATGTAGATGTCGTGAGAATACACATCGTCGTCTGTTAATATTCACTATAAGAAACCTGAAAGGAATTATCTTTTTTGTTAGGTTATTTAAAAGGTTACAAAAACTATTTAAAACATTTTGCAACAGAAGACCTGTGCATGAGTAAGATATACAGTTAAAACGTAGAAAACATATACTAATATATAATTTACATAATGGAACAATTTACTTTTTTGGAGAGAGTAAACCTACTTAATTTAAAACATGTACATGTACTTAATTATTGAAATATTATAATGTCATGCTTGTTAGTAAAATCTTAACCTTAATTTAGTTCAACCAACAGCCCATTAGATTGTGTCCCATACCCCAGAATACATGGCTCAAATGTAATACTGATTGGAAAGTTTCTTGGGTACATAAGTTTGGCCTCTTTTATGAGTTGAGCAGAATTCTCCCAGCAGTGCAGAACAATCTCATCAATTTCACTGAGTGCTGGTGTGGCACCGCATATAACCAGCACATAGACGTCAGCCAATAGCTTGCATGTCACAGCCCTAAATGCCACCTGGGTTCAAAAAATATGTGATAGATTAACAATATAACATATGTGTATATGCAAATTTCTATTTTCGTGAGCAGTAAACAATAAATGAAAGAATTCTAATTAGTAAATGTCAAGTTGGACTTAAATACTGAATGTTTTATTTTGGTCCCTATATTTAGACTATTGTATCCTTACATTAGGGCTCATCTGTGGTAAATATACAGGGGTCTCCCTCAATGGGGCTCCATCCTGTGATGCTGCGAGTAACATTAATAGCTTTGCTTCTATTGAATCCAGCTCATAGAAGTCTGAACTAGTAGCCACAAGGTATCCAGATATAAACAGGCATGCCCATCGACCTGTCACTCTTTCTGCGTAGTTGTCTAATACTTGCTGTAACAAAAACAAGTTAAAAGGAAACTTTAAAATATATAGTAGGTATGTAGTGTTTAGAAATTTTACAAATGACGGAAAAACAATCATGAAAAATTAAAAATTAATTCAACATGCCTAAATATGTATATAAATAATATCTTTAAGCATAAATTGCCTGTACAGGCAAGACATTATAGTTATGCTTACCTGTAGCTGCTGTGCCTGTGGACATAGAATACTTTGGATTAGATCTAAGAACATTGAAGTTTGAGAAACACTATTGGGATCAAGGGCCTCTAGTAGATGATCCAGTATGGGGTAACACTGCCTCAACTCCCTTTTCACTTGTTCTAAGTTTTTGAGATTCTCTATCTCTTTTTTTCCAATACAGAATATCATAAGGTTGTGTACATATAACAAGAGAAGCTCTAAATCACACTCCAGCCCACCAGTTGCAATTCCTATAAGGGTTATACTGAAAATGTATTCATAAGTTTGTGTATAATGGAAGAAAAAAATACAGTGGTGAAAAGTTATATTGAAATAAATAATCTTTAACATTATTAGATGTAGGTTTTATGATTTTCATGAATTTTGTTTAATTTACCTTTTATTATATTCTTTCCACAAAATTGACCCATTCTCTAACTTTGTGTTTAACATAGATAAGTTATGACATTTACTGAACATGTTAATTCCATGTAAAGACGCTATTGTTGAAAACTGAATCTGTAAATGGAGATGGGAAATAGCTTAATGCTTTAAAAATCACGCCTTACCGAAAGATAATAAAGAAAAGCTTACATTATCCATATTTCCGCGTTTTCTTGAAAATATCGGAACTCCACTTTCTGTAGCTACTGCTATCACCATTACCGACATTATAATTATAAAACTATCTTTGCAGCTTCAAAAAAAACAACAGATATTTTAAGTAGAGACGCCGAATGAAGTTTGTTGTTGTTTTTACTTGTTAGTGTCGATAATAAACGTCAAACAATTTTCACACAAGTCAAAACAAACTGTACCAATGACATAGTGATGTGAAAGTTGTTGATATTACGATGTTTTCGAATAATCGTTACAGGCAATGATAATAAATATTGTCCGATTTTTTTTGTAACGCTTATAAAAGAACAATACTTTTTCTAGTTTAATAAAAAGTAAAAGTATGGACTTACTCTTACTTAATTTTTTGGGAAACTAATAGGTTCATAAGAAATAATTGATAGTTATAAAAACTTAATGTGTAATATTAGATTTATTTGCAGATAAGTACTTTTTCATATAATATAAAAGTATATTAACTACGTACAATTATTGTCACATTTTTGTGTGTAAGACAAAAATGTTATAATCTTCTCACTCTGCTCAAGTCTTAAGTATCATGTACAAATGTATGTTAAGTTGTGTGTCATAATTCTGTCGACCCGTGTTCTTGAGATCTTTGAGATAAGTCTACACTTTGAGTAGTTTTTGTGTGTGCTGAAAAAAGGATTAAAACTTGAGATACAGTCCAAAGTTTCTACAATTATGAAAATAACAATTCACCGTACTTACATTCTTTGCTAAGCAATCTTGGTCCGGTTAACGCTATCAGGATGGCACCAACTGGTGCCGAGATCATAACACTGAGGACGCTCATAGCTAGAATTGTTTTCCCGTATATTTCTTCTGCATCGTGAGGATCACCAGCTGTTTTACCGTTATTTATTTGGTCTAGAGCAGCAGGCCCTAAGGCTGCCTACAAATAATTCAAATTTCATATATTTTTAAAATTGTATTTAATATATAACTTGTTAATCTCAACAATTGAGGCATTGATTTGACACTATTTGTACCTGAACAGTTGCTTTAGCCATCCATGTTAGCCCAATAAACAATTTTTCTTTCGAATTCAGTCCACATCCAAAGCTAACCAGAAATGTTGCAACTACCCTCAAAACCAAGCAAGATAATAGACAAATTGCTCCCATTGATATAACATCTGGATCTAATGCACTTAGCTGGAAAAAGTAATTTGAAAATTTTTATGTTCATTGTTTTTAATAGAAAATTTCGTTACAATACAGAAATAATATATATTACCGTAACTTGAGCCCCTGTGAACGCAAAGAGTATTGGTTCAAAGAAAATCCAAAGTATTCTAAATAAGTTGCTCACTGGGTTGTTATTGACTGGCCAACCTTGTTGTTCCCAGAAATAGGCAGCCATAAATCCAGATGATACTATTGCTAAGGGTCCTGCAATAAGCAACGGCATTTAAACGATAAAAAAGGGGGTGAGAAGTATGAATTTGATATCTGCAAATTATTGTTCATGTATGGACTAACCTGCCCCACTCCAACCTATTAAACTAGAAATAAAAAGTGAAAATAATCCTCCGAGAAACAGGGCTAAGAATCTTAAGGAAACAACATATCTATCCCCTCTCTCCGGAATCACTGCCGTCAAACTACCCCAAAGTCCACCAAAAACGATTCCCACCACAATTGACAATGGACCCTGAAAGCAGAGAAATGTTTTCAAAGATCTTTATAATATGACATCATTTGTGTTGAAGAAAACTAATATATCTTACCTTTATAATATTGAAAGTAGCTGAACCGGTAGAAAACATAGCATTTAATATAATAGCAAAAACGGCAACACTGACGGAGTCATCAATGGACGCTGCAGCGAGGAGAAGAGTAGGGATACCCTTCTGGACTCCGAAGCCTACTTCGCGAAGCCTAAACAAGCAAGGGACTACTACTGCTGGAGACACTGATGCAATCATTGAACCAAGCAGGAAGCCTGTAAAATGTTAATAATTTTATTTAAATAACATCTGTTTTTTTTAATATAAATCTTAAGAAAGCTGAACTGCTTCTTCCTTTTTTGCCTTTCCTTCCTGTTTATCAGCAATACATTTTTAAAACGAATGGTAATTTTGTGGAACCGAAAATAGTGGAGAAATCAAAGTCTGTACTTAAACTACTATCGATATGATACGGTCGTTTTTATAAGGTTCGCTTACCCCAGATCCAAGGTAAATGCAGTAGATAATGTGTCATAATCGCAATGGCGACACACTCAACAAGCCAAGGCAAAAGACCCAGTTGTAATACCGCTATGTAATGTTTTTTTAAGACATCAGCGTTTAGGCCCAACCCAGCTCGCATTAATATTATGACTAGAGCCACTTTCCTGGAAAATGTTTTATAATGTAAATAAATAAATAATAATTTATTGATCGATGCTATAGACGAAAAATTATTAAAATAAAAAATGGATACGTAAGGAAATAGTGCTTACCTTAGATCTTGATTAAGTTGTCGATAAGTGTCTGTCATATTCACCAAGTGCAAGTTTTGAAAGAGTATTCCAGTAAGTAACATGCCAATCAGAGCTGGTAAAGTGGTAACTTTTAACCAGATCCACCCAACTAAATACGATGCTATGACTAGTAATGTCATACTAAGTAACTCTCCATTCAGGCCAACGGGCTCCCCTATTTCTGCGTAAAGTATACCCCATATAAGGAAAACTGGAAAAATCAAAAAGGGATTTAATATAAATCTATCATAGTATCATTTAATAATTAATAATACTCACAGAATATTATGATGCATATCTGCTGGGCTGCTTGTCGAAATGTCGGGAATAAAGGAAAGGGGAACAATTTACCCCACCAAGATGGCTCCCAAGCTGGCGTAGTATCGCTCTGATGGCATCGTAAGCAAATTGTCTGCCACCAACTTAAAGATTTACAGAAAAGTAAGGGATAATTAACTTGTCAAAGACGCTGTAAATTACACATTATACATACTTCAATTCATGTCGCGTCCTATCCTTGTCGTCTGTAAATATAAAAGAATATATTTAAAAATTGTGTGCTGTTTATTCGACAATTCTCCCATGCAAAAAATAGTGCTATTTCCTTATCCTCATGCGAGTCAAGTGCGCGAAAATAAAAAAAAGTGCGGCCATACAAGCAAAAAATAAAACCGATAAACAACAACCATACAATATATGAATACTATTATTTTTTTAATCATAAAGTAATTTTATTAACTAAATATATAAAATAGTTTTGGAAGTAATATTACGATAAAGCGACGAAAATACAGATAAAAAATAACGTTCTATAAAGTTAAATTATAAATACCAACACCACATCACCAGCACGCTCATGTTAAATAAAATCCACTACAAAACAAAACAAAATTTTACCAATTTCCACCTACCAACGAAAGTATAGACGCGTACACCTATGGTTAAAATTGAAACAATTTTAGTATAATAATCCTAAACAAACCTAATACATTAAAATACATTTAAGTAAAATTAATTTAGATTTGTTTTTGTTTCTGTAACTTTTATCGATGGTTTATCGATTATCGCATTACACAACGTCAATCGAAAAAATGTACTTCAACAATATAACGCTTTTTTTGGATAACAAATATTCATCAAAATTAAATGTGACATGGTTGAAACTAACCTGTTTCTTGTATGTTTGGTGCCATATCCTCTTCCTTATCATAGTCCCCTGGTTCGTCTATAAAAACTTTAACTTATTGTTAAGGGACATCAATAGCAGACGCAACACTGTTGGGTCGTGCTAGTGATGTGCCTTGCCTATCGATGTAATTGATTATCAATCGAAACAACACTTTAATATACAAAACTCAAAATGATTTATTAATAATTATAAATGGTTTTACAATTAGACCTTTTGATTGTAACATTGATGAATAATCGTTCTTTCAGTAATCGATTTTTATTTCGAAAATGGTGTTCTATAAATAAAGAAAGAAGGAAATTATTGTAATGCTAATCATACTATCAAGTAGCTAAACTAACAACTGAAATATTAATTGAATTTCAAATAGACAAATTTAAATTATAACCTCTAAAAATGTCAACTTTCAACCATAATACATACCGAAATAAAAGTTACTTTACAATCCAAATATATAATTTTGACGTGAACTGCCAAGCACCTAAAACGAACATCAATGATTTTTAAACCGAAACACTAAGGCAAGCAACATTCCCCCGCAAAAGTCGACTGCATACTGTTGAAACTTGAATGTCAATCGTTTTGACAGATATATTTACGTCATGTGTTCGTAACATAAGTCAACAAAACGTAAACATTTGCCGTTTAGCGCTATATTATATAGTTCAAATATAATGATAATATTAGTTACTCACACCTACAGCTATGACATGGACTGGCTACTTCCGGCAATATATACTGTCCCTGTTTATTTCAATAAACATACTCGAATCACATGATCTTAATAAGTAACCTTGTGATGGTAATAAAACCAAAATGATTAATTAATACGTAATACTGTAAAGTGGAACATTTGTTTATTAAGCTAACATGTGAAAGAATAAAGTTTTTAACTTATTATATAGCTCGAATATATTTATCATTAAATTTAATTATCCAAAATCAAAACTTAGTGTTTCGTAATTGATCTTGAGTATCTCTTCGGTATATCAAGCCTAGACGATGACAATTTAAAGCCTCCATGCAGGATTAGAAACAAGTAATATAAAGTGTCATTGTTAGTGAAAGCCCGTTTCCCCCTCGTGGGGGCGAACACATTTCTGTGTCCGTTTCACTCTTCAGTTCTTTTAACGGGCAAGTAGTTGATCACACTTCTGTGCCCTACCCGACCGGAATAATTTTATGTTTCCCTAGAATTCGAACACAGGACCTCTCGCGCTTAACGCAATGCTGAGAAAAAATTTAAAACTTTTGGGGAAAAGAGGCAGTCAAAGTGTCATTGTTGCTAGATATTAATGATTTGTATGAAATCCTGTTTCCCCTCGTGGGGCGAACACATTTCTGTGTCCGTCTCACTGCCTGCAAATAAAACCGATTAGTGGATCGGTTTTATTTACAGGCAAGTGGTCCTTCAGACATCTGTGCCCTGTCTGACCAAATCAACTGTTTCCCCAGGTTTCGAACACAGGATCTCTTGCGCTTAACGCAATACGGTATTTTATTAATAAAGGAACTAAAAAATCACTGCCAGTAAAGTATAACGTTCAAACACTTATAAATTAGTAGCTATCTAGTATAACAAAGATAAGAATCATTTGTCTTAGCTATATGTAAACTAGTGCAATGTGTTTGATCTCACATAGAAACAGAAAAATATTGTTATCTAATGTTATGAAATAATCTTAGCTATCTTCCGGCTGAATAATATTCACGTGATACAAATCATGTGTAAGGTATTTGTATTTATTTAGATAAATCACTTAGCTCAATAAGAAATAGTATCATACAGATGGGAATAGAATTTTACTTACTTTTATATTTTTTAGTAGAATAGATCTTGGTTTCAAATTTTAGGGAAACAGTGTTTGAGTCGAAGAAAATACTAATTATTTAGTTCCTTATCGGTCAGAGAAACTAGGGACTCACTAGATCACCTTTCTAATATTACTATATAACAATAAATTTTGATGCCCAAAATAACTATTCTACGCAGGGTGTGTCGCGGATATAACTAGTGTAAATATATTTTTAGACAATTAACAAAACGCAATGTAATGCATTTCGTTATAAGCCAACTCGTGCACTTTTTCCTCGCAGGAAATTTCCTTTGACGAAATCGGGCTATTAAAAAACAAAAGCTGTTTGATACTGTCGGTCAACTAAATGGGAAAAGTTAATGCGCCTTTCTCGCGGTTTGCTCGCTAGGCGTAAAGGCAGGCCAATGCGCAGGTTGTTGTCGTCGAAACCACCTGTTACTAAATATGCCCGCCACTTGAGACCGAGTGAAAATAATTTGCTAGTGAATTACCCTTATCTTTAGTTACCACGTAGTGATATATAGTAGGAAATGTTTTTAGCTAAATGTGGTTTGGTGACGATTTTCATCTTTGGAACTGTGACCACGCTGGGTAAGATCTGAGAGCCTTCTAAAGTAGAAATTTCACTCTGTTACATTTAATATAACCGTGTACTCACTCCGAGTATAGAAATTTTAATTAGAAGTGGTTAAAAAAAACACTTTAACGGCTTAAAACCGATAATCTTATAACTTGTTTGGCGTATTTTAAACCGTTAAAGTAGTTTATTTTGAACGGGTACTACGTCGTAACTATATAGTCTTAGAAAACGTTTCCTGAAACAATGCGATGAATAAAAATACTTGAAGTTAACTGTAGAATTCCGAACTTACGATAAATGATTTAATTGATTAAATCCAAATTTTAGGGCTATTATTGCTCATTGTTATTTAATATTTCTCCATGTATTTGTATATAAACTAATTTTGAAGTATAATATATTACTATTTGTGCCACTATCCAATAAAGTTGTTATTGTTGTTTTAATTATTTTATAATAAATAAAAAATGCTTTAGAAATCATTTTTACAAATTATAGAAATAATCTAAAACTACTTAAATACTGCCTTTAGTTTACGCGAGTAGTACACATTTAAATAAAACAATTTAACGGTTTAAAACGCGATACATCTCACGTGAACACGGCTGCTGCATCAGCGTGGCCGGTAGTTAAAAATATTTTTCAAACAAGTTTAACTAAAATATATCGGTTTTTAATAACTAAAAATACTTTTTAGATATTAATTTAAGCATGCGAACTTAAATTCCAATATCAAATTCAAAAACCGTTATACTATTTTGCAACGTGAATTTTTAAAACTCCCCCCCCTCCAAATACCCCCAGGGAATAGAATTTATTAAATAAAACGTGTCGGACTGTGTCCTACGCGATATGAGGAAGACCCGGTATTTATCCCTTGGTATATTACTGTAAACCCCATTATCCTACAAAGAGATAGGATCAATATTCACTTTTCAAAGGCATCATTGTTTACTAACATTGACAATACAGAGTCATCGTTTTATCCATTGCCGCGTGAAGGATCGTGAAAGTGGTTCTGTGGTAAACATTTTCCGGTACAATAATTCTACATTATGATAAAGATGAAGTAACTTTCATCATTGGGAGACGAAACTTTCCATAGAGCCGCGGATGCCTTGAAACGTGTTTTTATTTATCTCATATGCGATGGTGGATATTCGAATCCTTTGTGAAAGTGTTTTATGTTTGTTTCTCGGGTGAAGAAAGCAACGGGTCAGGATTAACATATTACAACATAAACATTAAGATATTACATAGAAATATGTTCATAATTTAATGGTTAATTCTAATCATTAAAACAATAAGTTATCTAGGAAATTTTAGTATTAAAAACTTTATACACGTTTTTTTTGTAACTTCCTGGTGTGAATCCCGAGGTGACAGATTGACGATCGCAAGTTCTTGCTTCATCGCTTACTTCCCTGAGAAAATTGATCTAAATAATATCACAACTTTAAGCACAACATTATGTTAAATAATTGAAATAATCTACTTTAGGATAGCGCGTCTTCTTATCATTGTTGTTCGGCTGCCGTGAGGTTCACGACGTTTCGCCATCACGAGCGGACGGCATCATCAGATGTTAGCTCCTCGATTGGTCGAAGAATGAATTAAATGTTAAATAACACAGCAGCGGCAGCACATCTTATATGACGGAGGTATTTCACCTGCCATCTACCCCGTCATCGTCTGTCCTCCGCTATAAAAAAACGTTTACAATACTCAAGAGCAATCGCGGATATGGATAACTAAGTTATCGGCTTCGTTTTTAACACAAATGAAAGTGTTTTGTTTTGTTAAGTAATCTTTTCCCATTGTTGTAAAATATCTCATAATCTCTCAACACGCTATACGCTATTGTTGGAAATTGTAAACTATTTGGCGTGGAAATATTAATTAATATTTATTAGTGTATTGTATCGAAATAATTTCTGTTATCATGAAAAGTAATGAATTACCGAGGAATAAAATGAAATTAAATTTTTATTAGCCTATTGTTTATTTTTAGGTTTATGTTTGTATTTACTCATTAATTGTATTAATATGCTGATAAAATTAAGTGATATTTTATGCCAATAAATAAAACACTTTAACGGTTTAAAAATCGATATATATTAGTTAAACTTATTTGAAAATTATTTTAACTAAGGCCCGACGTTCCGGACACTTTACAGCAGCCTTGGTCACGGGGAGACTGAAAGGGGCTCGCTTTTTTAACCGAAATAAAATTAACCTAATAAATTTAAATAAAATCTTTTATCATTAGAGAGCTACATTCACTGTGTGTATATTTATTGCTATAAAATATCATGGATTCATGTTAAAACTTTGTGTAAGAAAAATACTATGAAATATCATCGTCGTATGCGCTGCGGAAACTGTTAATTATAGCACACAATAATCTACTACGATTTTGCAGAACATTAATTACATAAATTTTTGACTTCAAAATTGAGAACGCAAACTTCAAACTTGAAAACGCGTGTCGTCGCAGAAGTCTCGAACTCATGACCTACCGTTGCTCTCAGTGTTAAACAACGTTACACAGATACGTTACAGGGCATTAATTCGTTTTTTTTTTAATTTAAATAAAATTTTAGTTTACATTCGATAGGTAATTCTTGTAATAACGTTTTGGTAAATTAAACATTTGTTTTATATCAGCTCCGGATGTAAATGGAAATATGATGTCGATGCTGGACTTCCGGTATTGGAGATGTGTTATGAAGAGAGAGTGGAAATGTCCAGACAGTGAGATCAACTTCTTCTTACACACCCCGTAAGTACATAAAACATATAATACCGCGTAAGTACACATTGTAATTAGTCTAATTTGTTAGCAATGTAAAGATCCACATAACACATATCTATCAACAGACATAGGTAATTCATTCACTCCATACATACACTAACACACACAATATACAAATATCCACTCATTATTGCATATATCACATTAGACACTAATTGTAAGTATACATACATTAGCTTTAAGATATGTATATATTCTGGAAGAATGAGGCTGCTAAAGTGGCCTAGTAACAAAAAACATGATTTTCAATAAGGAAGAAAATGCAGAATTAACTCAGGCGAAAATTAATTTGTACTATTGTTGGTATAAAAATTATATTAAAAATTTTCGGCTACAGTGCTCTTGTAGATTGACACTTTTAGACTATGTTATAAAAGTTATAAAATTGCGCTTAGGCTACTCTGTCTCTAGGGGCTTCATATAATGTCTATAGTCCTGGAAGTTGGCACTAGTGTGGGGGCTAGGGACTCTATCTCAATATGTATATGGAAACATAATAAAGAATTATTTAATTAGAAAAAGTCTAATTTATCATGTACGCATCATATTTTTTTATTGGCTGTAAAGTAACTAGCATAATATATCGCTATAGTAGAAATTAAGTAGAAAAATTACACAGCTCATTGTGGCTTAAAGACACATCTGGGCTATCGATACTTTTTATGTTCATACAAATTTCTTTTCCTTACATTTCTGGAATTTGCACGTTGCCAGTTCAAGATTGACAAAAGATTGCTTATCTAATATAATCTTAAGTCTAAGATTTATCTGACGTTATTTTATATAAAAATAACTTGTATCTTCAGTGTCAAGATAACTGTTGTTATAACAGTAATCGACGATTAAGATTTTCATGTCAGGGGAAGATCGGGGTTTGATTAACTTGGTCGATGATAAGCTGTCAACCTAATTTGGACTAAAACTGAAAGGTTTTTCCATAAATTGAATATCAAGATAAAGTGAATCATTTAAATAAAACACTTTAACGGTTTAAAACGCGATATATTAGGAATATTGAAAATATTTCCTTTCGTTTTGCAGCGCCGTGGTGGGGAGACTAGAAGGATTCTTTCAAGTAATTGCTATGCTCCGAGGGATTTGGCGAAACTGGCCGGGTCCTTGCAGAATTTACTAACGGTCGGTAATTTAGTAAATTCTGGAAGGGGGGGGGGCCTTTTTCCAAAAAAACTTAACAAAAATTTTTTTACTTTGACGTCAGAGACATCCTCCATCTTTAGTCTCCCCATGACCACGGCTGCTGCAAAGCATCCGAAACGTCGGGCCGAAGTTAAAAATCATTTTCAAATAGGTTTAACTAATATATCGCGTTTTAAACCGTTAAAGTGTTTTATTTAAATGTGTACTACTCGCGTAAACTATAATATATTTAAAGTTAATCATTTTCAAAAACTTATAAAATTTACTGTTAGATTCAATGGGAAACAAACCTACGGCGCATTGCTGACATTGCAATATATTTATATAGCCGACATTTACAAAAGTCTCTATCAATCTATCATCAACACTAGCCAACTGCAGTATTTAGTTTGAGTGTCTTGTACAGACAATCAAGGAGTCCTGAATTGTCTGTACAAGACACTCAATAATCCGGGCTCTATAGCGAGTTTGTTTTACTGGTCAATTTTACGGACAGACCTGTAAATAGTTAATCAGACTATTCAGCCCCTATACTTCACATAACTCAAAGATAAAGCAAATTGTCATTAAGTTCATCATATAAAAAACAACCATAACATTAAAGTTAATTACATCAGTGTGTGAAACAGGGAGCGTCCTCACCAGCAGTGGATAGACGTGAGGAGAACGCACCTTCTACCAAAATTCGGCTGGAAGTTGACAAGGAAAAACGTGTTTATCATTCATGGATTTAACGGGACACATTCCAAAACTCCCATGACTTTCTTACGTGATGGTAAATATTTATTCTATCCGCGTTGTTCCTACCTGCTTAGAAAGGTAATTTACTTTCTACGATAGCCGAAGCTAAGCGAAATTTCTTAAGATATTAATTGTGCGGAAAAACATTGTTAAACGTTAACTGAGGTTATAAATAAATTAATTATATCATCGTTTGAATTACTTTCACCATTTCTTAAACATTTGGAATATATATGTATGTACCTATTTATAATTTTCGACGAGCTCGTTGGTGGTTGTGAGTTAGATCCCCGCCGAGTCCGACATTTATCTAATCAAATTATATTTTTTCTAAGACAAGTTACTCTGTCTGGTAATCAAGATATTAAACGCATGGGGGATTTCAGCTACTAACAAGTAACCCTATTGCTTTTCTGTCCTTCTCTATTAAAAAAAGATAAGTATTAAAGTCGAAATTTCATTTATAAACTGGAGAATCGATCGTTGTGCACAGTAGGTACATAGTCATTTTATAGACAGCACAGTCCGGCCCGTATCACGTTTATAATTACATTTTCATTAGTTACAAAATGTACCTTTATAATTTCAGCGTACTTGTGGCGGAAAGATTATAATGTATTCATGGTGGATTGGTCAGAACTATCAAGGTTTCCCTGTTATTTGTCTGCCTTGGCTAACATGAGGTGAGTGACTTCAAAAAAATGATTCTTGACTACCACGAAGTGGTACAATTTTAAGCGTTCAGTATTTCTCCGATATTATAAGTAGTGTTGAAAAATCAATAAACGGTTAAAGAACTAGTAGTAGTGTTCTATAAAATACTTCCAGTAATTTAATAATATTAAAGTAAAACTAAAATCTATGGTCACGGGATCCCGCACCTTTGCTGCTGCAAAGCACCCGAAAGGTCGAAAGTAATGAATATATTAAACGTATCTAACCGTGAAAAGTGTTTTATTTAATTTATATTTATTAGCTTACCAATTTCCACAGGGGTGTAAATCGGTTAGCCACAAGTTGCATTTCATAGGCAGTCGAAAAAATATCTGAACGAGAATTTTTGTAGTCTTTCCAATTGCGGTCCTGAAGGGGACCCTTATTAAAAAAAAAGAAACTGTATGTTGTCTGTACTTAAAAGATAACATTGAGTTTTTACTACCTTTAAGTCTTTTTTTATAAAAGATAGTAAGATTAATTGGAAGACCATTTTTACTAGTAAATTTGCATTCCAGGTTAGCAGCCCAATGTACAGCGCAACTTTACTCCTATTTGACACAAAATGGCGTCCTAGCAAAAATGATTACATGCGTAGGACATTCCCTTGGTGCGCACATCTGCGGCATGATGTCTGGACATCTTACCAAGAAGCAGCATAAGATAATTGGTAAGTCAATTTGAATGTTACCTAATTTAGGAAAATGTTACCATGGCTCCCTCAAAAACACCGTACCGGGCTGGTAGTTTATTTAGTGGTTCTGGTCGGCTCTTATGGTAGTGTTAGAACTGCTAGTTTAGTAGCATTATACTATTAGTTAAAAAATGACAATGTAAGCTTTTAGAATAGGTCTCTGTCGAAAGACAAAATGTTGTCCTTACAAGATTATAATAACAATAATATTGAGAATTATATATCGTAGATAAACGTACGTTGCCATTAAAGCTAAAGGCCGCCTCCGTCGCGAGGTGTAGGATTAGAATTCCTGGATTCCTCATATAATATATAGTATCGATTAGTTTAGTAGTAGTAAGCAAAACCGTTGTAGTAAAATTGACGCGCCCTATGCGAGCGAAACGGAATTCAACTTTTTATGTATAATATGAAACTGGGTAGACATGATAACATATTTAACTTTTGACCTTATTTAACTTATGTAATTTGAGCGATATAAAATTACAAATGTTCTTAAGAAACATTAAAATGGGATTCAGACTACTACTACTACTAATGCCATGCGAAATTAGGCGTTAGAAGTAACTTGAAAAAGTAAAACAACAGTTAACAGAAGGATAATTTATAAAACACTTTATGTCTACATGCAATTAAAAAAATATCTCAAAGCAGTGGTTTCTTTGGTAGGGCCAATGTGACTGTTTTCACTTCTAGATATTGGTTGACACCGTCTTCGCCTCTGAAAATGTAATAAAATAATTTGTACAAATTTTTAACATAATATAAAACAAATTTTTATGAGATTGGCTTACAATTCGCGGCCTAAACCGGAATCCTTGAATCCACCAAACGGAGTCTGACTGGTGACGTGATCGTACGTGTTCACCCTGGGAAATACAATCGACTATAAATAATAAAACTATCTTATAGTTTTATCTCCAATAAGCAACAATTTTTAATCTGTAAGAAAATATCTGTCCTAATAGTAATTTCATTAATAACTAACTTTGTAATTTGCGATATTTGGTTTGTATAAATTTATTATACTCAAGTCCCTAAATCTAAAAAAAATGAAAGGAGTAGTTTGCAATACTCGCTACTCTCCTATCCTTGTCTCGCGAATGAATTATTGAATATGAACGAAAGAGACAAAAAAGGCTTACTTGAAAACTTACCACACAGAACCAGCCCGGACGTACTTCGCGAAACTAAGTGCTGTAGTGATGTCATTTGTGATAACTCCAGCACCGAGACCATAGTTAGTGTTGTTCGCACGGTCTACTACTTCTTCGAACGTATCAAACTTTAATATACTTTGTACGGGTCCAAAAATCTAGAAATAAAGAGCTGCGTCTTATTTAATAAACACGTTGGTTATAAAAACAAATCAATAAACAATCTAGACGTCTCTTTACCGGTTTTTATTAATGATAAATTATGGAAATAAGTTATTTAAATTTAAAAAAGCAACACCAATATAATAATAAGTACAATTGCTATAAGTTCGACAAACTTATACTGTGACAAGCTGGCTGTCTCTAGTAAAGAAACTCAGTCTTATTTTAATTGATAAATCTATTTAGATCGAAAAGATGATACAGGCGAAACTTTAATACGTAAGCTTTAAGGTTCAAATTACATTGCAGGCGAGGTTCACGTATCAATGGGAACAGAAATTCGATGATAACGCGTGTGCACATAACAGCATTGATAATAGTGGATGCTAGTTCAAGTGCCATCTATGCTATCGAACTTTTTCCATCTAAATAGATTTCAATAATGCCATAATATGACATTAGAAAAGTATTAATGTTTCCGAACTCGGTCTTGTTTGTCCTCATATCTACTTATACAAGGAAATTTATAAATATACATTCTTATGCTTTATTTTTTAATATCTAGCACCCTTATATCTTTAACTAAAAATAATCTTAAAAATAGACTGTTAATTCATTCATAAAGATTCTGTGACTATTTTCTTAGATTCTAAAAGGTCAAATAGTACTAGTAATAATATTGGGAAAATTCTTGCCTCTTCCTTAGCGATCTTCATGTTATCCTCAACATCAGCAAAAACAGTTGGTTTTATGTAATATCCTTTATCACCGAGTTTGTCTCCACCGGCTAGACATTTGGCGCCTTCATCCTTTCCAGCTTGTATGTAGCCCAGTACTTTGGAGTACATCTCTTTATCGATCTAAAAATTCATATTTGTATATGTTATTGTTTTATCCGAATGTCCAAATTCATAGTACATTTACAACGCATCTTGTTAAGATGCTAATTTAGGTAAACCTGAGGCGTGTCTACTATAGCTTTTGTTGGCATTGTAGCAAGATGTTTCAACGCCAATAAAAGCTATAGAACATGTGATGAATTCAAAATAAATATTATTTGCGTCTGTTTCACCTGTGGCAACAAATTCACTATAAAAAAGGGCATCACTAGTCCTCTGTGGTTTGAAATCGACCATAATTGTTGTGATCTTTTTCTGCCAAGTTAGAAAAAAAAATACACTATATGTAGATAATTTTTAATCAAACATTTCTGATTATTCCTTATTATTGTCATTGATGTTAGGTGGTTTAAAAATGTTAAATATTATCAGAAACCTGAGGTCCTTGTTGAACGTCATCGAAGGGGTTTCCTACAGATCTCTTGTTAGCGATCTCAGCGGCTTTCTTGATGAATTGCTCGTAAATACCGGATTGCACGAACGTTCTTGTTCCGGCGCAACAGCATTGGCCGCCGTTAGCAAATGCAGCCGCATGCGCCAATTGTGCTGCTTTTTCCACTAAAATATTAAAATGAACTTAAGTTGGGACCTGAAGTTTCTTAGGTCCACCAAAGAAAATAAATGTTCAAGTGTTAAATGTCGACACAACTCTCTGTAACCTTAAGTTCACACGGAGTTGACAACCTTTGGTTTATTATAATAAAGTAGTTACATGCCGCATTTAGCGTCGCTTTTGTTTTGGTTTACGACAATCAACGTCTCATGTGTTCGATAACCAGTCCAATGAGTTTCTTATCGATTTAAATAATTTCTCCAATGGCAAAATTGGTCAACGGTGTTTATTGTGTCAGATATTATATGGCTTATTAAATGGTTCAAATATTCCTCTCAACAAGTAACCCCTTTACTTGTCTGTCTGCCTTCGTCATATAATATTCACAAAGCTCACACATGTTCATATATGGCGTAAAATAGTAGAACCATGGTTAATTTTTCTGCTCAGTTTTATAACTATTCCTTATTGTCTACTCACCATCAGCATCGTTAAACACAACCAGCGGGCTCTTTCCTCCCAATTCCAATGTAACTCGTTTTAGATTCGCAACTGGCGCAGCGCCAAGAATCAATCTTCCCACCTGCAAGAGATTGTAGGAATACCAATTGACTATCAAACAAAAGCTAACTTAAATGCAAATGCAAATCGAACCAGTAATTTTTAAGATCATAGCGTTCAAACAAACAAGCTCTTGAGCTTTATAATATTAGTATAGATGTAAGGTGTTAAACTATCAGCATATGTGTTGTATTATTATACTTTTATTAAGGTACTGGTAGTAAGGTACTTTTATCAATTAGAAAAAGTAAAAAAATATTAAAACAATGCAACTGGCACAAAAAATGTTCTTTACCTCTGTGGAACCAGTAAACGCGACTTTATCGACGTCCGGGTGATGAGTAAGCGCGGCACCAGCTGTCGGCCCATACCCTGGCACGATATTCACTACCCCAGGGGGAAAACCAGCCTCCTTTATAAGTGCACCGACTGCTAAAGCGGTTAGTGGCGTTTGTTCTGCAGGTTTTACTATAATAGTGCAGCCTGAAATTAAAAATAAAAAATGTTATTTTAAAAAAATATTTGTTGTAAGTATTGCAAAGTATATATGCTTTAAGAAACGAAATAATTTATTTTTTTATTAAATTAACCAATTTTTCATGTGTTATTGCACATGATGGCACTATATAAATTAAAGATCGATTATAAATTGAAAAAAAAAAAATGCGACACGGGCAGGACGTGAACCGGTATCCACAGCGTTCCGTGCTGTTGCTCTAACCCATTGAGCACGTGTCCGTTAAACCATTTTGACGGTTTAAAACACGATATATATTAGTTACACTTATTTGTAGATTATTTTAACTAAGGCGCAACGTTTCGGTTTCTTTGCAGCAGCAGTGGTCACGGGGGGTTTCTTTGCAGCAACCGTGGTCATGGGGAGTTTCTTTTAAATATCAACGTTAATATGTCTTCGTAACCAGTGTAACTGAATTCTTTACCTGCTGAAAGAGCGGGCGCAATTTTCCAAGACATCATTGGTATAGGGTAGTTCCATGGTATAATCTGTGCGCACACTCCGACTGGTTCTTTAAGTGTCATTGAGAGGACGTCGCCATCTGAAATATTAATTGATATCACTGAAAACACTATAATATTATTGAATATAAAATATTTATTGGATCGCTGTAGGTTCGATATCTATAGTAATATTATAAAGCTGAGAGTTTGTTTGTTTAAACGCGCTAATCCCAGGAACTATTGGTTCATATTGAAAAAATATTTTCGTGTTGATTAAAGCATTTATCGAGGAAAGTTTAAAATGGCGCTGCGACCAATAAGCGTAAAGATACAGTGGAAAATGTGGAAAAACGGTGAAAATGTATCTTCTTGGAATTCTGACAGACACCGGATCCAACATGTAAAGATGTGTAAAATCACACGATTGGTTTTTATTAAATAAATAAAAATAAAATGTTTCTAATTTTACAATTTAATTTTTTTCTAAATGGACTTCGTTTGAAAATCCGGATATTAAATGGATGGTAGAAATATCGAAATTCCGTTTAGGTCATGAACCACCGAAATATATCGAAAGCGCACCTGGTTTACATACTATATGGCTGAGGTAAACACAAAGACAGTCATTAGAATAATCCGTGTCTAATTATGTATTGATTATAACGTATGTACGTGATTCATAAAACCGCTTCGAAATCATACGACAATCATGCATTGTTATCGAAAATTACATATGAAAATAGCGATACCGGAGGTCAATACTGATAACAGACAGACACGCGAAAGTGCATTATTGTACGGATTTATCTTAATTCTTAGAAAGCCAATCGCTGTGTTAATGTTATATAATTCCTGGGCTACTGTCTGTAGTTTACGCGAGTAGCATAAATTTAAATAAAACACTTCTTACGGTTTAAAAAGCGAAATGTATTAGTACCTATATTTACAAATTGCATCCGAAACGTCGGGCACATTTTGCGTTTTAAAACGTTAAACGTGTTTTATTTATTATATAACATACTGTGTTATAGTTGAATACTTAGGAATTTTGAAAACAAATTTAATGAAATTTTAGGAAATAGTTATTTTTGTAGTTTCTCATTATAAGGACAATGTTTTTTATTTTTTTACATATTATTCCACATGATAGCACGTGCCCTGCCACGTTAGCTCAATTGATTAGAGCAACAGCACGGAACACGGCGGTAGTCGGCTCAAGTCCCGCCCGTGTCATTTTCAATCTAAATAGATTTCTTGTTCAGAAAAATAAAAAAAAACAATTCATGCTTTACAAAAGCCTCTGTCACGGAGAAATCTATGGTGCATAGTTCAAGTTTTAACTTGTGAAAAATGTTTTATTTATTGTCTACTAATTGCGCAAACTACAAATCCATAGTTCACTTGCAATAAAAAGGACGGTAGACAAATTCGTCATATGTTACTTGTATAGACACTATCACTCAATATTATTTCTAATTATTATGAAGCTGTCATAAACACGCATGTTTTCACATGTGAAAATTATACGCAATAACAACTTTTTTAATAATCAAATAGCCATCAAAGATAAAATAGCAGATAAATACTACATACATATACACTTTTCTATTAGCGTATTATATTATATTACTCTTAAGACACTTCTTATAAAGGATGATTCATTTGATGTTATGTCCTAACATTATTCATAAAAATTAGTAAAATTATTTAATATGTATGACATATTTTTTTTTATAATTCGCCGCTTTGTTTCAACCCATTAATATCCCATAGCTGGGACACACAGCTTAAAACCCACCAAACTTGAGGCGGTAGACGTCAAAATCCGCCCGCCCGGATTCTAAGGTCTACCGCCGCGATCCAATCGGGACCGTACTAAACGTTTTGTATGCGATCCCGGACCATCGTTGTCTACAGTAGAGTCTACTAACTACTGTACCAACGAAACGTCGGGCCTAAGTTAAAAATCATTTTCAAATAAGTTTAACTAATATATCGCGTTTTAAACCGTTAAAGTGTTTTATTTTAATGTGTCGCGTAAACTATAGACAGTATTTAATATATTTACTTATTTTTATAAAAAAGACTTCGATGTGCTATTTGTCTTCTCTTTTGGAGATAACTGTGTTGTTAGAAATAAAAAAAAAAGGTGATTCCCAAAAATATACCTGCTGGAATCGTGTTCCCATGAATCTTATCAGCTTTTCCTGCGTAGTATCTCAACACAGTGGCTGAATAATACACTTCCTCCTCAGCTATTTTCACTGGTTTCCCGCAGTCCAAAGTCTCCAGTTCAGCTAAATATCTTGCTTGCGCTTCCATCAGGTCAGCTAGTTTTAGCAACAGCATTCCCCTCTGGGACGCGTCCATGGTCCGCCATGGGGCGTAACGATGGAAAGCTTTTTTTTGCTGCCACTACTGCTAAATCTACGTCTGCCTATAAGGAAAAATATCATTGGAATTATAAACAATTGAAGATCAAATTTGAAACAAACGTACTTTTATCATAAACTATGGCTATGCGACTTCGTCCGCGTAGAATAATTATTTTGGGCACCAAACTTGTTTTTGCCAATCTCCTTAATAAATTTCAACTGTTACCTACGACGTCGTCCGCCTGTCCTGCGGTTTAATTTTAAAAAGGTCGGATAATTGTCGAGACCTTTTTTATGACCACTTAAAGAGGAATCATTCCTTCATACATATTTTTTGAGTATTGACCGATGTCGCAGCGTACGCGTACGAAACCTAGATATGAATAATTCTCCCCGATTTGTACACATTTCCCAGTTAGTTCTCTCGCTATTAGTGACAGTGCAATGTTTTATAGCCTATTCCTTCCTCTAGTGAGTCTAGCTAATAAAAAAAAATTCGAACCGAAACAAACTCTTCAGCTTAATATTTTCGCATTTAATGAAATATAAGAAAGGGCATCTCTTCTCCATTCTTTTCCTTTTAAGAACTAAGAAGTAGATCCTTATATCTTTAAGTATTTTGAGTACTTCTTAAATATGAAAAAAAAAAAATCTTTTCTATAAATTATAACATTATATGACATAAAAAGCTAAACTATCAATTAGATTTGGCTCTCAACTTAATATGATGTTAGTATAAACGCGTGAAAGTGGACGCGAATATATTTTTCCACTGATTCCAAGGACGTTTTGCCCAGAATACATACAAGATGATTGTGCAAAAACATTTTGATATCAAGATGTCTAATCGTTCGATAGATATGCAAGATAGATGTGAAATGTATTAAGTAGGAATACTAGTTACATTTTCAATTGTTTACGTATAATATGAATAGCTTTTACTTAATAAAACACTTTTAACGGTTAAAATGCAAAATTAATTAATTATTTTTTAATTACGTGGACCTGGCGTTCCGAATTCTATTCAAAACCGTTGTCACGGGCACACTGTCGGGTCGTAGTTAATATGACCGGTTATATTTCGCGTTTATACCCGTTAAAGTGTTTTATTTAAATACCAATTTTTGAATCTTTCACATTTCTTACCTTATCTCCTTCTGCGACTTGCGCAATGATGCTTTCATCTTGAGGGTTTATGGTAGGGAAAGTTTTTTTGCTCACAGCATCAACCCATTCGTTGTTAATAAAGAGCTGAAAATTTTTTTTTTTTTTTTAATAAATAAAAAAAATAAAAACAAGACAAGTGCGCACTCGGACTCACGGACGAGGTGTTTTGTTTTTAGTAATTTTAAGTCTTCAATTCTTTTAAATAAAACACTTTAACGGTTTAAAACGCCATGTATTAGTTAAACGTATTTGGAAATGATTTTTAACTTCGGCCCGAGTCCCCCGTGATCACGGCTGCTGCAAAGGCATCCGAAACTTCCGGGCCGAAGTTAAAAATCATTTCCAAATAAGTTTCCTATATATGCGTTTTAAAAACCGTTAAAGTGTTTTATTTTTAAATGTGTACTGTACTACTCGCGTAAACTATAGACAGTATCTTCAATTCTTATTTATTAACATCATTAATATAATAAATAAAATGTGCTTTTTATTTATTATAATATCAAAACATACAATACAGTATTTAGTGAACATTTAATATCAAGCAAAAAAGTCGCGGTGTTGTATAAAAGTGAACTCTTATTACACAAACAAATATAGAACAGAAACAAACATTTTTTTATTTAATATTTTTTAGAGAAACTCATAGTAGTAAGGCTATAATAACCCTTAGACACCCTAAAAACTTATAAAGCAGATCTACAGACAAACAAGCTAAAACCTTTTAACTAAAATTTTTTGTTGTTCTTTGTATGTTATTTTATTTATTTGTAATAATTTTCATAACCTTATTTACTCGTTCGTAATTTTATGACCCTTTAACATAAACAAAAAATCTTATCAACTGTTTGCTTTCTCGGAATTTTATCAGTGGAATTTATTGTGATTTAATAATATGCTACCAAAATTTAAATGTGAGAATAATATTTCTTTCTGATTACAATTTATTTCTATCAATAGTAATACATAGAATAATTTAATTTCTTTAGTAATTTTTAGGTTGGGTGGGTATTTTTGTACAAACGAGTCTACCTTAAAGCGAGGTACAAGGAAATAAAAATAAAACTTAAAGACCGGTTGGCGAGCGATACCTGCATTTCTACTTTAACCCTCACAACGCCATTAAGAGAAATTTAATCTTATCAGATCAAAATTGACAAAAGTCATCAAAAACCATTACGAGATAATACTTTTCAAACATACGTTACTGAATCTTAACTTTGTTATAAGTACTAGTAGTATTCTTTCTTAAACATATATATTTTTTAAGTTTTCTGATATTTATAAATTATTAGCTCACCTTAGTGTACTTCACGTCAACTTTAACCATTTTGCCGGATGTATGTTTTGATGAGTGATCCTGACGTGCGAATTAACCGCCGGCAAAAAACAAACTGTCAATCAAAGAAGATATCTGTCAATTTATTGTACAGTATAAAGTTTGACGTTGTCATTTGTTCGATTGCATCAAATGTCAAATCTGAAACCTTTTGATTGAGTGTTGCCAAATCTGATAAATATATCTATTTAATATATTTTGCAAATATGAGTTAGTGCAACGTATTTAATACGATATTCTCCTACTATTAACTCACACAGTTTATGCAAGAATAAAAAAGAAACAATCATTATAAGCTTTAGTATTAGTATGATATTATTAACTATATTTTGTTATTCTTGTATAATATTATATATTATACAATCGTCGAGAATACATTTGAGATAGAGTATGTTATATCACTAATAATTATTTCTCTATAAACCCAATTAATCATATTATTTGGTTTTATTGGCTTCAATGTCTCTTTGATTTTATTTTTTATTGCGATGTAATGGATGATTCAAATGTAAAAAAACATTTGTTGTATAATTAAGTATTTTGTGTTTATTTTTTAACGTAATTTCACTATAAGAAATAATCGACTTCATATTTCTTCTTATAAAGATTTCCTATCTAACCAGTACAGTAGGATTAATTCGCATAATGAAAGAATCAAAACATAAATGATGACGATTTTATTTAACAATATGGTAATAACAGGAATGCGAATATTTATTAGAAAAAATCAGGTTTACAACATTGCTTTCTTTGGTAGGCTGATAGTAACAGTCTTGTTTTCTAAGTATTGTTGAATTCCGTCTTCACCCCTGTAAATACGCAAGAAAAATGTTTGTAAGGAAAATACATATTTAAATTTTTACTTGCTACTTAAATTCTTAATTGGGCCACTTACAATTCACGACCGATGCCTGACTCTCTAAAGCCACCAAACGGTGTCTGGACTGCGACATGTTCGTAAGTGTTTACCCTGAAATTACAATAATATTAATTAAAAATCGATTAAAAAAATCTACGGCACGGGCAGGGCTTGAGCCAGCATCCGCACCGTTGTTCTAAGCAATTGAGCTACCGTGTCCTTCACGTTATTATCGAATTTTTCAATCTATTGATACGTACACCTCTCGCGCAATGTAATCTCTACCTTAACTAAAAATAAGTAAAAGTAACTGTTAATGCCATTATGTGCAACAAAAACATGTGAAATCTATTAAAGTTTTCAAATACAAATAATCTTTATTAGTTCTGCAATAAATAATTAGTCGAACTGCTTTTCTTTCGTAAATCTTTCATATTTTTTCCAAAAAAGTACATACCATACGGTTCCAGCACGAGCGTATTTTACAAAAGCTAAAGCTGTAGTCACGTCATTGGTTACAACGCCAGCACCGAGGCCATAGTTAGAATCGTTGGCGCGGTCCACAACTTCTTCAAAGGTTTCGAATTTCAGAATGCTTTGGACTGGCCCGAAAATCTGTGTCAAGGACATTAATAAATTACTATCTTCTACCATAAAAGAGTAACGCAAAGAAGAATTCGTTTTGTCTTACCTCTTCTCTGGCAATTTTCATGTTGTCGGTAACATCAGCAAAGACTGTGGGTTGAACGAAGAAACCAACATTTCCGTGGCGACCACCACCAGCTACGCAACGAGCCTCCTTCTTACCAACCTCTATGTAGCCCATGACTTTGGTGAACATTTCTGTGTCAATCTATAAATTAGATAATATAAGGATGTGGTGTTGCTTTAAACGTACAAATAAATATAATTGATATTAATCACACCTGTGGACCTTGTTGAACGCTTTCGTACGGGTTTCCAACTGTTCTCTTCTTGGCAATTTCTGCTGCTTTAGCAACGAATTTGTCGTAGATGCCCGATTGTACGTAGGTCCTGGTACCAGCTACACAGCATTGCCCAGCATTAGCAAAGGCAGCTCTGTGAGCAATTTCTGCTGCTTTCTCAACTGTCAATGCAAACAAACATTGTGTTTTACTATCTTAAAAATTGAACGTAAGTTATTGCATCTTACTAATATTTAATTACTAGCTGTTCCCGCGACTTGGTTTGCGAGTTCACCTTAAAAGTTATAAGATAGACCTCATCACTTAAAGACGAATCATTCTTTCATACCTACAAACCTTCTTAGGTTTCTTAATCAGTTTTCGCAATGCAGCCAACAAACATATATATGTTCAAAGATATATATGTTCCCTTGATGATGCTTGATTTTATATAGACTACAACCGTCCTCGATACATTTTTCGATTCGATCCAGTAGTTCTTTTATAATATTAGTATACATTACATGACGTCTCTAATTGCTACTAGACTTACCATCAGCATCATTAAAGATGACCAAAGGACTTTTGCCTCCGAGCTCGAGAGTCACACGCTTGAGGTTAACAGCTGAAGCACCTTTCATAATAATTCGACCGACCTGCAAATATTTGAACTTACTTACGTGAAGTGCTTTTCGTATATACCTACATATAGTTGCTTTACGAAACAAATTTTACCTCAGTGGAACCAGTGAACGCCATTTTATCAACGCGTGGGTGGTTAGTCAGTGCCGCGCCAGCGGTAGGGCCATAACCAGTTATGACACTAACAACACCTGCAGGCACTCCTGCTTCTTTCACCAGAGCTGCCATAGCCAACGCGGTGAGGGGCGTTTGTTCTGCTGGCTTTACGATGACCACACAGCCTAAAAATATAAAGGGACTGTACGTCAAATAACCACCGATCAAGTATTTAATACAATATACGAAAGATTTAATGTATAGGACTATATAAAAGTAATTTCATTGATTTCTTACCAGCAGCCAAAGCTGGAGCAATTTTCCATACGAACATGGGAATTGGGTAGTTCCATGGTAGAATTTGTCCGCAGACACCCACTGGTTCCTTCATAGTCATTGAGATAACTTCTCCGTCTGTACAACATATTGGCATTTTTTAGAAAATCTACTTTGGGGTAAACTTAAGGCATGATACCGCCCTGTCGCTGATATTGTTTTTGCCTTGTATTTTACAACCAAAATTTGCTATTTAGTATTATAACACCAGATTTTTATCAACATTTAAGGTTATACAAAAGTGTATTGTCTGTTTTAATGTTGTGTGATGGTTTCGAATTGTAATTCAAAATATACCTGCTGGAATAGTGTTCCCAAGGATTTTGTCAGCTTTACCAGCATAATACCTAACCACATGAGAAGCCCAGATGACCTCGCCGAAAGCTTGAGCCACTGGTTTGCCATTGTCCAAAGTTTCAAGTTCGGATAAATACTTCGCGTCTCTCTCCATGAGATCGGCGATCTTGTTTAGAAGTCTGCCTCTTTGGGAGGCGTCCATGGTGCGCCATTCTGAATAACGGTGGAAGGCTTTTACAGCAGCATCAACTGCTAGATCTACGTCAGCCTGAAAAACATATATGTATTTGTTATAAAATATTTCATTCGTTCGTCTTTTAAAATTGTATTCTTGTTGATTTTTATGAACGAACAAGTTCATTTTTTTAATGGTAGAGGACAGATAAACATGGTTCACTTGATAGTACGCGATTAACTCAACCCCTTGGCATTTGAACAAGATGCGCTGTCGACTAATTTCGGCTTTGGATATTCGGAAATCCACAGACTGAAAGCGAAACGCGATTAAGCTTCACGTCTTTGCAACTGTGGACGTTGAATCGATTTCTATATTCCTAACAACAATTTAATATCCAGATTTCCAGACGAAGTCAAACATGTTTCAGAAAAATAGAAATTGAATAGTTAGAAACATGTTCGACTCAAACCCACGACCGATTATTAATCATACATTGCTACCATTAGACCATTAGACCCGTCAAAATCATTCATATCAATTACCTTGTCTCCTTCAGCCACTTGAGTGATGATGGATTCATCCTGAGGGTTGATGGTAGGAAACGTTTTCTTGCTAACAGCATCCACGAATTCGTTGTTAATAAACAACTGTAAGTAAACATTAAATACAATTCAATAAAAAAAAAGCAGTATAGACAAATAAACTTTTCAACATATATTTTTTTTCATAGTCGTTCAGACAATGTTTACGGACGCTTCCGAACGCTTCGGAAACAGCCGTTTTGTTGTAGATTGTTATCTATTAAGAATACTTAATGAACAATTAAAAACTACAATAGGTCGAGACCTATTGTAGTTTTTAATTATGTAACTGTTATTGGATTAGAATTATTTATTTGTTGACAGTTCTTTAATAAAGGGCTTTGCTACGAAACGGTTCAAAAAATATATGAAAGAAAGAATCCTCAATTGTCCTTAACAGTATATGTCTATCTTCTAAGATTAATTTGCAAGAACGGCGTTACACCAACGACATTTTGTGTAACAACTATCTATAGTTTATAAATATGATGGACAAAATAACTATTCCACGCGGACAAAGTCACGGGCACAGTTACTAAAATGTATATAATAGCCACGTAATTGTTCGTTGAAGTAGAGACTGACAAAACATTAGGGTACCCTTTCGACGCTCCTGGGAAACCTCACAATAGACTGTTACCCATAATAATCGCACATTGACTGGTAAATACTGTCTACCAAGTATAACACACATAACGAGTATTGACATAAAGGCCGGATGTTCAATTCAGTACAGATTATTTAGAATTACATCGCTAGAAGCGATCTGATATTTTTCAAAGATATTTCTGTTATTTACTAACATAATGAGGTAATTGTTTATAATCTTATACATTATTTCTACGTTCTTACTTGGGTCTTTTGTCAAACCGAATAGTAAAGTTTTGAATTATTCAAAAAAACTTAACGGGTTAATATAAACAATTGTTTAACTACGGCCCGACGTTATTGATGTTTTTCCCTCGGGGGACAGCTGTAATCATTGGAGTGTACGTTATCATCGGTAAAAGGTTTAGTACTCGCCTAAACTGCAGACACTAATTATTTTCAAAGCTATTATAATTAGGTTTTTGCCAATTTAATCAGCTGATAGTTTAAAATTATATAAATTGAAGATGGCTTTGAAACAAAACTTTGAACAACGATTACACCGTCGTTATCCATTCCGTGGACTCGAACATGCTAATGCATAATAGTTCAATGGTTTGAACGGCACGTTACATTATCAGTCATTTGTTCGTGCCCTGTTCGTGTCGTTATTTTTCAACATTTCTGTAAGATTGCTTTTCAAGCAGTTTTGCTTCATATTTTAACACCATCTTGTCATACATTAGACTAAGACTACGACAAATGATATTTATTTATATGTATATCTACATAATATATTTATTTACTTGCATTTTTTTTTAATCTTTCGCCACCATGTAAAAATATTAAAATTTTAAAATATTTATTTGTCTTGGTATGTCACATTTATAAATATAGCAAAAGATAATAGATGATTTCTAAGCTAAAAATCTATTATAGGAATGGTAACGATTTGTTATTATGTAATATTTTATTTGTAAATCTCGATCCTATTTTTTATCACGCCATTGGCGGTTTGCCCAAGTCGCTCTAACTATTTTGTATTAGAATACAGTTTCGCTAAATAGTATATGTTCAAATAAACTTGACCCTGAACACCTACTGATGTGTTTACATCATTGTCATAAATTGTGAATACGAATATATAAGATAACGTATTGGGCTTGTTAACTAGGCATTTTAATATATATTAAACGGTTTTATTTAGCTTCAGCCGTACGGAATTAATTTACTTGAGTCAAAATTGGAAATTGAAATTCAAGCATTTTCCCGTAATCAGATTGATTTGAAATTTAGTACACACTTTTACTTTAGATGACAATACAATATAATAAAATCAATAGACTTATAAATCCAAGATGGCCGCCGATACAAAATGGCGGATTACATATTTTTCCTCAACTCCCTTAATATGGATACCAAATGAAAGGGCTACACTAGTAAAACACGATGATTATGTCAAAATAAATTTTATTTTTAAACAAAACACTTTAACGGTTTAAAACGCGATATATTAGTTAAACTGATTTGAAAATGATTTTTAACTTCGGCCCGACGTTTCGAATGCTTTGCAGCAGCCGTGGTCACGGCTTTTAAAACGTATACAAAACACTCCTTTAAAAATCATTCAAATGTTTTGTTTTTTTTTATTAAAATTTATTAGTGTCTATATTGTGCAGTTAATAGTAGAAGCAGATTTGCCTTGATTTGTTTCATGTACTTACTACAATGTTGTTTATTACATTTAAAAAATATACAAACGAAATATATAATATAATATATAAAATCGATTTGCAAGCCTCATTTTTTATATCGATTTAAAAATATTATAATATTAACTTTTAAATCGACCGTATGTTTTTAGATCCACATAGAAATAATTATTACCATTTAAAAACATAAAGAATTACAATTAATTATGCAGGTATGTATAATTTTAATTGATTAGAAAGTAACACCTGAATTTTGATTCGAGTATTATTTGCGTAAGTAAAATAATCTTATCAAATAAGACAATTAATATTTTATGGTATTCACTTATCTTCGTTATCAATGAAAGTGGGCAAAACATGGTACCCTGAATTAATATAACACGAATTTATGTATTCTCATAATATAATTTCATAATCATAATATAAATTAATTTAAGTACAGTCTCTTATCTTTACTATATGTGATTTTCAGATATTTTGTACTAGCGTTACATTAAGTCCATTTCATAATAGTAAACACAATATACAAGAACCGGCCGGCATATAGTAAGATAAACGTTTGAATATTATAATGGTAATTTAACCAAACGTTTTAGGTTTAGGGACAATGCTAGTCATATTTAAATAACAAATAAACTAACCTTAGTGTATTTAATATCAACTTTAGCCATTGTGTTGTAACGTGTGTCGCACTCGACAGCCTTCCACTGAGTGTTTTGTTAACCAAAATCCAAATAGTCGAGAATAGCCTATACAGCTGAATTGATAAAGAACACTTGATATACGATTGGCTATTACGTTTTACAGTGTGTATCCGACTATGCGGAGATGTATTATACCACTAGCTGTGGCCGCGACTTCGCGTAGATTAATTATTTTGGGCATGAATATTTGTCTCCATATCTATATCCCCATGACGTCGCCGTAGGATACACATATACTATCGAGGATATTATAGATCAATTGAAGAAGAATCATGCTTTCATAAATATATCTTGGGTTTCTTCAACCGTTTCAACGGTCGATCGTTCGAACGTCGTTCAAGTCGATCCAAAAATTTTCCCCGTTTTTTCATTATTTCATATAATATTTTAACAAGATACGCGAGCGAAATGTTCTGGTGTAAAAATTCAGAAATTCAGGTCCTGAAACCGAAATGCGATTTAATAAGAAATAAGAAGTCATAAAGGCTTTTGCATAAAACACGTTTGAAGCCTGATATATTAACTTAATCCTACCGTGACTATGGCTGTTTCAAAGCATCCGCGTCGGGCCGCATTTAAAATAAAGCATCAATAACAAATATATTTCGCAATTTAAGCCGTTTAAAGAACTATTGAATTGAGTTATATTGCATAAAGTGCCATAATTTTAGAACTACACTATCTATGTTGTTAATTTTCATAAAATACTATGTTCCAAATAAATGTTACAATCTATATCTGTAACTCTTCATCATCCCGTAAAGGTCAGTCACTCGGGTGTGCATCCGTCACATACACGTAGCGGTGGTCCAAGCTGAGGCCGATGCCCCTCGGGGTACTCTTGGTCTAGCCGCAAACAGTGTTAATTCTCTTAGGAACGTCTTATTAAGTACATTTTGTTTGAAATAATAAAACATTAATTTTATATTCATAAAACTTCAATATGTTACATTCATTTCATTACTCATAATTGCTATAATTTTGTATACATATTTTTATATATAATTGCGGTCCTAAGAATTCTGACAAATATTTGTTTGAATGATTTTTTATTATTTAAATTTACAATAATTTTCAATCACTTAATAATCATTAGACGATAAATACACAATATATTATTTATATATATTTATCTTTTGTAAGTGACAGCATTTAAATAAAATGGTGATTATGGAATGGCTCAAGATATTTATCGTTTGATTTTATTCAACGTTACCAACTTTTACTTTGACTTTTCAGTCCTTAGATAGTTGTCTAATGTATTGTTATTGAGTATAGAGTTACTAGCTATCTTATCCAAGAATATTTTAGTAGTATAAAATGCCGTTTATCTCTGTAAGGCACGGGGCCTATTTTTGTGTCCGTCGCACTAATCAATTCTAATTTAGAAGCAATCATTGAAAAAAAAAACTGTTTAATGTTAAAACGCGAAACATATTCGTTCAGATATTTTTAATTCATATTAACCACAGTCCGACGTTTCGGATCCGTTGAAGCAGCTGTCCCAGACCTGAGACCAGAAGCTTAAAAGTGTTTTACAGTATAGTAGTTGACAGAACCGCTGTGCCCTGCCTGACTGTAATAAATAATTTCTACGCCCAGAAATCGAACCCAAGACATTTACGTAAGCAGTACTTGCAGCCTCCCTTGTAATGAGTTGCGGTGCCGGTCAAGAATCAAAGTCTTTGTTTTTTTCAATTTTAAATTAGTTTTCAAATTAGTTATTTTCCACTTTCGTCGTGATGACACTGTGTAACGGAAACTGTGGAAAGGAACAGTGTTACCATTTATCAGTAACTAGCTGTGTCCCCGACATCGTCTGCGTATAATGGTTGTTTTGGGCATCAAAATTTGTTTTTGCAAACCCCCTCATCTTTAACAATAACTATTGCCCAAGACGTCGTTCGTGTCTCGTCATTGTGAGGGTTGTTCTTAATCGATGATATATACTGTTGCGAACCTTTTTTGAGACAATTTAAGAGGGAATCAATCTATCATAGGTTACTTTTTGGGTATCTTAAACAGGGCACGCAACGCAACGTAAGCACTCAAAGATGAATATTTTTCCCAGTTTCTTCACTTATTTACGTAATAATCTATACAACCTTTCTCGATATATGGTTTATTCACAAAACCAAAAAGAATTTTCAATTCGAACCAATAGTTCCTGAGATTAGCGCGTTGAGACAAACAAACAAACTCTTCACGTTTATAATATTGGTATAGATATTCAAAATTATTTTAAAATTTCACAATAGGAACAATGGTTATGCAGTGTGCTATTGTTAGCTATTGTTGTTATCATTTGACAGAACCCATCTCTTAACAATATGATAATCATTTCCCTTGTTTAGTTGTCAATTGCTAGGTGCAGACTTATTGATAAGATAACCTTCTGTTTGACTAGCGCATAGAGGGAAGATAATTCATGTGTACAGGGAAATAATCGATGTCCCTAGTTTCCTATAGCTGTACTAATATATAAAGCTTAACTCTTTTTTCACTTAATTTTTTTTTCATGGTTAGAGCATTTATCGAGGATGGCGATACAGCGAGAAATGTGAAAATTTTGGGAAAATTATTCATCATTATGGGTTTTCGAGGCGTACGCTGCCAAAACGGTTCAAGATACCAAAACAATCGGCATGAAAGAATGATTCTTTAAATTATCTAAAAAAGGTCCGCCACACTATACATCTATTTTTTAAGATTAACTCCTAAGAACGACGGATCGACGTCGTAACAACTTAAATTTATAAAGATGAAGTGAAGGTTTGCAAAAACAAATATTGGTGGCCAAAATAACTATTATACGCGAACGAAGTCGCGTATTATTTAAACCTAAGCTGTTACCCACGACGTCAGTGGCGCCCCTTCCCGTCGATCTTGCTAGTTAATCTTAAAAGATAGACGTCGGGGACTTCTTTAGATCATTTAAAGAGAAATCATTCTTTGATACATATTTTTTGGGTATTTTAAACCTATATTGCAGCGTGCGCTTCGGAAACCCATAATAATGAATAAATTTTCCCATTTTTTTGCTGTAGCTTCGCTTGTATAAGTCACAGAGCAATGTTTTATAGCCTTCCTCTATAAATGCTCTCACCAACACAAAAATGAGTTTTCAATTAGATTCCGTAGTCCCTGAGATTAGGGGTTTCAAGCAAACAAATTCTTCAGCTTTACATATTAGTATAGATAAGAAAATAATTTATGTTTGAAAACTTTAATATTTTTCACATGTTATTGCACATGAAGGCACTATATAATTTAAAAATCGAAAATAAATTGACAGGATTCGGTAACTCAATTGGTACAGCAACAGCACGGAACGCTGATGCCGGTTCAAGTCCTGTCCGAGTCAAAATTTTTTAAATCATGTGATTTTTATTTTATATTCTAGGTTCCGATCAACTCATCTATTAATCTATCGATATTTTTGTCTTTTCTTTTAAGAAATCCTCTGGTCGATACCATACCATTGCAATCCATTCTAGTAGAATGTCAGCTCCCTCGTAAAATATTTCTACTGTCGTGTTTAATGAAGTTGTTATAATGAAATAATTTAATTTTAACTACTGGACCTAATGACACCACTGACAGCATATCGACCAACATATTATAATAAAAGCATGTGGTGATTGAATTTCTATAGGATAAAACCAGTCTTAAACCAGTTACGTCGAACCACAAATACGCATAGCATATCTATTATAATATACTAATATAAAGCAAAAGAGTTTGTTTGTTCGAACGCGGTGATCTGAGGAACCACTGGACCATTTATTGAGAGAGGTTTTAGACTATAAAAGATTTTTTTTATACGTATTGGGTCCGGGGCGTCGAATACTTACCGGACGTTTAGGCGCCGTGTTTGCGTCTAGACTAAGGGTGCCCCAAGAGGGCGACTATAAAACAAGAATAAAATAAGAGCGAAGCAACAAAGGGAAATAGAGATAAATGGGCATATTATTTAACTTTGAGGGTTCACGTTTAAGATATCCAAAAGATATGTATTAAAGAATTATTCTTCTTTATTTTGTTTATTTAATTAAAATAATAAGATAACATTAAGTTTGTATATACCTGGAGATTATGCGTAATTAACTATTTCAGACTTAAGTAACTATCACAGTACAAATATATATTATACAATTAACAATCTTCCTGTCTATACATATAATTGAATAAGTGATAACTAATTTAAAGAAATATTAAATACTAGCTGTGCCCACGACTTCGTTCGCGCGGAATAGTGACTTGGCGTATTTAACCCAGCCAATCTATGTTGTAAGTGCTACTTTGCCGCAACACTCTCACTCCCACTCCCAACCCCACTCCTATTCTCAAATAGCCAAAGAAGAAAGTTTCAATGTTCTATCTTCAAAAACCACGAATTTCCATACAAACTTTCACCGCCCTTATTAACCCTTTACAACTCCCTTTTCGCAATAAAAAGCCTATGTTCTTTCTCTGGGTCTAGATCATATGTGTTCTAAATTTCATTCAAATCCGTTCAGTAGTTTTGGCGTAAAAGAGTAACAGACAGACAGACGGACAGAGTTACTTTCGCATTTATAATACTTAGGAAGGATTCTTTCAATGATCTTTAAAATATAAGGCAAAATAACGTTCGCCAGGTATGCGCATAAGCATTTTGACGGTCGTGGGCTCGATCACCACCGGGTCCAACATGAGTCTAATTAATCAATTTGTTTTTTTTTATTTCGACTGGAAATCTGGACATTAAGTGGGTGGTAGCAATATAGATATTCCGTCCGGGTCACGAACCACCACACATATTAAAAAGCCGCGAAGCTAAATCGCGTTTCGGTTTCAGTCTGTGGATTTCCGAATATCCAAAACAAAAAAAGGTCGCCAGCGCATCTTGTTTAGGCGCTATAGGCTGGGGTATATCACCTACGGCCAAGTTAACCCTGTGCTTGTCTGTTCTCCTCTATCATTAGAAAAAGCATATTAGGTGAACAATGGTTTAAGTCTAAATTGGCCTTGTTTGTTTTGATACTTATGTTTTCAATGATAGATTGTTTTTATAACCTTATAGCTATCTATAGCTTTTATCTGAGTTCGAATTATTATTATGTAATTTACTATCTTCATTTTTTTTTCATTTATTTTCTTTTTTTACATTATTTGTGAGTATTTGACATGAGATTGATTAATACCTTCTTTAAGTAATGGAGTGAATTTACATTGGGAAGGGAAGTTATTATATATTTTTATAATTATTTCTGTCCTGTACTCAACAATTAACTGCCCAGATCGAGTACTATAAACATCATTTATAGAAGTCCTGTCTGTGTTTTTTTCATGTTTGCCCGGGTATTACGTAAAAATTACTTGACAAAAAAGTAAAATGAAAATACTATGAGAAGGAAACGTTGATGAAATCATGAAAAAGTGAGATAAAAATATTTTGTTTTTTTAATTTGCAAACTGATACACAGCTCTAAACGTTGGCATTAACTTCGTTGTGCGACGTTTCAAATTGCGCTTCGTTTTAGCAAAACACGCATTATATTAATCAGAAAAAATAAATATTTTATATCATTCATCGGCTACGTAAAGAACATTAAATTGTCTGTTATTGTGTACGTCTACACTTTTTACTAGAACTGAATATACAACTTAAATATATACTTATATTATAACGCTGAAGGATTCGTTTGTTTGAACGCGCTAATCTCGGGGATTAGTGGATTGAATTGCAATTCGATAGCTAGATCGTTTTTATTTTAAATTACATCAATCAAGAAAGGCTTAAGACTTTAAAACTCTGCACCGATAGTGATCAAAAAATGTGGGAAAAACGGGGAACACTATTCTTGCTATTCATTATTCTAGGCGTGGTTCAAAAATGTATGAAGGAATATATTATTATAGTATATATTCCTCTTTAGATGATACAAAAATATGTCCGCGACAGTATATGTGACTATCTTTCAAGAATAACTCGCAAGAACGTCGGGACGCGGAAAACGTCTTGGGTAACAGAACAAATGTATAGAGTTGAACAGGGGGCTTGCAAAAGTCTTCGTCTACTATAAACTAAAAATATTATTACAGGATTAGATCCAGCCCGACCACTGGTATCTGAATATGGCTCGAAGCAGTTCCGTCTGAGCCGTGATGATGCTAACGTAGTGCAGGTGGTGCACACGAACGCTGGTTTCCTCGGCGAGAGCGGTCAGATTGGACATGTCGACTTCTGTGTCAATGGGGGAAGATTACAACCTGGCTGCAAAGGGCATATGATGCGTAAGTTGTCTGACACTAGCTGTTCTCCTGACCTTGAATTAAATTAATATTAAACGCGCTTCTTTGCATATCCCGCGCTTTTTTTTAATAATATAAAGGGATGACAAGCACACTTGATGTAGGGTAAAATACGCCAGTCATCATATTACATCTAAACAAGATGCGCTGTCGGCCTATTTTGGCTTTGGATATTAGGACTAAAGTACTAAAGACTTCCACAAAACTATAACATAAATTGAATACATTATAAAATAAAGTGGAACAAAGATTCTACTCCAATAGATGATAGATACAGCTTATTTCTTTTGTCTTTTTTAAAGCATATTTCATATTTAGTTACTAGTTGTATTTTATAGATTAGTTTTTTTGTTAGATGTTTTGCTATTAGACCACGAAACGCCACGAAAACCACGAAACGGTTTTTAGACAGAAATAATAATTTATATAGCGTTTTCAACGATTAAACATTAACGATTAATATACGTCGTCATTACTTAAATTTTAAATAATTCCTTAAGGTGTAAGAAACAGTGACACAACGCTAATATTTAATTAGTTGTACAAAGTATCGCAACTGAATTCATTAAATTTCGCCTTTAATACATTATTGTTTATTTTCAATACAGGTGCTTATAAAACATATTATCAAGAAGATAATTCACAGCTTTATTTATTACTAGCTGTGTGCACGCGACTTCGTCCGCGTGGAATAGTGACTTGGGTTAGAATTTTTATTTATTTAGGCTGTTTATTAATTTATGTAATTGCGCATTTTGCGCCTTGTACTTTGCAGCAACACTCTCACCTCACATCACTCTTACTCTAACTCCCACTCCTATTCCAAAAAAGCCAAAGAGGAAAGTTTCATTTCCATACAAACTTTCATCCCCTTTTTCAACCCTTATCAACCCTTTTTTGGCATTCAAAAGCGGCCTATGTTCTTTCTCAGGCATTCAGTAGTTTCGGAGTTAAAGCCGGGCAGACAGACAAACAGACAAATATACTTTCGCATTTATAATATTAGTATAGATTAATGTTTATTTAATGATTTGACAACAACTAGGTATTTAGTTAATTATCTCTCGTCATATACCATGATATGCAGAATATACATCTTAAACCTTTGCTCTTGTGTTTTATATAATACGTATGTTATCCTACTTACCTTACTCAAATAAACAATTTCTAAGCTTAAAAGTATACAATAGATATATTTCACATTCGAATGACCAAAAGGCCGATTTCACTTTACAGGGCTAAGCCATCGACATGAACATGCACGGACGGTCTCGCTCTGAAACCGGCCTTTAATTATGAATATTGTCTTAATATGTATAATAATTTTAGGGAAATTTACTGTTTAATAATAGAAGTATATTAGAAAAATAGAGTTGGCAGTTAAAATGAAATAAGAGAGTATTTTATGCATATTATGACTACATACATACAGTCAATGTGTTCGATGTTTATTGTGACTGAATTTATTAAAAAGTTTATCTATAAGGTTAGGGTCATTTCTAAAAGAGATAGCCTAACTTATCTACTTTATTTGACCTTTACTGACAAAATTTCACCTATTTTGTAACCGCTATTATCGTATGATGTCAGGTATTTTGGATATATTGACTGAGGAGAGATAGGTGAGCAATCTCTATTTTAACAGTTTTTTTTCTCTTTTTAAATACTCTATTTGGTTACTACTTAGTTAGAGTACTAACACAAAAAGATTTTGCATTTTCTGCAAACCTCCTCATCTTTATCATTACAACTATCTATCATAGGTACTTACTTTAAGCACTCAAAGATGAATAATTTTCCCAGTTTCTTTTCACATTTTCACATTTTCTACTTATTTACGAAATATATCTATAACAGCTTTCCCGATAAATGGTCTATTCACAAAGCCAAAAAGAATGTTCAATTCGAACCAATCGTTTCTTTGATTAGCTCGTTGAAAGAAACAAACTTCAGCTTTATAAATAAGTATCTATGGGCTGCATAATATTAGGATTGTTATTATATTAAGATTCTATATATTTATGTTAGGTGTTGCTAGATGCAGCCACTTCATGAGTTCCTGTTACTTTGCTGCAAGTCTTCGTCGACGTATTCAGATGGTTGGTGTTCCATGTGACTCCAGTTGTCCAAAACAAGATACGTTAGTGTTGGCAACAAACGCAAAGCCTCTTCGTATAGGCGGAGATATACCAGATTCGTAAGTAATTTTAATTAAATACCATTAATATTAACTTATAATAAATAAATAAGTTAAACTAATATATTTCGCGTTTTAAACCGTTAAATTGTTTTTTAATTCAAACGTGTACGTAACTATAGACAGGATTAAAAACCATTAATTGATTCAAAACGCGATATTACATCGAATCATTATTTTTCATATTTTACTTAGAGCCTCTACGAAATCTTGTTTAAATAAAACGTATTCACACAAAGTTTGAGATATTTTATGATCTATGAATTAACTCTTAGATAAAACCCTAACTAAAATGCGCAGTGAATTCAATGAAAATAGAACGTAACAATACCTGACAGTTTTCCATTATGATAATATGTCTTTGCATATGCATAAGTTCTATAACGAATAAATTTAAATGCTTTTATTGATTTTAGATCACGAGGGATGTACTGCGTTAGATTGGACCATGAAGAGAGCTGTCCCTTTGACTGATTTGTATAGTTTTTAGCACTTAACTATTTAGAATAACTTCTTAAATTATAAGAACAAATAAAAGTATGAAAACTTTCTTTTGTCTTGTTATTTAATACGTTTAACGAGCATTGTATCTTGCTAACACCGCCTTAATTCATTTAATTATAAAGCGTATAATGTTCACTATTAAGTTGATGTTGTATTTTTCTTCGGAAATATTTCTACCCTAACGATAGTACATGAGAAATTACATCTATCATTGTAGAAAATTGATTTGAATGTCATATTACCATATAGAAACATGCCACCATAATAGTTTTGCGCCACAGATTCTATATTAATGTCGATGTGGTATCTACCCTAAAAATAAAAATAAATTAAAAATGCACCTGCCATCTATATACGTACTTAATAAGTCGATAGCGTATTTGTTAATAGAAGTAATATTTAATGTAATTAGACTTAGCACATCAATATCTAACTCTGATTTATATATTTAATTGAAATAATTTCTTAGTAAAACGCCTCTAGCATGCTACTTGGCACCTATCTCGAAGGACCATCACTTACGACGCCTGTTGACGTGAGTATGCTTACTTTTTTAAATACACAGTCCTGGGTAACGTTCAATATTGCTTGGAATAATGGTTTTATAAACAGATGATCGCAAGGCTTTTTCATTTGAAGTCGCACCAATGGTTTTCCGTTCACAGTTGCGAATATTTTACCCTGAAAAAGTTCTTTCACAATAAATTTTATAAAATATGGAAGTATACCATTTAAAGTTGCAATTCTAATGGAGTTTACTGTTTACTCTTACAGAAATTGAAGAACATATACAATATGACATAATACCAAACAAAATCTTACAATAGCACTTAACTTAGTAATTGTATATGTGAGAATAAAGAGGTGTATGCAAGAAAAAATGTATTATTTTTTAGTTTGGGCAGTATTCCAATTTAGCTAATTTACCCGAGTCGGAATAACATCCTCTTTTATATTAATATCATAAGACAATATAATTTCACTATCCATTCTTGCAGACACATCACAACAGTCCCTATGTTTGGGTCCTTTGCATGTCTCCATGTGTTTTACGTGTAGTGAGAATTCACCCTGAAATTAAATTTGGTGTATGAAAAGCTCGTAAAACTTATTTTTAACTAAGTAAGTACGTACTAACGTATCTCGAGACCACAAATACCTTACGATATAACTATACGAAAGACAAAAACAGACAGACAGAAAAAAAAATTTTGTTCTGAAGTTCTGAAGTTCTTGTATTTGTTAAAATTTATTTGGTCCAAAAAGTTTTAGAAAAAGAGAAAAATTGTTTCAAATGTTTGACTCACGTAATCCTTAGCTGTCTCAATAACATTAACAATTGTCCAAGAAAATATCAAAGAAAAAATCAATAAATAACAATTCGAAACCATACTGGTAGCACAAATTTGTTTCAAAAAGGATTAACTAAGTATGGTATACAACTTCGTAAATTATTTTATCTGATAAAACGATCTGATTTTATTTGGCTTGTTTAACAACATAATGCTAAAATAAAATGTTTCTCTTTTGTGTGTCCACTTAATAACATATGGTTATAGATTATTACAGCGGTTATGTGAACGTATAATTAAACGTAATTATTAAATTGGACTGAAATTCAGAGATAGAAATGAAAACTTTAATATTTTTCACATGTTATTCGATTATTCATTTAAAAAATACTTATTACGAGCCCTGTCCAAATAGCTTTTGTTTTTTCATTTTCTAATCGATTTTTAATTTTTTTACATATTTTACAAACACCACAATTTGGTCTTAAGATTGATCTCCGGCAGTGGATTCAATATTTTTTTTCGTATTTGACTGAATTTATGGTAAACATTAAAAAAAGCCGGCATTTTATAGAACTAACTTTTACTAACGTGATGTTAACGTTTGGTTAACTATATTCTTATTTAGTTTCACTTAATTAACTCAATAATAATGATCTAAGTTCATTTTATTTTAGGTCTCATCAGCTGATATTTTATTTGCACATCATAAAATTAACAACATAAAGGCTCCTATAATTATCCTAATTCATAAAATAGATAATAATACAGTGTTTTGTTCAAGAAGGATTAGATAAGTCTGTTTCTTGTAATATAAAATTTGTGATATTTAAAAACGTAAAGCATCGTTAGAGGGCGGTAAAGGCAACGCAGTTCAGCGCTTTGACTTCTTTGTCATTTGTTGACATATATTTATTTTTATATTTACAAATACAATACAATATATTTCCTCCTTAACAATGATAGGTTTCTGTAAATCGACAATGGTTTTTGATTTGAGACCAATCTAAAAATTAAATGTATTGAGTGTAATGATAGCAAATGTATCGAGTGTTATATTGAAATGCTGCAGTTTGGCCTGTGTGATCGGTGCTGCTGGCCTTTGGGCCGGATCGGAAGTCGATTCCCGGCCGAAAAAAAGGGACGAACAAACCCTCGTTGGAGGAGCTATTTGGTCGCAATTAATAATACCTCTGGGTCTCATTATTTCTATGGTAGTGGAGGAGGAGTTGTCCACGTTTGTACATTGCTACTATCTACTGGTTGGTTCAGGCTGGTTGATTGTAACTGGAGGTGTTTTGGTAAATCAGGACGTTATATATGTTATAAATTATAGTTCAAGTTCATATAACATAAAAGCCATAAAAGGTCAACAATAGACGCGCTGTCAATCTACTTGAGCGTTGGATATTTGGAAATACAGCGACTGAAATCGAAACTTCACGGTGTTTTTCATCTGTGGGCAGTGGTCCGTGAGCCAGACGGAATTTCGATAATGGCCCATTTAATATGCAGATTTTCAGACGTAGCGTAACATAAATTGTGTAAGACTTTCACGATCCACCTTCAGAATATCATTGTTTTTCGCGCTGTTGGGCCGTGAGCGAGAATTGGTCTTGACGTTTCGCCATCACGAGCGGAGCGCATCCTCAGGGGATGTTAGCTCCTCGATTGCTCGAAGAAATATGAGTTCTCCGCCGTGGCCTCAAATTCTATTTTCATCTTAGAAATAGAAAGAATGAATAGGAATCGGATCATGTAAGCTAGTGGCAATACGTCGACCATTTCACAATTACGACGGACGACCAGCTAGATGTAGCCCGCCCAAATGCCCAAAATGGCCGCGAAAGCCGTATAAAATCTAAATAATAATATTAGTGTACGTTAGTATAGAGAAAACGTTTTTTTAGATGATCGGTGAATACCACAGATTAGGAAGATGGCGTTTACACGGATTAGAGGACGTCTTAGAACATCCGAGCCAACTCACCACTTTACCACGAAGTTTTGATAAAGTATATTTTAGTATCGGCTTGCTTTGTTTTTTAGCGAGCATTTTTACATTTCTAGACTTTATCGCCGTTATCCTTATGTAAAAGTGTATTAAAATCAATATATTTTTTAATAGTATTCGTTCTATTTACATTTGTATAAAAGCACTTTAGATTCGATAAATTTAATACATGGTCGGGATTCAAACCCATAAACAATATTATAATATGTTCACTCAATTGAGCTATCAGTGATTATCCAATTTCTCAATTCTTTTATAGTTTAATAAAATGGTTTGAAACGCGAAATATATAAGATTGTGCACTACTCGCGTAGAATACAGCCAATACGGACTGGATAATGCAAATAAGGTTATCTTATGTACTTTGCGAATTAGTCGTGGGCTCGAACATTTTATGATTTTTTACGAATACGCGGCATCACTCGCACCGCTTATGTATTGTAGTATCGAGAATTTTGTTCGTAGTCAAGGTTCGAAATCCGGGAAATCTACAAGCAGATTGGGCCAGGGCATTCTGATTAAATAATGACCTATAAATAAACTAGTTTAGTAAAGCAGACATAGATATATGTCCCATGCCCAAACTTAGGGAAAACGGGTTTCTCTATAAAAATACGTTTCATATCTATGTAACTACAGCCGTCTCAAATGCTTTGCAGCAGCCGTGGTCACTGCTGAACGTTTCATTTGTAATATAGTAGCATAATAAGGTCTTACATAATAAGAGTACAATGATATTTTGGTTTGAACAATAAGGTCTTATTTTGGTATATTATTTACAAAATAGACAATGTTGTATCAACATTTTGATTGCAGTCATTATTTTTGATATAAGCGCGTGGTACACTGCTAGATATAATAATTAATAACTTTAATAAGAGACTGCTAGAAACAGAGTAGCCTAACTGCAATTTTAAGACTTTACTTATTTATTTACAAGAGCGCAGCCACCTACAATTGTTAACATAATTCTTACAAAAATAATACGACAAATTAATTTGGCCCCCCCCTTTTTTTTTTTTTTTTTTTTTTCCCAAAAAAAAAAAAAAAAATTTTTTTTTTTTTTTGGGGGCCCCCCCCCCCCCCGCCCCCCCAAAAAAACCCGGGAATTTTTAATTAAAAATTTTCTTGTGGGGTTTCTTCTTGTGGGGGGGTTTTTTAAGGTGGGTTGGCCAAAAAATTGGGATACAACATCTTTGTGAAATATTCTCTAGTTTTTATGTTAGATCATCGAAATTATGTATTGCGAATATATTAGACAAAATTGGTGAACAGCGTATTTTAATTAAATGTTATTGAGACAGTTTTCTCATGTAAGCCACGTGTTTATCTGTCCTCCTTAATTTTTGATAGATAGCACAGTGGATCACAAGCTTAAATACGCAGCAAGTTTAGATATATAAGAAGACAATGGTGTCTCTGAATTAATTGAGGAACTACAACTGTCATGTATTCAAGACTTTCTATCTGTTGGAGAAAAAGATAAAATGCCCTTTGGATTGTGAGTTAACATATATCTATTTAAATAAACACTTTAAACGGTTTAAAACGCGATATATTAGTTAAAAATCATTTTCAAATAAGTTAACTAATATTCGCATTTTAACCGTTAAAGTGTTTTATTTAAATGTGTACTATGGTGCGTAAACTATAGACAGTATATATATTTATTTTTTGTTTACTTAATCTAACTTTGTTGTTGCGCAGAACTTCTTTTTATATAATGACGCGATATATTAGTTAAAAATCATTTTCAAATAGTTTAACTAATATATCGCATTTTAAACCGTTAAAGTGTTTTATTTAAATGTGTACTACTCGCGTAAACTATAGACAGTATATATATTTATTTTTTGTTTACTTAATCTAACTTTGTTGTTGCCTGCCAGAACTTCTTTTTATATAGATGACTTCTTTATGCATACTATTTTTCCGAATGAAAAGCCAAAAATAGATCGATGGCGCGTCGTATTGAGCTATATATGGCCAGAGTTGTTTCAGTTAACATCAAGTGAACGTCAATTACTTAATGGGAAAATATGAAATTGTTATGTCATTAACCATATTTTTTGCTTAACATCACTTAATTTTCAGTATTATAATAACCGGAATACTGGCTTTTGGTGCATATTGGACTACTAAATACCTAATGAATATGGCGGAACATAACTCCACGACGCTGCAATATTCCACCACAACTACAATCTCGCCAAAACTGTGAAGATCTATTATTTACATAAGAAATGTGTATTGTACAAAATATTTATTAGTTGTCTAAGATATTGAGATGCAATAAAATGTCTATTGTTTTGTAATTAAATATTTTAAAACTTAAACATATTTCGACACAATTGCATTAAGATAAAACATGAATCATAACTTTCCTCCCATAATGTATTACCAATCCACTATTAAATTATATATATATATATATATTACGTATCTTTTTCTACAGCAATAAACTATAAAATCAATGTTGAATCTATACATGTATAAAAAAGCTGAAGAGTTTGTATGTTTGAACGCGGTAATCTAAGTAACTAGTGGTAGTATTTATCGAGGAACGGTATAGGCTAAATAATATCACGCTGCGATCAAAGAAACATTAGGAAATGTGGAAAAATGCGTCGGAAACGATTAAAGAAACATGGTTTGGCTTCTTTGAATACCCTAAAAAAACATTTTTTTTATAAGATTAATCGTTAGAACATATATATATATATAACAGTCTGAGCTTATTTATTAGGACTTATTTTTGGGATCCCAAATATGATGAATGAAACGGAAATAAAAATTCCTAGTACAACTTGCTTTGGAAAATGTATAATCGTAACTACATTGTCCTAATGAACAAAGAGATTGGTTGGATAATCTCTTCCTGTTTTCTTTTTCAAACCTGCATCATTGATTAGTGGACTTGAGATCACAGCTAATGAAACATACGCTATGACATTTGGATTGTAAGTATAATATTGTATTTTATTTTTTAGCACATGTAAAAATAGTATTTTTCATTAAAAAAAGAAAGGACAAAGACTCGTCTCAAGTCTTTAGATACCATAAATAATGATAGAACATGGAGTGTTTTCCTAGAAAAATAACTTTTCAGCATAGATTTGAACTATATTTTTTTAAATTATACTTATATGCTATACCTATATGTTTTGGTTTTAGTTTATTGGTAACATGTCTGGTGGCTTTTGGAACATATTGGTTCACGAAGTACGCTTTAATGGACGGTCGTTTCCTAGACAAACCAGCTAACATTACTAATACACAGAAGAGTAACAAAAGCCAGGATGGTAGCGGTGATGGAGGGGGAAGCGGTGACGGCATGGGCAGTGGAGATGGAATAGGTGGTAGCGGCTATTACGGTGGTAGTGGTCATGGGGAGAAATATCCTGGAACACATGAAGGAAGACCGGGCGGACCAGGCGTGGCCCCGGGGGGTCAAGATCTCTACGGACCTGGTGCTGGTCCCCCTGGCACAGCAGACTCACACATGGTTCCACCTGGGCCACATAGTCCACCACAGAAACCAGATAACGAGCTTACGCCAGATCCAACGCCAGGGCAGGAATTGTTTTATTAGACATTTTAATATACATTGCCGTTATGTGAGAAATTAAAAAGTAATCAACATCATTTATCATACTATCAGTTAATTCAGTTAAGCATACATTGCAATAGACCCAATTTCGGCAAGATATTATTAACTAGCTGTGTCAGCGACTTCGTCCGCGTAGAATAGTTGTTTTGGGCATCCAATTTTTTTTTGTAATCCTCTACTTTAAATACTGTCTATAGTTTACGCGAGTAGTACACATTTAAATAAAACACTTTAACGGCTTAAAACGCGATATATTAGTTAAACTTATTTGAAAATGATTTTTAACTTCGGCCCGACTTTAAAAATCATTTTCAAATAAGTTTAACTAATATATCGCGTTTTAAACCGTTAAAGTATTTTATTTAAACCTCTACTTTATAAATTTAAGCTGCCCACGACATCGGTCGCGTCCCTTCGCTCGCGACCCGTCGTTCTTGCAAGTTAATCTTAAAAGATAGACAAACAAACAAACTCTTTAGCTTCATATCTGGTCTAGTATGCAATGTTTGTCAGAAAATATTTTAAATTATCAAATCAACCAATGAAATGTTAATGTTTCATTATTCCTATTTCGTGGTTGTCGTGTTTTTTAAGCATCAAGAACGAGTACACTGATGACCATGATTACATCGTTTGAAACGGTTAAAATATTATAACAAATATGGTCAACGGAAATTCGTTGTATGTTTACGTGGTTAATGAAACAAAAGGATGTTTAAAATAACCAGCGAAGTAAGTTTAATGTATTGTTGGTCGCTGTCAGTACAAGTTAAAGAGGAGAACCGGTTGCTCGGAAAATGATAGCTGGAACGTGAGTTTATTTTTAAAACTATTTAATACAGTTATTGAACGATGGACCTACTTAATTTCTAATTAAATCAAGTATGTAAATTAATTTATGTCTATTTTGACGACTCCTTAGTCTAAGAACGGCAATGACTAATCTGGTTATTGGTTCGATTCGAATCCTTAATTTAAAAATCGAAAATAAATTGAAAAAAATTTTTCGACTGGGCAGGACTTGAACCGGCATCGTCAGCTTTCCGTGCTGTTGCTCTACCAATTGAGCTACCGATCCTACACCTCATCGTCGAATTTTTTCAACTTATTGATACATGCACCTCTCGGCAATGTAATTTCTACCTTAACACTTGCGTATTAACTCAATTTTATGTTTAGTTAAGAAATCATTGAAGATGAAATTACAAAGTTATAAGTTTGAAAAATTAATATTTTTCACATGTTATTGAATGAAGACTATATAATTTAAAAATCGAAAATAAATTAAAAAAATTTTTCACTGGGAGATTAACCATGTCAGCTTTTTTAAATTATACGATCCTACACCTCATCTCAATTTTTTCAACTTATTGATAATACCTCTGGAATGAATTTCTACCTTAAATTGCGTATTAAGGCTCAATGTCTATGTTTGATTAAAAATCATTGAAATGAAATTAAAAGTTATAATTTGAAAACATTAATATTTTTAATTTATAATAAATATATAATTTAAAAATCAATTAAAAATCAAAATAAATTAAAAAAAAATTTTTTTCAATTTATTTTCATTTTTAAATTATATAGTGCTTCATGTGAATAAATAAAATAAATATCTAGTTAACGTTTTAGTAGGACTTATTTGATTTAGATATTCTTATTACTGAAATAAATTATGTGAATTGTAGTATTTTTTTATATGTGTGGATTAAATTATTTGATTTGATTTCAAAATCCAAAGCCAAAAATGGACGACCGTGTAGAGACACACAGTAAACTCGTTGTTATAAAAACAAACCTTTATCGCCTTGTACTTTTATATGATATTATGAAAATAAGAAACGCCTTAAACAATATCTAATATATTATTTAGGCTTAAGAAATAATTAAGCTATTTGAAGTCTACGTTGCTATGACGCATATATTCACTGAAATGGAAATTCATTTCAGATTTCTTATCTTCGGTGCCCTCATGGTGACATTACTTTTAGGCGCCAAACATTTGTTGTACATGGATCGGGTCAACAATGAGATCCCGATCACAAATTTAACTGGATTAGGTGGATAATTTCCTTTATTTTTATATTTACATTCATTTATTTCACTGATGTCTGGCAACATGTCCTTACATTATGGAATTTAAGTATACTAATATAGAGCTGAAGAGTTTGTTTGTTTGTTTGAACGCGATAAACTCAAGATCTACTAAATTGAATTGAAAAATTATATTTGTGTTGGTTAGAGCATTTGTCGGGGAAGGCCTAAGGCCTAACATCGCTCTGTGACTATTACTAACGAAGATACAGCGGGAAATTGTGAAAAAGAAAAACGGGGACTATTGTTTATGTTTGTATTGTATTGTTGGGTTTCCGTTAAATGCTGCGAAAACGGTTCAATATACAAAAAAAAATGATTTAAAAAATGTCTGCGACACCATATGTTTATCTTTTAAGATTAACTTGCAAGAACGACGGAACGCAACCGACGTGGGTAACAGGTTTAATTTACAAAGATGAAGAGGTGGTTTACAAAAGAAATTTTGGTTGCCCAAAATAACTATTCTACGCGGTCGAAGTCGCTCGCGCAGCTAGTCCTAGAATAAACGGACAGAAATATATATATTTTCTGTATTTTTAAATATTATAATGGGGAAAGAGTTAAATAAAATCTATTGTTGTCTCTAAAACCTTCTTTAAAACTTGCTTCCTTCTCACAAAGACCTTTTATATTCTTAAGATTTATTTACATAAAAGGTCAGAAAACAATGCAATAAATTATGGATTTATTTTTAGGCGGTGAAAAAGTTAATGTCGTTTTGAGAAGATTGAAGATGAGTGTTGAATAATACAATAATGTTGTGAGTTGTAAAATGTAAGATAATAATAATAATTCTTAACTATTGTAATAATAGTCATGTAATAAAGCTATTAAGTTATTATAAGTTTTTACATGTTACCTAACCTGAAACCTAAAGCATTATAATCGTAAAGTAAAGTCAGAAAAGCTGGCCGAAACTGAAGATTAGCTGAAGTTTTTAAAAATAATGATTTATCGAGTTTAAAATCTTTAGGTATCCGAATATTACATGATTTTGGAAAAAAAAATCCTATAAACTACGTCTATATATTCCTATGAATATATAGACGTAGTTTTACAAATCTATACAAATATATTATATAAAACTGAAGAGCTTGTTTTTTTGTTTGTTTGAACGCGCTAATCTCAGGAACTACGAGGTTTCAATTTGAAAAATTAGTTTGTGTTGCTCCAACCAACACGTTTATCGAAAACCACTATAGGCTAAAAAACAAAATATCGCGCTGTGACTAATAGAAGCGAAGATACAGCGGGAAATGTGAACAAAATGGGGGAAATATTTCATCTCTGTGGGTTTCAGATGCGTACGCTGCGAAAACGGTTCAAGCCACCAAAAAAAATGTGTTTTATTAAATTATTCAAAATAATTTCCAATGTACATCCATCTTTCACATTAAACATCGTCTGGAAATCTAGATATTGAATCGTTGGTAGGAATATCGAAATGCCATCCAGGGCATGAAACACCACCCACAAATAAAAAAGACGTGAAGTTTAATCGTGTTTTGGCTCCAGCTTGTGCTTTCCAAATATCCAAAGCCAAAACAGGCATCTTTGGATGGGGTAAATCAACTTCCATCAAGTGACCTCATGCTTGTCTGTCTTTATCTATACTAATATATGAAGAGTTTGTTTGTTTGTTCGTATGTTTCAAAATTCGAACCCATAGTTCCTGGGAAAAAATGGGAAATTTATTCATCATTATGGGTTACAGAGGCGTACGCTGCAAAAATATGTATCAAAGAATCATCCTCTTAAACGATCTAAAAAAAGCGACGCTATACTATGCTCTTTTAAGGTTAATTTGTAAGAACGATGGGATGGGACGAGACCGACGTCGTGGGTAACAGCTAAGTTTATAAGGATAAATGGGTTTGCAAATTTGGATACCCGAAATAAATATTCTTAGCGGACGAAGTCGCTGTCACAGCTAGTCTATCATAAAAAAATGTATCTGTTTCAATGTTCGATCTCCTCTAAGCTCCAGATCAACTTCTATGGCCTATCTTTAACATCATATCCTTCTTGACGTAATTGTTGTATGTTTAACTATATTAAATTGAAATATGTATAGCGTATATAATATATTTATGTGGTAATAATACCACTGCTGTCAAATTGGCTTGTATCTATAAAGGCAGGATATTCTTTGTGTAAATAAATCGTCAAGTCACTGCCTCTCACAATAATTGTGAGGCCCTTTGCTCTTTCATCTCATCAGAAAACATTCACCCATTGTTACTCAATCTATTCAATTAAAATAAACACCAAAAATGTTTATAAATAAAGGTATATAGTTCGATTCAGTGAATGAAGTGGTTCAGTTGGCTTTGTTACCTGTGCCTGTGCTGGAAGCAGTCAGTGTGTTGTGTTTCATGCTGATTGAATAAAATGGGAGCTGGTCTGTAAGTAAGCCATTAATAACTTTTTTTTAAGGATACGGAGACAAGCGTCATACGGTTTCATTTTCCAAAGACATGTTGTATATTAAGCTACTTTAAACGGTCAAAAGATCATCGAAAACGTTGTGAAACATTTTGTAAGGTAAAACGACAAGCTAATATACTTATTGAAGTAATTTAAGTTTTATCTGTAGTCCAGTTAGCTTTTTAATTTATTTTATCTACGGGTCTACGTTTGCAGCAGGCCGCAGCCGTGTCCGCGGTTAAAAAGAAGAAAACAAATAAATATTAAATAAGAAGATAATGCATTTAAAAAAAAGTTAATTTTATGTCTGTGAAATAAATTAAAACAGGATAATAGTCGTAACGTTATTGCTTTTTTATTAATTTATTATTCTTAACCCCTGCGTCTATGGTGCAACAAATAAATAAATGTTTAAAAACAGCAGTAATACACATTTAAGTATTTTTTATCATGTACTTTTGGTTATTTAAATAAAACACTTTAACGGTTTAAAACGCGATATATTATTTAAACTTATTTGAAAATGATTTTTAACTTCGACCCGACGTTTCGGATGCTTTGCAGCAGCCGTGTTCACGGGGAGACTCTTGTTGAGATGTACTTTTAGTTTCAATTTTTTACAGTGTCGCTATAATTGGCGCCATACTGTTTTCGGCTTTCTGGTCGACAAAGTTTTTCAATGTAGTTTACTCGGCAACAAAACGGAATTTGACTACCACTTTCGCCACCACCACGACAACTGGTATACCGTTTAAGCGAGAGTACATCGAGTATAACGACTAGGAATACTTAAGTCGTTGAAATCACTAATGACAGTGAGTTATTAGTATTAGTTCTAACATATTATACTTATCAATTTCAATGCTTCGGTAACTAATGATTCTAAATGAATGCCTTGCTTACACCTACTAACCAAACATATTCTAACATTTGCATATTGCATTAATTAACTAAGAATCGGTTATTCTTGCTCCTTTTTCAAGAAGTATATGTATTACCTGGAAGGATTTTTTAGCAGAAAAGATGTCTTGAAAGAATATTTATGATTTTTCTAATAGCGGTGTTAAAAACTCTAAACACAAAACCTTCTTACAACCAGAGTATGTGAAAATCGCTACGCAAGTCAACTATCTTGTCCAAGTCCTGAGTTCAAAACATAATAATTAATAAACGTTTTTAGTCAGCCATAGAGGCCACAGAGTGTAAATAGACTGGATCAGTAAAAGAGACATTTTAGTGAATTAAATATAACTCTTTCAGGTTTTTACTGACCGGAGTGTTGGTATTCGGATTATATCTAATAGCGAATCAAGTAAGGATATTTGTTAAGAGCAAAATGCTCTCTGATGATGAATCTCCGTGGAGTGATGGTTACCTGAATTGGCTGCAGAATATCAGTACCACGCATTACGAAAATACGTAACAAAGCCCAAAGACAATATAGTGTATGTTATTCATAGATATCATAATTAAAGTAGGAATCAACTTTAGACTATGCGTCGAAACAGTTAAAGAGATCGTTGTCTCTGTCCCACTATCCCCTGTACAAATGACAAGGACGAAAACTGTCTATTGTACATCCAGAAAAAGCGATGACTTTTTACTCAAATTACTCCATTTTTCGCTAACTCCTTTTGATTTTATATACACTATAATTATTATTTACTAATATTTTGTAATTTAAATATCGAAAATATATTGCAAAAATTTTTTCGACTAAGGCAGGACTTGAACCGGCATCGTCAGCTTTCCGTGCTGTTGCTGACGCTCTGGAACGCTGACGATGCTGGTTCAAGTCCTGCCCGAGTCGAAATGTTTTTTTCACTTTATTTTCAATTATATAGTGCCTTCATGTGCAATAAAATATGAAAAATATTAAAGTTTTCAAATACAAATATCTTATTCTAAAAAATAAACTATTTCATATCATTAAAACATTAAGCAAATGTTTTAATACATTTTTAAATGAAAATTTATTAGATATAATAAAACTCATAGAATGGATCTCATTATTTATTGTATTTTATTCATTTTGTTGAACGTTTTAAAGAAGAAATTATATCTTTTATATTTGAGCGCTCCTTTTTTGTTTTGTCTAGTTCCAATTATATTGTGTTTCTAATTTTTAAACTTACATTTTTGTGTTTACTATTTAAGTCACCTCAAAAATACAGTAAATGTAAAACAAAACAGTTAACAGAGTAAATATTGAGAAGTATTACTTATTAAATAAGACAGGGAATAGTTCGTTGTATCTTTGTGCGTATATAATTAAATATAGTTGTTACAAGCATTAAAATAATACGTGTTTGTGATTTAGCTCTTACAGTCTGAAAGAAATATAGTCAAGCTAAGCTTTACTAAGAATGATGTAAATTATATACCAAAATTGTTAATCTATCTATTCTAAGCAATGATTTTATACAGTTTCATGAAATAATTTACAAGTCATTTGAATTAGAAGTTGTACATATTTTAACAAAATCATAACCTATAAGTAATTATGTAATATAGAGTGTGTAAAATTATGTATAGTGTGATGTTTTGTGATATTGAATATGTTTTAACTTAATATTAATGAGATTACAAAGGTCGGGTTCTTTCATTTTCCACCAGACACTTCCTTACTAATTTTATGCACCAGACGTTCCAATAAAACGTAATAGATAAAGCCTAAGCCATCACAGACTAAAGATTCTACGAGAAACTATGTGTTAAGGGGTTATCGTTTTTTGTTTTTACTATTTTTCTTATGATGGATACCGTCCATTCCTTTTCCGAAAGGTGATTGAGAATTTGTCGTAAGGTAGAAGGATCCTCGGGCACTGTAATAAAGCAATTCATTATAATACTGTATTGATAATAGAAAAACACTTTAATGTCATAGTTTAAGAGTTAGGTATTCATAATGCCAAAACGTTAGTTGGAGATATAATTTTAAGAGAAAAGTTTTAGTAACTATAAAACAAAAGAACAAAATTTTTTACTACTATTTGTAAGTGAAGACTTGATCCTTCGAGCCGGATAAGAATCTAAATTATTGTTACTTTTGTGAATTGTATCTAACCTTGTATCACAGTTAACTCCCATATACACCATTCCCACTTCGGGTGATGGGTTTTCTCTGAACTTGTGGTAGGAATCCGCAGGTGAGGCAGGAAACGCTTCCGGATTTCTAACAGATTCAGCATAAAAACGCCACGAACGCCAGTGACTGCATAAATCTGAAGTGTTCAACGATTTAGTTATCTTATCGCTACATCAATCAGAATTCGTTCTTAAGATAAGAAGTGCTTCCAGCAAAGATTCGACATGATTTCATCTAAATTTACACATCGAGTATTCTGTGTTATATAAAATAAGAATATCTTTTATAGTTATCTGTTAAATATATTTTGATAAAAATAATATTGTTGATATTCTTATGCAATGAGGTTTAAACGTAGATACAATATTATTACTACACTACAAATCAAAAATAAAACCCTTGTTTTTAAAAAATATTCACAAATTTGTCTTTAATTCCTTCAATTAATTAGGTCGAAGGCGAAGTACTAGTTTAGTGTAATAGTTATGATCTAATTTATTTTAAAACTCAGGTAGCCTGAAGTTATAACTTGAAAGTTGTCGTTTACTTTTAGAAGAATACATGTATGCCAAAAATGCGTGTTGTTTGCAAATTAATTTTCTTGTAATACTTACTATCTTCTGATAGAGGTACTGGAGCAAATCGTGGGCACCCAGGCTGAATACCTTTCCCACCGTTGGGCCAGAAGTCAACAGACCCAGTCCGCACTGGGGCTCCGTATACTCCTGAATCTGTATGTATCACGTCAACGAATTCAGCATCTTTGTCTGATATGTGCTCCATTACTATTCCGTCTGGATAGAATGCTGGGAACGCTGGATCTAGAGCTGTCACTCTGAAAGGAATAGTAATGAGATAAGTTATTAGAACAATATAGGTTCAGGGAAATATTAGTAAGTATTATGAATAACATTAATCGTTGATAAACGATTGAATGGATAAATATAAAAGCTCCATGTGAAATATTTCGATTGGTCAACTATGATATTTTTTTTTCTTAAAACAAAAGAGTGTTATATTTTAATAATTAAGGTACCAATTGTAAGAACGGTTACAAAGAAAAATCGAGAGGACGAAAGTTGTTTTTCCATACCATCCAGTACACGAAGAAAAGTAACCGATCATGGTTATACCGTTTGCATTGACGTTCTTGATACTGATTTAGAACATATTGCATTAAAAATAATTATATTAATAAGATAATGGGTCTTTAAACCCACTCTCTCTTACTTATAATATACTCCTAATACTTTATACGTACCTTTTTACTGTTTTTCCGTATTTATTCTTCAATTCCCTCGCCAGATAGCCAGCTACATGGCTGCCGAGAGAGTGTCCTATCAAATGTAATCTGTCCATGGATAATCCAGCTTCTATTAGCCTATTTACCTGGGCGGCGGCGGCTGCTCCCACCTGAAAAGAAACATGATAGAAATCTATAGAAAAACAGTCACATTTTTAAATGCAATGAAAATAATAAAACGAATTAACAAGAAACTAAAACAAGCTGTGGTATTGTTTTATTTGGGCTTATAATCAAGTGGTATTAAATTCAGTTCACGCCAGATCAAAAAAGTTTCTAAAATGGATTTATATTTTTTCTGAAACATGTTGTAATTTGTCTGGGAAATCCGGATATAAAATGGATGGTGGGAATATCATAATTCAGTCAGGGTGACGAACCACAGATATCGAGACGAGTGAGATCCACACATGAAAAGATGTGAAGTGTAGTAATTTCGGATTCAATATGTAAATATTGTCTACCAAAAGCCGACATAGATCAACAACGCATTTTGTTTAGACTGTATAAGGGCTATATATGTATATATAGTACCTTGTATCTATTATGTAAGCTTGTCCAATATTGTCTGCAAATATTTATAATAAAACTTAAAAATTAGTTAGTGTATCGATGGGCCCACAAAATTTCACTGTTGGGACTACTGTCCCAACGTAGCTAAGTGGACTACTTTTTTGAGGCAACTGGATTATTGTATTTTATCACTATTTACTTTTATATTGCAGTTGTAATTCTACTTTTAACATGTTTGTAAAATAAGTTTATTGTTGTTAACGTTTTTATTTCTGAATAAACATACGTACTACTATTGTAAGAAATATAACATTCAAACATTATATTTCTTGTTGTAACATGAACTTAACAATTAACCCCATAAAGGTTATCTTTATCTAAGGTCATAATAGACTCTGGGAAAAAACCTCTATTGTCACTTCAAACAAGACATTTGATCTTGAATTGTAATAAAAAAACACGTATTATTACCGAACTAAGTCAACTTTCCCACTTAAACAACAAAGCCTACATTCAAGTAAAGGTCATTGCCCTACGACATCGGTAACAGACGGAACCGGTTTACAAGCAATTCATTTAATTAAAACTTTCTGACAACGCTAAGAATTCACTAATAGAACATTTATGTAACTTTGTTTAGACTACGTCTCCCCGTGACCACGGCTGCTGCAAAGCATCCGAAACGGGGGGGGGGGTTGTAAAAAAAAATTCTCATACAAGTTTAACGAAAATAGAGCCGTTTTAAAGTTAAAGGATTTAAACGTGTACTAGTCTTCTCAATTAACAAGTGTGGGGGGGGGGCTGGGCGAGTAGTACTTATTTAATTAAAATATATAACATTCATTAACTGTTAAAGAATGTTTCAACGGTATTAAACGTAAAATGTTAGGTAACTCTCGTTTTAATTACTTTAACTAGAGTTTGGGTACTGCCGTAACGCGACTATAGAGTTTGTTATGCAGGTAAAAAAATTAAGGAACTGAGTCGTGACCTGGGAAGATCTACGGTCAGTCTCAAATTAAAAATTAACGAAAAAATCTTAAGGAAACATGAGTCGCCCCGTGACCAAAATTGCAACGAAATAAATAAAATAAGTAAATATAGAATAAGTTAACTGCTAAATTTCCCGAATTTAATCTTTAAAAGGGTTTAGACTTAACAAAAAGTAATTATTGTTTTATTAAAGTAATTTTAAGTAATTAGCTTAGTTCAGTATAACTTTTAAACTATCGATAACGACAGGTGCGTGAAGGTAAACAACTTATTAATGCGTCTTAATAGCAAGAAAATACTAAAAGGTCAATTAAACGTGCATGTTTTTCAAGCGCCGCATGCGCATGTCATATGTTGTAATTTTATCTTTTATCTATTATCACGAATAGAATGGATAGAATTTTTGAAAAACATTAATATTTTTCACATGTTATTGCACATGAAGGCACTATATAATTTAAAAATCGAAAATAAATTGAAAAAATTTTGCCTTGAGCAACAGCAAGGAAAGCTGACGATGCCGGTTCAAGTCCTGCCCGAGTCGAAATTTTTTTTCAATTTATTTTCAATTTTTAAATTAAATGGATAGAATTCAGTCCTCTCAGGTTAATTTAGTTATATAGTCATATATCATAGTAATAACCTTTCCAATGTCTTCCTTCTTGTACAACTTAGTCCTTACTTTGTCTTTGCATTACCTGTTGTGTCTGTCTATAAGTGTTTTACACAATTTTGTTTTTTTTTGCATATTTTAAGTTTAAGCTACTGTAATTGTAATAAAATGTCGACAGTCCTTATCCAATAAATAACTGCTAATTTTAATATTAAAATCAGTAATGAATAGATCATAAAATAGATACTAAAACTGGCACCGATTGTCACCCGGTACCAGTCTCAGCTGTGCTGATGAATACTTGTCACACTGACTAGCGCTGACTTTCAGATTGGTACAGTACAAGAAGAGTGAAGTTTATAAGATGGCCCTTCCTTGTGTCTCCCCGTAGTAAAAAATAATTTTCAAATAAGTGTAACTAATATATATCGCGTTTTAAACCGTTTTAGGTGTTTTATTTAAAAGACGGCCCTTGCCCTCCATTGCACGTCTCAAATTATACAAACCTTTTTGGTATTTCTGGCTGCATTCACCAAGTAGGAACCGTGGGCCATGTTCGACCAATCAATGAGAATAATGTTTGTGTCTGGCCTCGTTTCTAAGTAGGCGCTAACCATGACCTGAAAGGAAAACAAGAAGATAATTTAATTCATGTTATATAATAAGTATCTTTAGGAATTACTTAATCGTATATTCGACGTGACATGCACCTTATGTAAAATAGTATCCATATTGTATGTTAGAGAACAGACAAGTATGGGGTCTCGAACCCAGAACCTCTGCGCTTAACGAAGCTAGGCAATACGTTTAACCATTTGGCTACAAGGGGGAAGCAGTATAATAAGGAGACTTAAACGACACTGGGGCTCGTGTCTATTAAGGGTCGTCCAACATTTTCTAACAATTCATAAATTTTCCAGACACGTTGGACTTGTCTGGAAATCGAAATATTAAAAGGTGTTAGGAATATCGAAATTTCACAGATGAAAAAGCTAAGTTCAATCTTTTCGGTTTCAGTCTGTGCTTTTAAATAAAACACTTTAACGATTTAAAACGCGATATATTAGTTAAGGCTTATATACAATTAACGAATATATCGCGTTTTAAACCGTTAAAGTGTTTTATTTAAATGTGTACTACTCGCGTCAACTATAGACAGTATTTAGTCTGTGCATTTCCGAACATCCAAAGCCAAAATAGGAGCCATACATGCCATCAAGTGTGCCCTATGCTTGTCGGTCCACCTCTTCTAAATGTTTCATTCCAGTGAAACTCGTTCAGATCTAATATACATGCATATAGGACAAAAGTAATTACTTGTATACTCTCTTGTTGAGCTGTCTCGATGAAACCATGCATGTACAACACTGTTCGGTTATTTTTTTCGAAGCCCTTGCTGTCCATGATTCGTTCTGCTTGCTCCAATGGTACGTCCACATATTCTTCCCAAGTTTTTCTGTTAGATGGACAATTAGTTAAGTTATATTTAAATAAAACATTTTAACGGTTTAAAACGATATCTATTAGTTAGACTTATTTGTTACAAGGTGACTAAAAATGGTGGATGTCTCTGACGTCAAAATAAAAACTGCTACGCTATCGCCTTCTCGTTTCGTCTCGGGTTTTATACCGTTAAAGTGTTTTATTTAAATGTGTACTACTCGCGTAAACTACAGACAGTATTTAATTTAGTATTATACAATATAATGCTTCCAAAAATCACAATAAATTTTTGGAAGAAAAACAATCCTATCTCAAATGCTATAATATATGCTAGAATACAATGTAAGTGTGTAAATTAACGGCTTTCAACGCGAAATATTTTAAACTTAAAACGGTTTTATTTGATGCGTTATTAACTTGCGTAAATTACTGAAAATGGTTTAAAATACTTTCCATACGTGTATATACGTTACATCTACAAGTGAAAACTCATACCGAGATATAAAAACATATCGTTTATTTTTAGTATTTGATTTGAAATGATATTGAGGACGTTACGACTATGACATTATGGTCATTAAAAAATTGTCCTTACTTGATATTTCAAGGTAATAGAAACACCAAAACACATTTATGACTACAACACAATGATTACAATGTGTCAGTATTATGTTTGTTTAAAATAGCGGCGGAAGTCCACTATCATTAGTCTTTACTTGCTTAAAATTACTGAATAGATTAACATAATAAAACAATAAATAACTACGAAAGCAGGTATTAATGTATTATTTGCATTCAGCACGATAAACATTTTTATTTTGCGTTAAATTTATGTATTTCGGGTATTCTAAACGGCTTTTTACATACTATTGGAGCTGATGTATGATTTAATTATTGAAAAGTCAAGGTGCTTCTTCAATCTATATGTGAAAATATACAACTTATTAGCATTCCAAATTATATATTTATATTGAAAGAATCAACGATATAGATGGAAGAAAAAATAAATAACAAACAAGATCTCAACAATAAGGACACAGAAAATTTAGTTATCTGTAAAGTAAGTAGTAAGTAAGTATTAGATATTTACCCATTGTAGAATCGTAAGTAAATGTCTTCAATACGGTTCGTTCTATCTGGTACCACTCCTGAAAAAAACATGCTAATATTAGTAGAAATTTTAAATTTCCTATTTCTATCGCAATATATTTTTGTATTGAAGTTAACCTTGTATGTTTGTACTTTGTACTATCTTTATGACGTCAGTATCAAAAGAAATCAAAAGTGAATTTTGTAGTGAGTCTGATTAGCGAGTGATTCTAGCGTGATGTGAGTCATTGTTGTTGCGTAGATTATGATACACTATCCCTAGTTTTTAGTTCAAAGTAAGACGAACCATTTAGTTTTTTATACTATACTTTTTCTTATTTGTCGACTTCGAAGAGACTAGTTTGTTGCTTATGGTTTCATCTTCTGTTGCAACGCACAACATAATACGCGTGGCAGATATTAATAATAATTTAAACACCGAATTACGGTTTAAATATACACATAAGAGATGTCTATTGTTTTGCAACGTGGTTTAAATTAAAAAAATCATGTAAAGATGTTGGCAATTTTTTTTAGGTATGTATGTAATCAAAGACTATTGAATTTCCGAGATTACCGCAAAAAAATTCTTTATTTCGAAGAAGAGCGTACCAAAGGAATGATTTGTTTAACCCGTAATTATAGCACTTTACGTATTATTGTTATTATACATTAAACTATTGTATTTACCTAACGAATTCATGTAAATAAACGTAATTTTTAGGTACTGGGGCGCGAATCAATGTAATATCATGTGTACATAATACAACATTGTAGCTACCTTTAAATCAATAGTTCTGAATGTGTAATGACCCAATTACAGAGTGCTGCAATGAAAACCACGTCATACAGTCATTTGGACACTGCAATACAAATTAATTATGAACAGTTTTTAATTTATTTAATACTAGTGACACGCCCCGGCTTCGCTCGGGGCAATGCTGATACTCATTACACTACGGAAAACTGTGAACGTTGTATGTATAAAATAACCTTCCTCTTGAATCACTATTTATTAAAACAAAAACGCATCAAAATCTGTTGCGTAGTTTTAAAGATTTAAGTGTACAGAGGGACAGAAAATGCGACTTTGTTTAATACTATGTAGTGATTTGGATTGGCTCGTTGGTTTGATGGTACCAACATATTGTTAATAATCAGCAGATTATAGATTCGATCCTCATTGGATCCAAGATGTTTCTAAGCAAGTTATTTTCGGAAACATCTAGACATCGGGAAGAATCTGGATACATAAGTGGTAAAAATTTGGTAATTCCATCCGGGACACAGAGATTACAAGTCCTGAAGTTAAATCGCGAATCGGTTTCAGTCTGTGGACTGTAAAGCTAAAATAGGTCGACAGCATCAAGGTGTTCTATAGCTGGGCTGTTATCTTTCGTTATAAAAAAAATATATAACCTACCTTTTTCATTAACATCAAAAACCTCAAACGCATTACAGATACGGTAGGAGGCAAAAACTAGAAATCCGTAAATAATCGTTTTGAACTCCATAATTCTACCAGCGTAACTTCTTGGAAAATGTATTATGAAGCCGTGTCAAGGCATATATAATGTAGCTAGTGAGGTTTTTCCTGAGATCTATGAGGAAATCTTTATATGATTATTCAGTAATTTCACAGTGTTTTATTCTAACCTTGCACGACAATTGAGATAAGGATTATTACACACTAGCTGTGTCAGCGACTTTGTCCGCGAGAATCGTTATTTTGGGTTTTATAAGCTTAAGCTGTTACCCATAACGTCGGTCGCGTCCCTACCCGTCGTTTTTGCAAGTTACTCTTCACAGATAGACATATATGTCGCGGATGTTTTTTAGATCATTTAACGAGGAATCATTCTTCCTATTTTTTTGCAGCGTACACCTGGGAAACCAATAATGATGAAAAATTATATCCCATTTTTTTTCATATTTCTCGCTGTATCTTTGCTTGTAATAGTCAAAGGGGATGTGTTATAGCCTTCCTCGATAAATGCTCTAACCAACACAAAAATATTTCTTAATTAGAATGAGTAGTTCCTGAGATTAGGGCGTTCAAACAAACAAACTCTTCAGCTTTATATATTAGTATAGATTTGTTAAGTATATTTTTATACTAATGTAATGCATGTTGCAAACAGTTGTTAGGAAAACATTATAGGGAAATTTTAGAAGAGAAAAAGGCTAAGCTGCTACTGTCGTTTAGCAATAAATTGTTTATACTTAAAGTCTTCCACTTCCTGTAAGTTCCCATAATTTGTTTCTTTACTTGGGTTGCCTGGTAGATAACGCTTGATAAAGACAAGGTCGCCCGTTCGCACTATTTTTTTAATATTGATTAATACAAGTACTTGTGAAAGATTAATAAGGTTTCATTTCTTGTACATTGTAAAGATTTTTCAACTCTAGCGTGTAATTATTCTAGAATTGCAAACGAAAAAAATATAGTTGTGTCGATTTTTTTATATCCCGACCTTTTAAAACTCCGATTAAATGTGGTTGTGTAATTCCAAGTAAGATTTTATTAATCCACGAAACAGTAATGGTGTTATTGTGGTCAGTATAGGCAGCCACCACGACTGAAACGGTATGCAAAACAAAAGATCGAAGTAATTTCGCAGAATTCAAAACGGCCTTGCATAAAAAAAAAAATAAACAGATATAAAATTCGTTTTTCTTAGAATGCCTTGGTCAAGTTTTTTTAGTAATCGCATCGTTAAGGCCCCGCTAAGGCAGATAGGACGTTTGGGTTTTAAGTTAGTACAAATACAAATATTATTTATTGCTAAATAGCTATCTCTTCCAAGCAACCGTGGTAGAAATGAAAATATAGTAATAAAAAAGGAATGCGTGACAGCTGAAAAAGGACTTAACCTACTTACTACAACTTATAATAAACAATAATACAAAATGAGCTTAATCTAAAATCATTAATGACTTTCTTAACTAAGTTACTTAATTAGGCATAAATAGTGGGACTTGACAAGATTTTTGAAGGAAGCGAGGTTCTGGGCTTTTCTTATATCGGAAGTTAAATTGTTCCAAAGTTTTATAGCTCTCACATTAAAACATGAATTATAGAATCTAGTTGAGTGAGAATTAAAACGTAAAATCAGGCTTTCACCTGACCTGAGATTAAGGCCTTTATCGGAGAGGAACTCATATTTTCAGGTAAGTTGAAGTCTTAGGATCGAAGAGTATTTGGAAAAGAAGAAAAGGAGCATGTAGATTTCTGCGTAAACGAATAGGGAGCCAGTTAAGGGCGGAGTGAAATTTAGAAACATGGTCAAATTTACGAAGTGCTATAGTTAAAATGCATATTTTGCATAAATTTAAATGTAATTGCACAATATAATTCTATATAATAGCTTAAATAAATTGTTCTTATAAGTGGTTATTTACTTTATTATATGTTTAACTTAATATTATAAGTGCAATCTTAAGAACCGGTATTGTACACCGGTCTTAAGGAAACATGTGACACAGTATTTTTATAGTACATCATTTATTTATGCATTATTTGCTCAACTTTGACAAGTATGTCATTCTGATGTGTAGAGTTTGAAGTATCTATACTTATAAACCTCTAGGTTTATTTAAATTTAGAACTGTCGCTGTGGTTCAGTGGACCCCTAGTAAAGCGCGAATGAGGTTCTAGGTTCAAATCCTAAAACTGTATTTAAATAAAACATTTTAACGGTTTAAAACGCCATATAATATATTTGTTAAACTTATTTGTAAATTTCGATGGCGCTAGCGTAGCAGTTTTTTTTCTTTGTCCTCAGAGACACCCTCCATCTTTAGTCTCCTCGTGACCACTGCAAAGCATCAAAAACTTCGGGCCGTAGTTAAAATGATTTTAACTAATACATATCGCGTTTTAAACCGTTATAGATTTTTTTTTAAATGCGTACTATTCGCGTAAACTACACACAGTGTTTACTCAAACTTTCGTCTAAAACGATACAGAGATTACTTTGTCTGTTAATAGAACCGGAAAATAAGTAAACTAGACATAGATTTGACTAAACCGGTTCTGTGATATTTTTAGAATACATCAAGATCGATAGTACAGTTAAAACTATTTTTGTAAATTATTAAGCGCGTCGGACTGCCTGCAGTCGTTACTTACGAGAGTTCCTAGGATCTAATATCAGGGGAAAATAACTTGATTAGGTCAGGCAGGGCACAGAAGTCACATCAACTATTCGCTTGTAAATAAAGTTTAACGGATTCAGTAAAATGGACACAACATGGTGGTTGCCCCATGATCCACAAGGGGAATTACTTAGTAATTATGAAATGTCATGACTATTTAATTTAAAAATCGAAGATAAATTGAAAAAAAGTTCGACTCGGGCAGGACTTGAATCGGCATCGTCAGCGTTCCGTGCTGTTGCTGTGCAACAAGCACGGAACGAATACAGCACGAATTTTTTTCGATTTTTAAATTATATGGTGCCTTCATGTGTAATAAGATGTAAAACAATAATAAAGTGTTCAAATGTCATGACTATTTTTAACTTTATAGGTAGTATAATAGTAGTCTAGTAGACGTTAACATATGTTCAAGTATTTGCTCATGTTTGACTTCGTAACAAACTACTAATGCACGTTTTTAATTCTTCCGAAGTTTTCACACATTAAAATCGTAACAAAAAATCTTTATTATGTTTCCACATCACATACATCTTTAATTATTTTAAGAGTTCATTAAAAAACAATATAATGTTCCTTAATTATCAAAATTATGAATGAACAAGACATTTTGAAAGAAAAGACTGAACACCTGAATTTTAATTTCGAAACTAAACATTTTTGTTTTTTAAAATACACTTTGCTCCTCGTTGTTATCAACTAGTCATGTCAACAAAATCATATCTGACTAATTATTATTCATGATAAATTTTATCTCGAAGCTGTTATCGAGTCATCCGTGCGATACATCTTAGAGTGATAACAAAATGCATACATTTATTTCAAATTATTTTTAAACAGTATTATTATCTTCTTCTGGTTCTAACCACAAGTATTTTTATACGTATATTTGTATACCGTACCGCCTCTGTAGCCAAATGGCTTAACGTAATGCTAACCTAGCATTGCGTTAAGCGAGAGGCCCTGGGCTCGAATCCCAGGGAAACAAAAAAAATTTCAGGCAGGCAAGGCCCAGAAGTCTGATCAACTACTTGCCTGTTAAAGAACGGATCAGTGAAACAGACACAGAAATGTGTTTGCCCCATACCCCACGAGGGGGAAACGGGATTTCACTTTATATATGTATAGCATTACTTAAAATGTATTTAACGGTTTAAAACGCAAAGCCGGCATCAGAAACGTCATATCTCGTCGTTAAATAACAAACTTCGCGTTTTAAACCGATTAAAATGTTATATTAAAATGTCTCTCGCGTAAACTACATGCAATTCTAAATGACGCATGTAATTATTGAATACATAAGTTTGAACAAGCTTTTAAAATTCACGGTCCGTATTATAAATATGATGTCATACTATTTTTTACTCTGTATGTAAACGGTGAACGGAAAAGGAAGTGAAGATTTTGTCTGTCTATTGCATCATCTAAGCGTCTAAACTATTAACCCTTTTTCAATTAGCATGTAAAACTATTCTTAATGGCCGAGTGAATTATAAATTACATATAGCAGATAAGAAATATAACATAATTTAAGATTAAAACGGAAAATCTAACCGCGAAATTTTTTTACTGATAATTATTTTACGTGTTATTGATTGCTATGAAAACGTGACTTATGTATTTATAATATTGGCACGTTTTACAACACCACTTACGGTAGTTAATATGCCAGTGTAAAGTTTTTATAATATATCTTAAGATGTTAGAATATTAATCGATGTAGCTTCTTAGATTTTTTAGGATTAAATCCTGTCATTTGTTTATTTAAGGCAGATGATATAAATGCATAGACATATTTTTTCAATTCGAACTGAACTCCAGCATAAAACAAAGAATCATATAAGTACTTTCGACATGACGGCCTCCGTACCCAAATGGTTAAACGTATTGCCTAGATTGCTTCAAGTGCGAGAGTTCTTGGGTTCGAATCCCAGGGAAACAAAAAATTGTTTCGGTCGGGCAGGGCACAGAAGTCTGATCAACTACTGGCCTGTTAAAGAAAGGATCAGTGAAACAGACATAGAAATGTGTTACCCCCATGCATCACAAGGGGGAAACGGGATTACACACACTCTTACGGCATATTGGTTTCAAGCTATAGTTTTTCATATATATAGCGACCAATTTTGTTCGTTTTAAAAATTCAACACCTGCTTGACTAGACTTCTTAAACATGTTTACTTAAAATTTATTTTAAAAATTAAAAATGCCACAGAAAAAGGGAACTGTACCGTCCTAATATCTTCTTGGGTACATTACGGTGTGCATCACCATTTTATATTTATCAGGAAATCCAGCTTTAATACTCGTGATAACTGTCTTACAAAGACGGTCTATATTATTGCAATTAACTCGCTGTCATAGATCATAAAGATCAATGTTACTGGTAGGGATGGGCTGACGCGCCGTCAATAAATACATATTCGGTTTAACCGAATTTTCGTAGCGTAAACAGAACTTCGGATTAAAGCAGAATTCGGTACGAGAAAATCATTACTTAATTTCATGTCTTTATTAGTATTATGTACTTAGAAAATAGTAATGTAATTGTTCTAGGAAAATAATAATTTAATTACTGTCTGTAGTTTACGCGAGTAGAACACATTTCAATAAAATAATTTAACGGTTTAAAACGCCAGATATAGAAGTTGAACTTGTTTAAAAATTATTTCAACTATGGCCCGACGTACTGGCTACTTTGCAGCAGCCGAGTCACGGGAAGGCTAAAAATGGAGGGTGTCCCTGACTTCAAAGGGAAAACTGTACGCTAGCCCTATCTGTTTTGTCTAAATTGAACTTGCTGGGACCTTGCAGAATTTATATGTTATTCGATAACTTGAGGCCCTCCTCCCTATTGAAATTTTTGTGTTTTATAATTTCGAGTGCTTCGCGTATCAATATTATCTTTGAGGACTTTTTCCAACAAGTTTAACGAAGATATATCGCGTTTTAGAAACGTAATAATTTATTATCTTTATCTGATCATTTGAATTTATTTTTGAAAGTTTGTAAGTTTAAATGGAAGAATAAAAAACGCATTTCGGAACATCAACTCTTTGTCGGTAACACATTCTTACTAATTATTCGAACTGAATTTAAATTTGTATTCTGTTTCGGTTCCAAGCAGTTGCGGCTCTTCTCTAGTTACTGGCTACGAAAAAAAACGAATCGAAAACATATTATTGATTTTGATGGAGTCGCGATCGTTTAAAGATGTCCATTGTTGGAATGAATCAATATATTGAGCTAAAATATGGTACAACCGAGGGACGTTGGCGTATTTTTCTATTGTATGGTCTGAAGTTTGATGTCCGTTTGTGCAATAAAACAAAATCTTTTAACTGATGTCAGTTACGTGTTTTAGGAAATACAACTTTAATCATCGGTTCAGGTCCTCGCTGTGGAAACTAAAGAGTTATTTACAATGGTAGTTTTGTTTTAAAAAGTAAAATCTACTAAGGGCTAGACTAGAACCGTTTTATAGTATTACACTAAAGTATTTACTAAAATCTTCAATTAAGGACATTCGTAAAGAGCATATTTTTTTTAAGAGTAGGGCAGAGAGAGGAGTTCACCTTCCATCGCATTTTGTCAAGATATATGCTGCTAGATATGGTATACCAACTTCGAATTTTAGAATGGATGGATGATGGAGATTCGCTATCAACCTATTTTCGGTTTGAATAACTTAAATTTTTCTTATAAAATAACATTAGGGCTTGGTTTCGAAGATCAAAATTTTGTTGCTTGGAAGATTTTACTTTTTAGCGTTAAGGTCGAATTAAAGCTTATATAGTTAGTTTTCTATTAATTTGTCATTTTGCGCGTAAGCCCTCCCTCATACAGTTAAAATTAGATGATATGTATTATTAACACAAAGCCACGGCGATAAAAATATATTCTCCTTTATATTTACCTCGTCGTTCGTTTTGTAATAATTATTAACACACAGACGTTAATTGGGAATTAACATAAATCTTTATTTGATCTCCGGAGGAAATAAATGTTATACAACTCTAGTCCGCATTTAAGAATTATTTCAGAAAGTCCGCATTTATTTCACTACATATAATATAAAGCACCAATGTAGTAGCTTTTCTTTTACGGTCAACCGATCCTCTTATACATGTTTTAAACAGTTAAAATATTTTATGTGCCAAAAAATTTTATATGTGTGTGTCAATGCTGTTGGCATACTCTTATAGCTTAGACTTATATTAAGAGGTAACACAGCTAACATCAAGATTTCTTGAAAGTTCATGTTAATTTTTTTACACATTACATTACCTTGACTATAATGTATTCTTTAAAATATTCTGACAATTAATAATTGAGAAACTAAGCCAAGAACAAACTATTTTTGACAGTTCGTAGGCTTTGAGTATCGTAAGTTATTTCAGATAAACGATTCGATGAAATAGCGAAAATATTCTCCATATTTTTGGGACAAAATTCCTCAATAGGCCTGAAAGGTTTCGCAATACTATCATACGCTATTAAGGTAGCTGCGTATTATTAGTGATAGTAATTAATATGATAACTTTACTTCTTACCATAATTTCTTATTAGAAGATCTACGAATATGTGGTATATTAAGTAAAATTTACAAGTCAAATATATCTAGTTTATAACTTTAAAAATGTACTAAATATAAAATAAATTAACAAACCCGTTTTGATATATACAAACTGATATTATCAACGAGGGATTAAACGGTTTAAAATGTTATCTTATCGCGGATTGTGCGGTTTGTAAAAATACTCGCGAATTCGCGTACAACTTGACAAACGGCCAAACCCACGTGCTCAGATACTGAGGGGAAATGACCGAATATAAATAGTTTTGTACCACTGAGAAATAACAGCTAACAGATGAATGGGTATTAAAAACAAAATAGTACACGCAACGTTACTCTATAATCTATAGTTCATAGGAACGTATGAACCCAAGCGTAACAGTGCAACATTTCCAGAAGGAAAAAAATTGTGCTCTCTCCAACCGAAACTATTACTGCCCTCTCGCGTAAACAAAGATTCGGAGTTAAATATATAGTTCAGACACTCTGCGGGTTGAATTTTTTCCAGTGAATTTAACTACTTTCCACTTTAAAAATGCTCGCTGACCGAGATATATTTTAGCTTAATTGTAGAGTTTTCCGCGCTTGGAAATCACAGTAATTATTTATTTATAAACTACAGCGAATATTTTAACGTTAGCAAATAGTTAAAGTGGTCACCTACCATTTCCCCACCAGTATTTCTTCCAGCCAACTGACACAGCACGAAACATTGTCGCGTGCGTCACTCACAGCGCGTGGCGGCCGACTGACTTGCATTTCACATCAACCGAATCACGCTACGAAAAGCGAATGAAAATTGAAAATCTAGTTTTGAAACGGCCTATTAACGCGGGTGCATTGCGGCAGAACAAACAATATTGCTAATTTCCCATTCACCAGAAGCTAAACACGTTATAGCTAGTGACAAAGAGGCTTTTCGTCAACTCAATTAATCTGTAATTAGAGACTTGAGTGCTTTTAACGCCTCGTACATCGCCTGTCGCTGGTAAATGGAAATTCTGACATCTCGATGCCTCATTCGGGCCAATTGTATCGAAATTTAGGTCAATGATTTACAGGCTTTAAGCTGCTTATTGAACTATTTAATAAATGTTTTGAGTTGTAGTACTTGTAACGATCTAATATTAATTAGAGTATTGCCTTATACAAGTTTGATATGATTGTCGACTTTTTAGTCCACCTCACTTGATGGATTTTTCATGTAGGTATTATTTTTACGCCAGTACATAATGAGAATGTTTAATCGCTGTAAACGGTGTATTTGATTAAACAAAATATTAATATGTCATTCACAATAAAAAATATGATCCTTACAAAAGTCAAGTAGCAATAATGTACGTGAACAAAATTATTTTTTGGCTTTTATAAGTCTTTCGAATCATTTATTTATTTGAACTTACAATCGAACGGCCTCACATAGCAATTAATTAACAATAAAACTTAAAGAATAAACGAGGCTAGGCCTTACAGATTGCTTACATCGCTATAACGGATTCATTTACGGAAGTGAGAAGGAAAAAAAGGAAATTAAGATAAAAATAGAAAAAAATTGCCGACTTACAATTTGCTTAATACTGCTTTTTTGAATTAATTAACTCACATAAGCTGCTATTGCTTTTAAATTACGTGCAATTTTATTTTGTTTCATTGTTCGATAGCTACCGGCTGATAGTTTTCACTGAAGTCTATATTTTATAAGGTTTTAAACTAACAATAGAGTTGTATAAACAATAAAACAATTGTCGGTATTGAACTTTTAAAAGGACGAACACAGAGTTTAGCGCGTTTGACAGCTGCAATGAGTATTACTTGGTGAGCGATAGATGGCGCTTTTTTTAACCATCAGCACTTGTTATTAATTATTATGACTGTACTAAGACTTGCAGAAATAAGCTTTTCACGCGCAAATAAAACGTACATCGTTGTATAAACTAGCATTAAAAACCCTACTTAATATTCTCATTAATAAATACATAAAATTGTTATTAAGTAGTCTTCAATAGAAGTCCATTAATATAATTGAAAAAAGTCTCACTGACATTGACAAGAAATGCCATAACTTCCAATTTGAAAAAGAGATGGCGCTTTTGTAAAAGTTATATATTATTTGTAGAAAATATGGATGGATATCTTGTTTTATTCACGATATAATCAACAGCGTTACATAATGTAAGCAAATCTAGTTTACTTGGCTATTTAAATATTTACTATTTAATAAAAAAATCATAGTATTTTATTAGCATTAACTGAGTCCATGGTAAATAATGGTTGTCTAAAATATTAGTGTTTACTTAGCAAAGTTTATGGCCCATCGTGTCCACTAAATAGTAGGATAATATCCTATCTCATACGTGCAGGAGTTAAGCCTAGATTTAACATGTATTTCTGGCGTCTGCGGCTAGCGTTATTAATTTTGGAAAGGCACACTCTCACGCCTGAACACCAATCATAATATACTGTATGTAGTTTACACGAGTAGTACACATTTAAATAAAAAATTGAATATTCGGGCCTTTAAAATAATTTTCATATAAGTTTAACTCATATATATCGCGTTTTAAACCGTTGAAGTGTTTTATTTAAACCAATAATATGTTTCCAGATCGAATATTAAACTTACTTGAATTATGTGAAAAAATATAACGCTTATCAAAAAATGATCCCAATAATCATGTACATGATAACTTACAAGGTTTTTATATAGTAGAACAAGACACACAAGCGGGGGTTCACTTCATGGAAGGTGAAATACCCCAACCTTATAGCATTTAAACAAGATGCGCTGCCCTCCTATTTTAGCTTCAGATTTGGAAATTCATAGACTAAAACCGATACACGATTACATGCGATAGATCCTGATGGTCTGTTAATCATTAATAAAGTTCTGAATAAAATAAATAAACTTCCTTAAATTCGTCTTCGCTAGAGTACGCTGTTGGATGAATTATTCGGCAATTTTAAACGTGTATATCTATCATATCTTTCTAATATTTATATTTTACGCGATATCGTGTACAGTCACAAACAGAGGTCCCTTAGGAGAATACTTAACTCCACGCACGTGCCTGGACATTCAAAGTGGACTAATTAAATGCCATTCTATGTTGACGCCACTTACACGTGGTCTAGTGTCCAGACATTGTAAGGCAGGTTTTAATAGAAAGACAGTAATTCTCTTATTCGGTATATAGCAAGGTACATTTACAACATTAATTTTATAAGCATTTAAAACAATTGAAGTCGGGTTTATTGGTATATTAGTAGCAACGTACGGTTAATAATTAACAGTCCGTGGGGTCGATCTTCATCAGTCCCAACATTGTTCTAATCAATTTATAATGTTTTTTGAACATTGTGGCCACTAAATGGGTGTTAGGAATATCGAATATCCGGGTCACGAACCGCCGGCCATGAATGAAAAATTCGTGAAGTTTCATCGCGTTTCGGTTACAGTCTGTGGATTTCCGAATATCTAAAGCCAAAATAGGTCGACGGCGCATGTTGTTAAGATGTTATATGGTTCGGGTAATTTACCTACCATCGAGTGAAGTCTATGCGTGTCTGTCCTCTACTGTCTTAAGAAAATGAGTAAAATTTAAACTCTATTTCACTAGAAAGTAATATAACACGATATGCAAAGAATATCGTAAGAGAAACAGCACGTAACGCTGAGGATGTGGGATCGAGTCCTGCCCGTGTGATTGAATTTACAATCGAAAGTAGATTTAAATTTATTTTAATCTATATCATGTGAAGTACAAATAAATATGTTGTTAAAATTAGTTTCGACGACCGCTCATACTTCTATTAATCGGACTCGTTAGTTCAATTACAACCTACGAAAGTGAACCAATTGCGAAACAGCATTCGTTGAAATAAAACTCACGCGCAGCCGTTGATTAAAGGTCTTGCAAGCATCGAACAATGAAGGGGACCAATATTCAAGTCACAAAATGTTGACATTTACTCACTAGATAGTTTACAATGTTGTTTTTAATTCATAAACGACAAGTTTTTACACAAGGTTTTATTTAGAGATGAAACATATTCGTCGTAAAAAAACATACATTTTCAATGCAAAAAAATTATTGGAGTGGTTGCGTCTCGTAGTTTAGTAAGGATAATTTCTTTTGGTGTTGACACGATATATTCCAGTTCTGAAAAGAGAGAAGAATACAATGTTAACATTTGTTTGTTTATTTCAAGTAACATTGTATCTACATGTAATATAACACTACTTGAATTTTCGAAATGTTCGACCGTCGTAATAGAGAAGTAATTGGTTTACGACGTTGCGCAATCACTAGTGGATTACGACGGCTAATCCAATTAGCCCTATACAATTTTAATTCATGATATGTTATATCAAAATATTCGATATCTCTGTACGCATTAGATTTTATCTATTCTGGAATTAGTTTTGATTGAATCTTAATCAAATTGTTATCAACTACGTGATTTTAATCATTTACAGATAAAATCGCTGATTATTTGACTAAAAATGGCCTCTGCCTTTAGTTTATATCGGTTTTTGAACCTTTATTAGATTTTGCTATGATAATTTTTTTCTTATCTACCAACTTGCCTGACAGACAACCCATTTGAAGTCTAATTTAAGGTGGGGTCTAGTAAGCCTACTGACCTACCCTCTAACTGATAATTAAAATTAAAATTTGAATTATATCTTTTTTTTGAATAGACTAATCTATCGACGGATATAAAAATAGTATCGCAGTAAATGTACAATTAATTAAATAGATCACGTTAAACGATTTAAAACGTCAAACTACGACTTCACTTACTATTATTTTGAAACCTAGCACTCTTTCCTTTTCGATATCTCTAAATACATCAGCAGAAATTTCAATTCTATCACTTACCCTAGCTTAATCAGAGCATTTGTACCAATTGGTAACAAGAAACCGCGGCACGTGTTCCATCTCATATCCGACATGTGCGCACATTGGTTGGCATTTAGGTGGTTGTGGGTCACTGATGCAGCAAAGAGTTCCCAAGCGCGCTTATGGTTGCAGTCGTTTGATAGGAAACATCCAGGCTGACTGGTTCCGCCATTGGGGAAGATGTCCACGTGACCCACAGGGTCGCTGATACCATTAGAAAACAAGCCGAATGCGTCTGTGTGAATCACTTCGACGTAAATTGCATCTCTTTGGGAGAGACGCTGAGAATTGGCACCCCATTGGTTGCTTGTTGGGCTCAAACCTGTAAGAGGTTTATTTTGTTTTATATCGAAGTCTATATTAGCTTCATAGATCTGATAGTTACGTAGTAGTTAGTTTGTACCAGTTGTTTGATTAGAAATTAAATTTATGTACTACTAGCTGTGTCAGCGACTTCGTCCGCGAGAATCGATATTTTGGTCATCCAATTTCGTTTTTGCAAACTCCATCATCTTTATAAACTTAAGCTGTGAGCGACGATGTCGGTCGCGTCCCTTCCTGTCGTTCTTGCAAGTTAATTTTAAAGGATAGTCATATAGCGACCCGGACTTTTTTTTAGATCATTTAAAGAGGAATCATTCTTTTGTACATTTTTATTGGGAATCTTGAACAGTTTTTGCAATTTGAATGAATGAATTCCAATTGAAATTTTCCCATTTTCTTTTACATTTTTCACTATTTTTCGCATGTATTAGTTACAGGACGATGTTTTATAGCCTTCCTAGATAAATGATCTAATCAACACAGATATAATTTTTCAAATCAAATTCGTCGTTCCTGAGATTAGCGCGTTCAAACATACAAACTAACAAACAAACTCCTCAGCTCTATATATTAGTATAGATATTCTTTATTCTGAACTTGATGAACTTCTTTCGTATGTTATTCGGAACTAATATTTTAATAAAAAAATATTCATTATTAACATTCTGCTACTGCATTACGTTTAACTTAACCTAATTTTACCTGTGATTCTCGCAACTTGTCCATTAAGCGTTCTTCCGGCATACCCAGCTACATGTGCACCAAGATCAAAACCAACCAAGTGGACCTTATCGAGGGTGGTTATTCCGGCTGTAACGAGGTTCTGAATCATAGAAGCCACGTATGTACCAACACTGGGGACAGCACTGACTGCGTTGGAGTAACTTTGACGAGAATACTGCGACCAGTCGACGATAATGACGTTGGCATCTTCTACACTGAGAATTGCTGGAAATAAATAAAGATTTTACAATAAATAAATAAAAATAATAATATATTATATATGAGCACCTTTCATTTGTAGCACTACTGGAATGAAATAAAAGAGTAGAAGCTTATAAACGAGACTGTGGACTGTGGACTTTGTTTATTAGTAATCAATTGTAACATATACAAGGAAAGAAAAATGTTGCTACACATGTTCTGGATAAAAAAAAATATTAATGTTATTACCCTTCAATCCAAACGACTGGTAATATCGAAAGAAGAGAATTAGCGCGGATAAGTGTAAAAATTGATAAGCTATCGAGGGGATTATAAAAAGGAATAAGTGACTAAAATGATTATTTAAAAGAGAGGCTGGTAAAGAAGGTTGACAATTTATACATCCTAATTGTTAAGTGTATACTTACATTATAAAAAATAAAAATCTTTACGGTTGCACAATCTTTATCAATATTGGTTATAAAATAGTTATTAGCGTACTTACAGAACTACTGAGTATGCTGATAAAAAATGGCTAAGGTGTTCCGTTAAGGAGTATAGGAAGCAACAATGTGACACGAAAAATTTATGCTATCTATTGCTTACCATCTTTTACAGTCGGGTTAAGTGTATTTGACACGGAACCTTGATGGCCGTGAATAATGACTGTAGTGACATTACGTGATGCATTCAAGGTAGTAGTTCCAATGGATTCAACTGTACCATTGAACCTTTCTACATTGCGATTCGTTTCCCTGGAAAAAAATAAATATATTAATTACTAGCAGTGCCCGCGACTTCGTTCGCGTGGAATAGTGAGTTAGGGTAGATTTCTTCAATTATTTAGACTGTTTATTAATTTATGTAATTGCGCATTTATCGCAGCCAATCTATGTTGTAAGTGCTACTTTGCCGCAACACTTTCACCTCACATTTCTCCTACTCTAACTCCCACCCCTATTCCCAAAAAGCCAAAGAAGAAAGTTTAACTGTTCTAGCTTCAAAAACCACGAATTTCCATACAAACTTTCACCCCTCTTTTTAACCCCGTACAACCCTCTTTTCGCAATAAGCCTATGTCCTTTCTCGGGGTCTAGACCATCTGTGTACCAAATTTCATTCAAATCCGATCAGTAGTTTTGGCGTGAAAGAGTAACAGACAGACAGACATAGTTACTTTAGCATCTATAATATTATTAAGGATAAAAAATTTGTTCTTACTGTGTGTACGCGTAGTAAACATTTAAATAGCCGGCAGCTGTTTGAATTTCCTCATATCCCCGACACGCTAGAAAAAAAAACACAGATCATGGATTACAGAAAAGCTTTCTAGTCCTACGAACACACAGCTGATGGTAAACGTTTAGACTTAATATGTTAAACTTTTATGAAATTTATTGTTATGTTGCTCTCTGGATCTCTGTTTGTGTCGGAAATTTTTCCAATTTATAATAGAATTCTAATTTAACTAAATAATTATTAAAAAAACTAACGTTGCGTTGTTTAAAAATGGTTAGAGTAAAACTAAAGTAATGCACTTATATAATTATTTATCAGTATTAAAGTACTATCTAAAATACGAAATTCATTTATCGCGTTATAGTACACAAACATATTGTCCCCCCTCTGTCTTATAATTTACTGTTATTAGATATTGTGCTCCGATACGAGTTAACCCTTTTTAGCCATTTCAAACAATGCACAAAGGTGATAAAAAGTTTAAATAAAACACTTTAACAGTTTAAAACGCGATATATTAGTTAAACTTATTTGAAAATGATTTTTAACCTCGGCCCGACGTTTCGGATGCTTTACAGCAGCCGTGATCACGGGGAGACACGGGCTAAAAAGTTGTTACTAGAAAAATACATACCTGCCACAGCCACCGACAGCAATAGCAGCTTAAAGAACATCTTATTTATAACGCGTCTTGACAAAGTTCAAACATGAATGGCAATTAATAAAGTCGAATTTATAACGACTACAAAGCGATAGCGTCGATAAAATTAAATCCAAATCGAATAAAAATCTTTCCTGTATTAAGCGGTACCCTTTCATCTTTCACGATTGTTTTTAACGATAGTGATGTAATGATTAGATTATGATTATCTCTAATAAAATTCATCAACATCCGAGGTTATAAAACTATAGATTTGCTAAAGAAAGGTCTTTGTCAATCGAATTACATATAAAATTACTTACGAAACCTTGAATTCGGGGAAATACATGATAATAATTGATGCTGTAAGGTTGTTGTTGTAGTTTACGCGAGTACTACACATTAAAATAAAACACTTCAACAGTTTAAAACGCAATATAAGTATAATATATAAATACCAACTACGTCGGAACAGATGGCGCTAGCGTAGCAGTTTTTCCTTCGATGTCAGAGACACCCTCCATCTTTAGTCACGTGGCCGGGTGCTGCGAAGCATCCGAAACGTTGAGCCTTAGTTAAAATACTTTTCTTATAAGTTTAACTAATATATATCGCGTTTTAAACTGTTAATTGTTTTATTTAAAAATATACTTAGGTTTAAATCGATCATTTTTATGACGGAATAGCCGAACTTGCAGTTCCCTTTGTGCAAAATGGAACTGCCCTTGCGAAAGTATTTGAAACTGAATGAAACCCAAACACAAATATACATTTCACGGCTTCTCCATCTGTAGGTTGGGACCCCAAAGTAATTCCTTTCACTTATTTAATGTCCAGATTTTTCATACGTGAAACGAACACGTGACGCTACTATTCAGCCTAAGCCTGATTATGGTATAATTGTTATTTTTAAAGGACGTCTGTATAATGTTTTCGATACATTGCCGTTGTCACTGCAATATTATTGTAAGTACCCTGGAGGAAGCAAAAAGTTTTATTATAGATTTTTTTTAATGATAGAGTGGATGGAATATGAAATACCCCAGCCATATAACATCTACACAAGATACACTATCGACCTATTTTGGATTTAGAACTTCTTCAATCCGTGGACTGCAATCAAAACGCGATAAAACTTGACGGTTTTGTCATCTGCGGACGGTGGTTGGTGGTGGACCCGGGCGGAATTTTGATGTTAATACAACCCAATGTAATGTCCAGATTACCAGACGAAGTTCAACACTTTTCCAAGAATATGTAGCTACCATTATATTCAGCTAACGTACATTTATTAAAATTGTTAACACAAAGTATAGTGTTTACAACTTTGCTCGAAAATATCTAAAAGGCTTTTAAAGATTGTTTGATTAATATAAAAATTATCAACTTTTGTAATCCATTTACGGAAACCTTATTAAATAAATGTGACTCAAACATTGCTGATAAAGAATTAGTCTCTTAAGTCCAATTAAACTTGCATACCAAAACAGTGTGTAACTTAAAGTTACAGACATGTTTTAGATAAGTCGGGTTATTCATTGAATTTCTTACGGGCAATTATGTTGTTGGCATGATGACTAAAGATTACCAAAAATATCTTTTTGATTAGGATTCGAATTGCGGACTTTTCAACTTCATGACAAGTGATTTTTTCTTAGTATTAAAAGCAAAGACGTTTCGAGCTTGTGAACCATGGCAATCGATACAAAACTTGTGCATGAAATCAGACATATTTTTGCATCTTTACTTTACTATAATGAATATTCATATCTAATACACATCATTTTTGCTAATGTGGTCGGTAGGTTACTCTTTTTATACATCTGTTAAGTGATTTAAAAATCGAAAATAAATTGAAAAAATTTTCGACTCGGGCAGGACAGGACAGGATTTTTTTTTTTTTTTCGATTTTTAAATTATATGGTGCCTTCATGTGCAATAACATGTAAACAATATTATTGTTTTCATCTTTTAAGTGAGTCAATATAAATTAATTCTTCTCGTACGAAAAACGTATTTAAACCTCAGTAACATTTAATCCAATGACTAATTATTATATAGTACTTTTAATTGTTGTATTTTGATAATAGTGGACGGACAAGGTTGGGGTACATCATGCATGCATGTTACAGCCATGTAACAGCTAAACGAGATGCGCCGTCGAGCTATTAATTCGTCTTTCGATCGAATGACCATTGTCTTAAAAACATCCCGAAGGAAAATTTAAGTTCGAGAACATTGTTCTTTTTGGCTCCAATGATAGACAATGTGTCATTCTATTTATTGATGTCATTAATTTCAGTAATCATAATAAAAAATCTAAAACAAATTACTATTGGAAAAGTAATCAAGATTATATTATTATAATCAAAATGTTTTGCTTAATTAATGTTGATAATATGACGAAATTAAATAAAACACTTTAACGGTTTAAAACGCGATATATTATTTAAACTTATTTCAAAATGATTGTTAACTTCGGCTCGACGTTTCGGATGCTTTGCAGCAGCCGTGGTCACGGGTATAAACAGTATTTAATATGTCGAAGTACAGTTCACCGACCAGCTAGACGTTTAGTATTAGGGCGAAGCCTTCTATGTTTAATACGTACTTATTGTATAGGATTACAAAAACCTACTTTAGCGAGTCGTCTCTTTACGTTTTAACTTTGGAACTAGAAACAGGGCATACCCCTTGCAGAAGTGCTGTCTCGATCGATTACTAAATCGAATTAACCCCTAATTAAAAATTGTCGTAAGTTTATAATAAAAAGTGGAATAGCTATTTTAGACATAATATTATTTATTATCAGCTTTAGAAACTATAAATTTTAACTACGACGTCCCTGTGCCGTCGTTCTTGCGAGTTTATCTTAAAGATCGTTCTTTTATAAATATTTTTGGTTCCTGGAATCATTTTGCTGCGCACGTAAAAGATTAATTAAAAAATTTTAATAATATTAAATGTAGTTGGTCGGGTATATATATCAAATCAAATTTGTATCTAAAACTCTTTTAATTAAAAATTGTATACTGATACATAAATAAGAAGACATGAATATGGTTGACACAATATTGCTTTAATTTATATACAGTGAGCGTTAAACAAATATACACTTTCTTTTACTATCGCGAAAATAACAATAGACACATAAACTAAAGACAAGCTAGGGCTCACTTAACTTAAGTCCGTTTGGTATGGCATCTCGCTTCTGTGTAGGGTTTTTCTCAATTTAGGCGCCATTATATGGGGCCAGTCACGTCATATCGGATGATGCAATTCCATATTGATGTTGCGTCATTTCACTTCTGTGTAGGGTTTTCCTCGATTTAGGTCCGTCCGCTGTGGCTTCGCGGGAGTGAGTGTGCGGGGCGGGAATGCTGGGGCGCCATTCTATGGGCCCAGTGACGTCATATCGGATGATGCAATTCCATATTGATGTTGCATCATTTCAACGTAAAACTAACATAATACATTTATACAAAAATTAAATAGTATAATTATAAATTTGGTTGAACAATCGTTTTATCAGTAACTAAATCGTCTTATTTATAAAGAAAAGCTTTACATAAAATACATGATTCAAAATAAGTTATAATTGTATGTCTTAAACAGGACACTGTATTTATAATGTACTAATTCGGTTTCACATGTTAATAAGTTGTTATATAGTTATAATAATTAAACGGTTACATTTACATTTGTCTTAATACAATTTTGTAATATTTATAGAATATCTGTATGACTTTAGAGACAAATTGAGATTAAAACATAACTTAGTGTAACAAAAGAACTTAAATTATCAGAATAATCTAACACACGCAACGCCGATCCTTAAAAATGTAATAATTTTCTTTGCTTTTCGAGTATTTCTCGATAAATTGTCCAACCAACACAAAAAACATTTTTAAATTCAAACTAATTGTTCCCGAGCTTAGCGCGTTCGTACAAACAAACAAATATAATATTATAATTGAAACACGTTTATTTATAAGCAACACAAGATTTACTATAATAAAGCTATATTAACTTAACACATACTATGAAATAAAATTAAAAAATAAACAATGAAATACAATAATGTACATTATATAAAGACTAAAAAACCTTTTTAAAAGAAAATCACGTAAGTTGGGACTAATATCCCATACTAAAATATCACATTGATATTCTGTGGAACCGTCAGAGTCAGAAGCCGCGCTAATGAACGAGAGATCGCTTGAATTTTCTCTATAATATTTTGTATCAATGCGTTAATACGTAAAATATATATTTAATATCTTAATTATATATAATATCTTTCTGCAATTCTCATTATTGCCCTTAAGATGATTAGAGAATATTTGGATAAAGTAATTCTATAGAAAAATATGTAATATAGACACTAGTAAGTTATTAAAAAAACTGAGGGCTTATAATTACCATTTTTAAACTTGCGACCTCTTAAATCTAGCTTGTGTTTCAAAAAGTGTTTCCTATTGGAGCCACATATTTTTTAATTTTTTTGTTTGCCACCGAAAAAGACGTACTTGGAGCAAACTAGATAATGTGTAACCTTAGTGCTACAAAGGGAATTTTTAGTATAGATATTACAATTAGACCATTAAGCGTGCAATAAATTATTTACTTACGTGAATCGCTCCTAACTTTTGCATATCCTTTCATACAGTTTCGAATTTAAAGAAACGCCTTGAAATTGCAATGTGGTGTGTCTTACCAAAACAGTTGAACTCAGCTACGTATGGTCAGCAAAAAAAATACATATAAATTTAGAATAATAATATTTAATCTCAGACAAACACTGGCTTTAATTTTACTTACTCAAAACAAGTGACGTTTAATAAGTTTAGTAAAAATAAAAATAAGTTCCTTTCATGCTGACGGTAAACTACGTTTTTAAAATTTCATGAGTCCTCCTACAAGCCTTTTCTATTCTAGTACTTATCTAGAATCTGTTGAAAGTTTTATAACAAAGATCAGACGTAGAGTTATTGGGTTTACAAAATGAAAGGCTTTGAGAGTTTTATTAAAAAAATCGTATAATTATTCGATATAAGGTATATGAGTAAGGTACAATATTAATTTCAGACATAACGGACTAGGCTTCGACCACAGTTCTTCAGAGCCAAGAAAGTAAAAATGGGTATTTTGATTTTGTGTTCAAACGGTATATTCCACTCCTGAAAAAAGGAATTATGTTTTATAAAAAGGTTTAACATTTGAATCATCCTGATGCACATTAATTTTTAAAATGTATGACACAAGTGGGATTCGAACCCATTAACAACGACACTATTATGACTAATCGATTTTTTACTAACACGTAATTACTCAGAAAATGCCACGCTTGACCGAAAAAAATATTTCACCGAGAACTGAACCTAGGGTCCCTCGTGTGTTTTAAAATGCAATGCTTGCTTTAATCATTGGCATTTAACAGTTCAAATGCTCAATTAAAACTTAGAAACAAAACATTATAGTGCTTCATATTTCACAAAAACTTCAACCCCTTTTAACACTTAGGTCTGAGACAATTTTAATGAAAAACATTATGGGCATACTGACAATGTTACTCTACTCTTTGTGTAAATAAACGTCATAAAGCGGCAATGGCTACTTAAACTGAGCTTGCTTTTGATGTTAGCGATCATGACAATCCAAAACAGTGCATGACACCTATAAATGGTGAAAACTTACCCAAGCTTAACCAACTCGTTCGTTCCCATTGGATGAAGGAATCCTCGGCAGTTGTTCAAATTCATTTGCAGCATGGAGCTGCATTGGTTCCCTTGCAAATGAGTGTAGGCTAGAGACGCTGCGAACAACTCCCATGACCGTTTATGACAGCATGGTCTGTAGAGAAAGCATCCTGGCTGGCTGGCACCTCCGTTTGGGTAGAAGTCCGCGTGTCCAATAGGATCGCCGATTCCATTCGGAAATATTCCAAAGGTGTCCGTGTGAATGATTTCAACGTATTTTGCGTCTTCTTTGCTGATGCGAGGTGTGTTAGGACCCCAACTTTTGCCAGATGGGTCTAGCCCTGAAAAGAGCGATAACGTAGTTCGTAAGTTTTTAGGTAATGCAATTAAATTAACGATAAACCAATTTTTTTCAGGCAGAGCATTATAATGATTATTATTCTATCTCCAACTTCAAGGTTGCCTGGAAGAAATTGCTTTTAGCCATAAGGCCGCCGTTTCTCGATATATATATATATATTTTTTGTAATTTTTACAAATTAAAATTTATATTTTTAATATGGTGATAATAAGGTATTTTTTGTTTGCTAGCATTACCGGTTATCCTTGCGACTTCACCACCTAATGTTCTCCCAGCATAACCAACAATGTGAGCGCCTAGATCGAATCCAACCAAGTGGACCTGGTCCAGCGTAGTCACATTAGCAGCAACCAGATTTTCTATCATCGCCCCTAAGTATGTCCCAACGCTGGGAACCGCTTTGACGGCATTTTCGTAAGATTGCGAAGAGAATTGCGACCAGTCCACAATTATTGCGTTGGCATCTTCATTTGTTAGTAGTGCTGAAAATATGATCATATTGAAAGGATAAGTTCAGTCGCCACTAACCAGTGAGTGACCTTACTGGTTAGAAAAGAGAAGAAGAATTAGGAAGAGAAGAATTAGGAAGAGAAGAGTTATATCGTTTAAAGTTCGTAGGCTGATTGAATATTTTTTTTGAAAAAGGTTTTTTTTTTATTATTATTTTATAATAAAGGTTTTTTTAATATAGAGGAAAACAGATAAGCATGGATTTTAATTGATGGGAGATAAAATATCTCAGCTGTATAACATCTAACCAAGCTGAGCTTTCGGCTTTTTGGCTTTCGATATTCGGTTTATCTTTTACTATATTATTCGTCCGTGACTTCGTTTGTTCTTCCAATCGAAAGAACAAAAAACAAGTACATAACATAGTACTGTGTGTAGTTTACGCGAGTAGTACACGTTAGCCGAACAGCCCGAAAGACAATGGTCTGCTGAACGAAGGCCGTGAAAGCCTTACACATTTTATTTCTTAATTTAAATGACTTACCATCCTTAACAGTAGGATTGAGAGAAGACTTGGCTGATCCTTGGTGTCCGTGAACGATAATAGTCGTAGTCAAGTTTATATTTAAAGTAGTCTCTTGAATTGATTCTATAGTCATGTTGAATTGTACTCCTAGTTGTCCATTTTGTACCGCTCTGTAATAAACGTTCATCCTTAGGAAAACCCACTACGCTTTATCTGCTACAAAACAGTGTATCAAATCCGACTGCACACGCTGCAGTGTGGGATTATAGACTACCTAGAAAAATTGAACTGATGGACAATCCCATTTTCTTTATTTGTTTTTTCTCATACATTCTAGGTTGCCTGGAAGAGATTGCTCGTTAGCGATAAGGCTTTGAATTCAAGCGTATAAGTTTTTTCTGTATTCTTATTTTTATTTTTGTGGAATAAATATTAAATAAATAAAACGTGCTTGATAAGGTGCGTTAATATTGATTAGCTTAAAATATTTACTGTGAACAAACCAAACAAGTGTTCTCTTATTATTATTTCAATAAAATCTCAAGCCAATAATTTTCTTTTACGAAATATTGCTTAAAAACGATACACTGCGGCTGCTGCAAAGCATTCGAAACGTCGCGTTAAAAATAAAATAATATATTTCGCATTTCAAACCGGTTCAGGTGTTTTATTCAAATAATACATTGATACGTAGATTTTACGTAAACTAAAAAAGGTTGTGTTCATTTAATTTAAAAAACGAATTCACCCGAATAAAAAAGACCCAAAACCGGCAACTGTCTAACGCAGATCGCGTGATAAATCAGAATATTTTCTCGGTAAACAAATTAACCGTTTTGAACTCTACCTCATTTAATTTATTCTCTTTTTACGGTTTTATTATTAACAGAGGCCTAATACTATATAATAGAACAGAAACATTTTAGCGTTCATCGTAACTTACAGAATACTAGTAAAAAGGCATCTTTCTGGAATCTACTACCTTGCCCAACGCTAAATGGTTATTTACCAAAGAAAGGCATCATTCATTCATTTTTTTTTCATTCATGATCAGCTCAATTGCCTCAAAGACGACAAATCATTTTTTCCTAGCATTAAAATATTAATGCAAATTCCATAACATTTTACGTACGTATTATTTACCTTGTGTATGCGAAGTACTGATTAAGACTGCCTGAACCACCGAGTTCCGGTGATTGGCAAACGCTTAGTGCTGAAACAAAATTTAAAAATAGAATATTTAATTTAACATTTGTTTCCCACTCCACTTAAAAAAGATTAGTCAATAAAACATATGTTAACAGTAGGGATTTCCCTGTATAGAACATCGACCTCTTTTCTTAGTATATATATGTATATTATATTTGAAACTTAAGTATACATCTTTATATTTTATCCATAAATTTCCTCTTAATATTTTATTCATCGTGACTAATATGCACTAACTTGTAAACTAACTTAGAGATTTTTACATTAAATAAAATACCCCCGTGACCACGGCTGCTGTGAAGCATCCGCAACGTTGGGTCTTAATTAAAAAGAACTAAAGTTAAAGATCGCGTTTTTAACCGTTAAACGTGTTAAAAAGGCAATTATAAAATCGAGACACGGTAGCTCTTGTTTAGAGCAGCAGCACGGAACGCTGGGGATGCAGGTTCAAGTCCCGTCTGTGTAACTTTTCCAACCTAAATAGAATTTTAATTCAATCGAGTCTAATATACCTCTTACAAGTTTCGTTTAGTATTACAGATTTTCTCTAAGTAGTAAGGGAAATAAGAATGTAATTTTATTTTAAAAGCTTTACTTACCCACAAAGGCAGACAAAACTAATATAAGTTTTAACAACATCTTGCTTTTGAGCTTGTTATATTAAAATGTGATGTTTACGAATTTTCTCTCCCTATTTATTTAGGTTTCACAATGATAATTTCGATAGATAATAAAGATAATTTTAATCCTTACCTAAAGAAATCTTCGGTTTATCTACGATTTCCTTTGATCCAGCATAATGTTGGTCAATGCCTAGATAACATTATTGGTTTGATTTCGGCAATTAAAGAACTTTTACTGTCACAGATTATCTTTGTTATATCAAAAACATCAATTTCAATAACTAGGTTAATTGGAATGCGTGACTATTTGAAGCAATTTAAAGAAGTAAAAGAGAATTCACTAAAATATGTTCTTTTACGTCTTTTAAACCATTAAATTGTTTTGTTTAAAAGACGCAAAAGAACATATTTTAGTGAAACGGCCCGACGTTTCGGATGCTTTGCAGCAGCCGTGGTCACGGGGAAATTCGGGGCCATAGTTAAAGTAGTCTTTAAACAAGTTTAACTTATATTTGAATATTCCGTCCGATCCTCGCCTACTCCAGCTTCGCGTTCGCAAACACCGCCCCTAGCACACTCCACAGGTTCCAGGTGCTTCAGAATCGGTTCATTCGAGCCGCTACTGGAGCTACTGGAGCCCTTGGTCTAGCCGTAAACGTCCGGTTAGTATTCGAAGCCCTGGGCTCAATACGTAAAGTCAAAATAAAACAATTTGAATAAAATAATATTTAACAAATATATATCGCGTTTTAAACCGTTAAAGTGTTTTATTGAAATGTGTACTACTGGCGTAAACTACAGATGATATTTAAGTTTAACTTATATTTTACGCGTTTTAAACCGTTCAAGTGTTTTATTTAAATGAGTTGTAGCTTATTTTTGTATTCTCTTATTTATAATAAAAGTACCAGGACAGTAAAAATTGGCCTAATTTTTAAAAATATTGGGTCAATAGCTACAGTATGACGCATATTAAGCTAGGATATTTGGCATAACTTGGCTATTACTCGTCCAAGTTCTGTAACGTATGCGAGATACTTACTTACTGACCCAAAATTACTTGGCACGGGATGTCTAGACACATCCTAAGATTTGCTGATCGATATAAGTACGGTTTACGATGATTCATCATTTTTTTATAGGCATAGAAAGGTACTGAGATGAGGTGTAAAGATTTGATTTTTCACAAAAAAAAAGTAATTTTAATTGTACATATATTTATGTGTTTAAGTGCACATATAGGTATTCATAGTTGTTAATTATATAATAATAATAGTAATAGTATGTATGTCAACTTTAGATTTTTTTTTTTTCGAATTTTTCTTAGCCCTGATCTAAGAATAAAAAGAAATACCCGCAAGCCGATATAAGAGAACCAATAAACTCATTCACGTCCTCTTAATAGCCTTCATACGAATACTCAAGAGTGATAAAGCCAGAATTAAATCCTCCAACGGTCACTGTTATGCGCATGCGTGTCAGAGGTCGTCCATTAGTGCCCAGTGACGACGGTAGTTCTGTGAACAGTGGCATAGATGGGAGACGCATCTACCTCTCGCATTTAAGACGTAAAACTTTCGATAACAAGTTGGTGATATAGTTCTTTAAGTGATTGTACGATGAAGTGGAAAATTGCGGCTGCCTTCTTGAACTTTGTGTGTACTGGTGAGTTTTGTACGAACTTTTATTTCCAGTTAAACTCTTTATAACGTAGAGAACACTAGAGTTGGTTCACGTTACCCACATACAGTGTCACTTTATATAACAGTCAGGACAGTAACTTAGTGGTGTAACTGTTACTCGAGAATCTTTTTAAAGAGTTTACCCTATATTAGTGAAATTGACTAATTATATACGCTAGATGCTTGAAAATATTAATATAATAGATACTTTAAGTCTAAACTTTGAAGTTTGACGTCATATAAATGAAATATTGCAATACGCTTCATAAAATATATGAACAATTATGTCTATCACATATAAGTGTTGTGACAGTCGTTGTATAAAGAAATATTTTTATTAACAATATATTGTGATTTTAACATATTAATATAGAATATAATAGAATTAAGAGAAATAACTGAATGAAAAAACAAGAGCTAAAAATCATCATATAATGTTTAAAATTAGCTTCTATTAAAAAAACTATTACATATTAATTAGTTAATTTTGACTACACCACACCTTAGTTTAAATTAAAATTAAATATATAACTTACCTAGAATACCTTTGCTTATAAACATTTTTAGAAACAGTTTACTGAAATAACAATTAATAAATGTATAGTAAGTTTATTTTTATCTTTTGTAATTTATGTGGTACATATATTTTATAAATAATAAAACTATGTTAAATTAATAAAAATATATTAATAGAAGTATATAAATTTTAGGTTTTGTTCAATTTATTTATTATATATGTATTTGTAAACAATGTGGAGTTATTAAAAATAACAGGACGTGGAATCTTTTAATAAAAGTTTCTGGGAACGTTTAGTGTACGTTTTCTAGTCACGTACCTCCCCTGAAATAAGCTAGCGGCAGTTGGGCACTTACCCAAAAATATCTTTTAGATGGTAACTTATTAATACGGTAGTGTTTTACAGTTACGCTTTGTAACTCAACGTAAGAAACACTAAAATCCAGTTGTGTTGAAGTTGACGCACAACAATGAGTTTAATGATAACTATAGCAAATTTAAATAAACCGACGTTTCCGATGCTGGACGTCGGGCCGAAGTTAAAAATCATTTTCAATTAATTTTAACTAATATATTGCGTTTTAAACCGTTAAAGTGTTTTATATCAACGTGTACTACTCGCGTAAACTATAGACAGTATCTAACTATAGCAAACTTATAACTAATTTTATCATCATTATTGTCCTTAGAAAATGCCCGCCACGGTATAGACTTTTAAGACTAACTCGCAAGAACCGTTTATATGAAATTTCTTCGAATGGCAAGAGAACGTTTGCGAGGTGAACTAGTCTAAAATTACATATTCATTTGCCCTTTTATCAATATATTGTAGTTTCTTAAGATGACGGGCTCTTTGGTGTTACGGTAGCAATATACGGCTAATAAACGGGTCGTGGGTTCGAACCCCACCGGGTCCAATACTTTTCTAATCTATTTATATTTTTTCTGAAACATGTTTAAATCTGGATATTAAATGCGTGGTAGGAATATCGCAATTCCGTCGAAAACGAACCATTGTCCACAGATGGAAAAGCCGCGGACTAATCACGTTCGGTTTCAGTCTGTGGATTTCCAAATATACACAGACAAAAAAGGTCGATAGCGCATCTTGTTGAGATGCTATAGGCTAGTGTTCCACCTACCATCAAGTGAACCACAAGCCTGTTGATCCTCCTCTACCATTAAATCCTATGTGACAATGTGTTTTCACAGTGTTCTTTAATAAAAATCCCCCATATATTCAGGGAAATGTAATAATCGTTTCATACGAGTGCTGTAATTGTCGGGTCAGGCGGCATGTCAATTACAGTTCGTTCAACTAATGAGGTTACTCACCAATAAAATAACATGCGAATGACGCACTTATAATCTGATAGAACTCTTTTATTGTATATTATTGTATTTTCCAAAGACTGAATTAAAAATCGATTATAAATTTTTTAAAAATTTACGCCACCATTGAACCGGCATCCAGAACGTTCCGTGCTGTAGTTACCAATTGAGCTACTGTGTCTTACACGTCAACGTCAAATATTTTCAACCTATTGGAAAATGTGTCGTATTTTTTTTTAATTTTTAAATATTTCGTGCCATCACGGGCAATGTGAAAAAAAAATAAAGATTTCAAACCTAGACTAAGCCGAACGACTCAAGGGTTGCCTAGATTTAAATAAAACACTTTAACGGTTTAAAACGATATATATTTTAGTTAAACTTGTTTAAAAATTATTTATCTAAAATATATCGCGTTTTAAGCCGTTAAAGTGTTTTATTTAAATGTTTACTAGTCGCGTAAACTACAGTTTCCTTATCGTACCTAGATCTGAATTGAGTTGCTTTCGATTCTTTTTTCGGTCAGGTAGAGCAGAGAAGTCTAATCAACTATTTTATTTTATTATATATTTACTGATATTTAGAGAAAGAAGAGCAGAAGCAATCCCATTTTAAGGAACTGATACAGTAACCGCAGATAGACACTAATGTTAATTGATTCGTATTATTATTATTTTCATTTTTATTGTTTTATGACATATTTGTAATATTTTTGTTTGTATCTGAAGAATTATTATTATTATTATTCAATTGTTTTATATTTATATATTTTTACTTTAAAATCACATTTCGAAATATTATTTAGTTGTAATTTCGATATATTAAATGTTACATAAGGAAGTACTGCACGTTATTTAGAAACACAGTTTCCCTTTGAACGAAAGTTTCTCATTACTGGAAAGCAAATATAAGGTACGAAAAGTATGTTTCCGTATAAGTTTATCTCGATTGAAATTCTAGATGAAATTCTATATATTCGAGGTAATTATTTCTTGTTAATCATAAAATTGTTGGAAAATAAAAATTATATTAATTTAACTTGTTACTGTACAGTGTTTGATAAGTATATAAAACTATATTTAAGATTAAAAACACTAAATGACACGGTACACAGTAGTTGGTTACATCAATAGCACGACATAAGGTGACGCGTTTGAGTCCTCTCCATGTTATCAATTTATTCAAACTTTACTCTACTTTCTGTACTTTACGTGATTAGCACACATTTAAATAAAACACTTTTAACGGTTTAAAATGCGAAATGTATTAGTTAACTTATTTACAAACGTGACCACATCTGCTGCAAAGCATCCAAAACATCGGGCAGTAGTTGTAAATAAGTACATTGTTCCATGTCGCGTTTTAAACTGTTAAAAGTGTTTTGTTTTAAGATATAAAAATAAAAGCGAACAAGAATACTTTTTCAACAGAACATAATATTATTTAAAGTAAAAGTAAGTAGTGAAAAATCTTCAAATACTTCGT